ATTGACTAAGTTCATTGTCATTGGTCAATTACCGCTATGATACCTTAATAAGGCGCGAGACTTCCACAACAACCAAGTTCATCGTGCCCGATGTTAATTTATACTAGGAAAAAAATATTTTGATACATAAACACTGAAAAATTTGAAAGGCGTCTAATTTTTACTGAACAATTAATTAGTTCACTACAATTTATTTCACTTTCTTTTTCTTCCTTTTTTTTTTTTTTTTTTTTTTTTTTTTTTTTTTTTTTTACTTCTTTAACCGCATATGATTTGCATGGAAAATCGCCCCCCCCCTTTAAAAAAAAACAACAGGAAAAAAGGTGCAAAGGCTTCTAAATAGTAAGTATTCTAGCTTTAATTTCAAACCAGTAAAACTTAAGATCCTTCCCTCAAAACTGCTGACATTAATTGCCTCGCACACATCTCCCTGGGGAAAAATCACAGATTAACGCTAATTCCGCTTTTATTGAGTTCGCTCTAAAACTAGAATGCGTACCTTTTCTTGGCATGGCCCGAGACTCTCAAAATTCAAAAGTCATAAGTTTAATTTGCCCGAAATATTTTTTTTTTTTTTTTGCAAAGCAGAGTTTCCGAAAACCATCGGTCCTACCGGCAAAACCGATAGAAAATCGAAATGTCCGATGCAAATATATTTAATACCGGTCCGCGTGACCGATTGTTGTCTTGAGACACAGTTAGATTATTCTAATTAATTGTACTCTGATCTATTGCAATGTCTCCAGGATCACTCGACACCAAGGGCTATCATTTTTTCGGGTCGGGCTAGTAGTTTTCTGCTCGGAGATAGCTAGTAAAAGTGAAACTACCAATGTGATACATGAAAAGCACTACTGGTATTTTCACTCATTTTTTACTATTAAATTCCCAATGAATGAAAAAATTCCAGGCAGCATGCTCCTATTGTTCGTAAATCTCTATAATCTTATCCATTTTGCAGTACCACCTGACTTATTTACTCCCAAAAACGATCGTTTTTTCCTAATCCGAATTTCCTCCATTCCTCTGTTTATGGTAAACACAGGCTGATTTCTCGTTAAATCATTCACGATCACTCAATCAACTGAAAGACGAGTGTTATGTGATTTGCATAAAATATAGTTCCAATGTATTTAATGATTAAAGAAGGAACAAAAAAAGATTTTCGTTTCAGATGATCAGTTTAGATGAGCTAGTGCAATGCCCAGAAAAAGGGAAGACAATTTATTTTAAATTCTTTTTTATTTTCTATCATAATTATGAATTTATACATGATTCAATTTTACAAATGAGAATTAACTTTTAATTTTAAGAAGGATGACCTTAAGACCCTGACTTTTTCAACAATAAACTATTTTTTTCATAATATTTGCCCCCCCCCCCCCCCAACACACACACATTTCGGCTAGCAACTTTTTACTTGGGGCTAGAGACTTTATTGCTGCCACTAGCCCGTGGGCTATTGTTTGAACTTTTTAATTGCATACCCGTGGTCTCACAATCGGTGTTGTAATGATCGAGGTTTAAACACTCAATTTGAGTACTATAAACCAATGCCATTTTCTTTTTAATTACAACATGAAATATACTAAAATTTATTCGGACTGATAGAATTTGCTTCGGACTGGTCGGATGTCGGCAAGCATGATAATTTACAAAAGCCATAGTACCAAGCATTAATATGTGCAAAATATCAAATCCATACCTCTTAACAGTTCTTGAGATATATAGGGTGTGACAGGCGGAGAGACAGACGAATAGACAGACAGACGCAGGATAAAGTGATCCCTTAGTGCCGCTCTGGTCTGCAGGCGACACAAAAAGGTGAGCCAGCAGTTGCGAAAAACTTGATAGAACCTTAGCGAGTCGAGCAAATTAAAACCTTAGATTATTACATAGTCCCAAAGTGTATGGAAATATGTTCTCCTTGTTAGGTTCTTGTAAATCATCAGAAGATTCAAGCTAAACACTTTTTGATCTATAAGCACATTCTAAAATGAAAACAAATTGAATGTACTTTTGAATCAAATTGAATTTTTCCGAGCCCAGTTACATGTAAAAGAGCGTGTAAAAATAAAAATGAAATATGAATGGGCTACTGAAAGGTAAGGGGAGGTGTGGGAACCAAGCTTTTATAGAAACATTTCTTAAACCCCAGTCGTCCCAAGGGGGAAAATCAATATTTGAAACCTTATTGAACATCTATAGGACAAATTAACCCAGTCAAATTCCAAAAAATGAATATAGGTACAATAACAAAATATAAGAGAAGTTCAGGAAAACTTTTTTTGTAGAAAAACGTCGCTTTTTGACCCCTAATCGACTTTCCTCCCGCTCCGCTTAGGGTGTAAAATTGAAATTCCAAATCCTTATTGCACATCTGCAGGACAACACTCTCAATCATAATCCAAAATATAAATAGGCTGCTGCAAAAAATACCAGAGGAGTTCAGGGAACCGAGTTTTTTTTTGTGGTAGAAAAACATCGCTTTTTGACCATCCATCCCTCCAGGTGAAAATGAAAATTCCGAAACCTTATTGCATATCTACAAGCCACTACTAATCAAAATCCAAAACATGAATGGGCTTTCAAGGAACCATGATTCTGTACAAAAACATCGCTTTTTGATCTTAATTGTCACCATGATGAAAATGAATCTTTTTACATATGCAGAGGGCACCACCGAATCATATTTCAAAAGATGAGTTAGCTAGCTAGATGCTGTGGTACTTTGAGGAAGAAGATGTGTGACAGAAGGACGGACAGTCGGACCTGGATAACATTTATAACAATAATATACTCGAACTTTCTCCAGAAAGAATGGGTATAACAAACGTGTACAGGGGTACTTCTCCTGGAAAAAGTCGTTAGGACCTAATTAAGCTAAAGGAGGGGGAGAAATGAATGCAGATAGAGATCAAACATCTAAAGAAAGAGCAGAGACAATTCTGTTCATCTAAAGGTATTCTTCAACTATTGTTTGTAAACAAGACAAACTAGTTCAGAGACTCTGGTATAGTACATTCCTAAACGTCTAAAATAACTTGAAAGAGGTTTCAATAATTTATGGATGACATCTTATTTTAATTTTATTTGATCGCTGATCACGGCATGCTACTGTACATTGTACACAATAACGCAATATTCGTTTCAATACTCTGTTCTTTATAATGGGATAGTCGCCCGCGTGGCGCAGTGGTTAGAGCGTCTGCTCTAGAGTCGCAAAGTAAGGAGCTGATCCTTACGTCGCGGGTTCGAATCCTCTGCGAGACGCGGAGACCGGTCCTTAAGATGAGATCGCATAAACCGAGGTCCCGTGTCGCAGTAGGTGTTGGCACATAAAAGATCCTTCACGGATCAATGGCCCGAAGTGCCAAGTATGGGTGCAAATTTGCTGACCTCCACCGGCAAGTGGTGGCGTCTCCATATGAGTGAAAAATTCTCTCACAAACAAACATAATGGGAAACACACACACACACACACACATATATATTATAATATATATATATATATATATATATATATATATATATATATATATATATATATACAATTACTTCAACAGCTAGAGGAATATAACTTGCCCAAATTAAAATATATGTGCAGCACTGACTGAAAAGATTTTTAAAGTTAGGTATTTTCAAATTGATCGTGAAATTGAAAAACAGTTACATACACATTTTTTTCAAGATCATGATTAAATCAAAAGACATTTTTTATACACAGCTGCATAAAATTTTGGATCATTTTAATAGTACTTAAATTGTCAGCAATATGTAATAATCATTTCACCTCATCCTCTTATAAATACCCGAAGATCTATTCTACTATGTGACCCCTTATGTCTATCCCCAAAAATGATGCATGTAAAATTATAATAAAATAATTAATATACCACGGTGTTCTATCAAACTTTCCTGTGGAAAAAATAACTACAGTTATTGACTACTTTGTGAGAGGATTTTCTTGGAATCCTATAATGTATTTAATGAAAAAGAATTTAGTCTAGACAATAAAATTGGCTTACAAACACGGTGTGTTAATCACGTCTTAAAACCGTGTCCATACATTCATAATTTAAAAAAATTAATCTTCCATTTTTGCTCTAGACCGTCGGTTAAGAATTAGAACCTTGGGAGGTCTCTGTACAATTTTTAAAGAAAAATGTATCCTGTACATGAATAATTCCTCTCTCTGTGTGTGAATCGTTTCTAAATCAGAAATAAATATTCTAAGCGTAAGTGATTAAAATTCCAAATCTGGTGTTTTCTGGGGTATAGTGTTTTTTTTTTTTAAATCCAATTAAGATGGTATTTTTATAGTATTTTCGCTACTATACGTCAATACACGCTTGTATTGAAGCGTTTTGTAGAAGAGAGAAAATTTACAGAAGTCTAATAATTTTGTCCTGGTTACGATTCGTTTTGTATACGGGAATTACGAGATATTGATCACCTTAATATTGTTAACTTCACATTTTACATTCAGTCAGACCAGATTAATTTATCAGAGCTCGCTGACAAAGATTTTCCCATATTTATATAAAAGTTTAACAAAATTTCGCTTTTAAAGTTCTTAAACAGGAGTAACGTAGCTTTTGAACACGTATACCATTCGTCAAATCAGAACAGAGAAATTCCTTTCTTGACCTGATTTCTATATCTAGGTCAATTTCCAACAGACGAAGACTATTTCGATTCATATACTTCTCAAAGCACTCTGTCATTTATTAATTATATATATATCTAGGATGTTACTGTTTGCACCATATATTCATGGATTAAACTTTATTCTACGATCTCGTGTTATGCTAAAATTAGATGTAAAATTCCCGTTCAATAAATAGAGCACATTGGGTACGCAGGTGTAATTTGGTCGATATTATATGGTTTAAATTCCAGAGCATCTGAGCGGGAGTTTAAAATTGAGAGCAAAAAAAAGTACGTACACACGTTATATTGGCCATTCAAGTATTAATCATTCACCCGCGACGACCCAATAATAATAAAGGTGTTCTCCAGCAAGGGATTTTGAAATCACAATCATTTGGCACAATACTTGGATACCGTGTGATATAAAACGTTCGAAATCAGTGGACAATAATTAGTTGATATTTGACTATTCATTTCTGTTAGTAAGTGGATTTCATTTTGAAAATAAAATCTGAAACATGTCCGAGAAAGATGCCAAGCTCGAAAGTGCACCTACATATACAGGGGGTAAGTATTTTTTCTCTAAAAAATCCACTTTTTTCTTAATTTATGGGTCATTTAAAAATAAGGAAAAGGAAGTTTTCAATCAAATCTATATCAAATTTAATCGAGTTTTGTGAAGGAATGATGTGTGTGATGAGGGAGGGTGTGTGTGTAAGAGAGAGAGAGGGGGAGAGATCTCTCTCTCCACTTTTAACATTCTACTTGTATTAGAACATTTAATTTTATTTAGAAAAGGAACAAATTTCATCAGGTAAGTTTGTTCTTAGTTCTGCAGCTGTCAAACACAGTGCCTGACTTAGATAACATCTACTTGTACATGTACTGATTTTCTTTATTTCTGACAGATCGATGTAGCCTGTTTATGTTATTTTTTGCACTTAATTCACGGAGTCATAAATCACACGTTTACGAACATGCCTAGAAAATTTGTATGCATACATTTTGACTCTTATCACGTGAAGCTTGCATTCTTTTGTTACATTCTTGAAAGCTATTTTTTTTTCTTTTTAAATTGTTATCTAGGTGATATTATTTGCGCATTATTGACGAATATGTGAAAAGGGGTGAAAATAACGAACAGTGTTCGATATCATAAAAAAAACTTCAAACAATGCAAATATGTGAACAGGGCATAAACACGGACCCCTGGAAATTCCAGATATGGAATCAGGTGCCTAGGGGGAGCAAGCATCCCCCGTCGATCGGTCAGACCCGCCGTGAACCCTATGTATTGATCAAGTAGACAGAGCATTCCATAGTCAAATTTAGTATAAAAACAAGATGTGCTTGTGAAACACTGATGCCCTCGTATGGCAGCTTATGGCGAAGATTAAAGTTTCTCAAATGCAAGTCGAAGTCCAAGGTAAAGAGATGAAAAATGTTGTTGCCAAAAGAAAGGACTTATGTTAATGAATATACCTGGTAAATATGAAAGCCCAAGCACCAACCGTTCCAAAGTCATGTTTAAAGTTAATGTTGTCTAAAAGTGGGTCAAACTCCAAGGTCAAGGTCGAAGGGTCAAAATTAATGGTACGCAGAGGAAGACTTTGTCATAAGAAATACACATGCAAAATATAAAAGCCCTAAGCACCAACTGTTCAAAAGTTATGGCCAAGGTTAAAGTTTTTCAAAAGTAGGTCAAACTCGAAGGTCAAAGTCAAAAGGAATATAACTGTGAAATTTGAAAGCCCAGGTACTAACTGTTCAAAAGTTATGGCAAAAGTTAAGGATTTTTAAAAGTGGGTCAAACTCTAAGGCCAAGGTCAAAAGATCTAAAATATTTACACCCATGGAAATGTCTTGTCACATTGAATACACATGTGAAATATGAAAGCCCTAACACCAACTGTTCAAAAGTTATGGCCAAGGTTAAAGTTGGGTAATTTTTTGCAAAAGTGGGTCAAACTCCAAAGTCAAGAGGTCAAATATGTTCGTACCCAAAGGAAGGTCTTGTCACAAGAATACACTTGTGAAATATGAAAGCCATCGCTTCAACCAATCAAAAGTTATGGGTAAGGACTAACAGACAAACGGACGGACAGAGCAAAAACTATATACCCGAATCTACGATTATGGGGACATAATAAATGCCTAACAATTGGTATGAAACAAGTCAGCCAAAATACGACCCAGTATGTATGAGAAATAACTGGGGTAATAAAAAGATAATAAATAAAAAGAGTGTGGTCACTAGCATAAAAGACAATGCCCTTTGCAGAAGTAATAGATGTCCTTTGTATAATATATGGAAGTATAGCCAATTAAGACACAATTATTTTCAAGTAGTTCTACAAATCTACAAAGAAAATATATAGCCATGAAATGTGAATGCTGTGACACCGCCTAAGATGAAAATCATCTTTCAGCACATCGTGGTAACCCCCTCTCTTTCCTCCCCCTTATTCATTTAATTTAGTGAACTTTTTCTATTAGTTGTAACTTTACATCTAAAGTTAAGGATCACACTTTAGATCTTGTATGGAATGTCGATGTCATTTAAACTTTGACTAAAATAGAGACAAGCATTTTTGTCATGGCTTTGCAAAAATATGTGTATTATTAAATCAACACTGAGCTACCTGACCGTTACTATTACACTTTCAATAAGGAAACATTTTACCAGACTTTTCAAAGACTGTAAATGTCCTTCGGCCCGTGTATTAGTATTCAAGTGCTGGCTTTATGGAAAACCATTTAAGCTTTATTGGAAAATTTAAAGTTCTGTAGAGAACACAAAGAATATTACTTGCTCTTTACAAATATTGATACAGAGACCATTTATAGTATGGAAATAAACATCAAGTGTTTAATGTGTACGTTATAAATTTGGTGTCCGAGAAAAAAAAAATGAAGAAACTGAAAGGATCATAGAAGATTGGGCATTTTGATGACTCGCTTACAGTACGCTTTGATTTAATCCCAGATAAAATAGCTAATTTCAAATTTAACAAAAATAGAGATTTTCATATTAGAAACAGGAAAATCTTAGTGGTAGATCTACATTTAGAAAATCTCTTTTTCTACGTATTTCCTCACAGTATCAATATATATATTTTAATTTTTAAAACTACGATAAAAGTAAAATTGGAAATTTTACGAGTTTTAAAATCCCTGTTTATGACAAACCTCCCCTTTTGATTGATGGATTAAAATAAGAAGCATATTGTTATTATATTTGCAGAAGAACCCCCTTCATATGACTCTATTTTTGGGAAAATCAAACAAGCCAAGGAGACGTCAGACGGCAATGTGAGCTTCGCCAAGGCGGCGGCAGGAATACTATGTGCGTCAGGTGAGCTAATAATAGAAGACGGTTGTCAGGTGAGCTAATAATAGAGGGTTGTCAGGTGAGCTAATACTCTATTTTTGGGAAAATCAAACAAGCCAAGGAGACGTCAGACGGCAATGTGAGCTTCGCCAAGGCGGCGGCAGGGATACTATGTTCGTCAGGTGAGCTAATAATAGAAGACGGTTGTCAGGTGAGCTAACAATAGAGGGTTGTCAGGTGAGCTAATAATAGCGAGTTCTACAAAGACATCGAAAACAAAAAGTACCTCATAGTGATATTATGACTGTATTTCATAGATATACAAATGCATTTATTTTTGTAGAGAAATAAAAAAAAATCGCTAAAATAAATCAATTAAAAGGTTCCTTTTTAAATGAGTGAAAGAATTAAATATTTTCATTTTATACGAAATACGTGTCAAATGAGACATGTCATTACCATAAGTTAAAACACTACTTGATGAATGTTAATCAGACTGTAATGAATTTACTCTGTATATATATCACATCTAAAACAAATTTTGTAAGTAAAATGGTATACAAGAATTTTTTGCCTCGTAAAATACCATCATCAAAATTAAAGAAAAATGAGTTCATAGGTCTAATTTTTCACATAATAATTTGTGGTTATATTTTGCAGTGGGCTGTACGGTGTGTCTGGGGGTTACGATGGCCATCCCCATAGCAAGTATCGTCATTGGTAGGTATATTCAGGTACTTACATTGGTGGGTATGTTTAAGTACTTACATGGTAAGTATATTTAAGTACTTGCGTATACAATCACATAACTTTTCCCTGTCATCACTTAATTTTATGCAAGTATTGACTGTTATGTGGTCAATACGGTGATTTGATTAATTAGACACAGACAAAATGACATTGTTAATAGGGAGAAAAATCCATCTACAACACTTTATAAAGTCAATAACATATAGCCTTTTGATATGTTCAAAAACAGCACACCATGAATTGATGGATTTAAGATCATGACCTACATGTAAAATTGGTGTAATTCTTCAGAACTGTTGGGTCAGAATCAACCTGTCTACCCTTTAAGTACTTTTAGACAGGAGACATACATGTATCGTCTTTAAATGAAATTAACACCCTTCCAGGAGGATAATTTATGGATACAATAGGGTGGGTTCATTTAAAATCTGTTCCTATTGAACCACTGAGACGGAATAGTGGTGCTTTTTTTTTACTGTGGAGATTCATGTTCACAGGGTGGACACCACCAAATATATGCAGATTTATCTTTATATGAAAGCATCTTCATTTAGTATACATTTAAGTTCCTTTGAATCAAAAATATTATTGTTGTTTTACAGTTTTTAGAAAAAAAAAAAGAATTAAAAAAAAAACAGTCTATAGATTCAAATTTAAAAAAATCAATTATGTTGCGGCATCACACAGTCTTTGCCATGAATTGAACCAACAACCTTTGCTATACGGTGATGCTTGAAAATTAATTTGACCAATATCTTTCTGCTCTTTAGACTCCAAGGTCAAGAATTCAAAAATGTTGGTACCCAAGAAAGGTCTTGTCACAAGGAATATGCATGTGAAATATGAAAGCCCTAACCATTCAGAAAATATGGCCAAGATTTTTAGTTTTTCAAAAGTAGATCTAAGTCATACATCAAGCTCATGAGGTAAAAATATTGGTATCAAAGGAAATTTCTTTTCATACGGAATGCATAAGTGAAATATGAAAGCCTTTGCACCAACCAATCAAAAGTTATAGGGAAGGTTAAAGTTTTTACTTAACTTAAAAGTCAAGGGCAGGAGGTAAAAAATGTTGGTACAAAGGAAGGTCTTGTCACAAGGAATAAATATCTGATATATGAAAGCCCTAGAACCAATGGTTCAAAACTTATGACCAAGGTTGAAGTTATTCAAAAGTACATCAAACTCGAAGGTCAAGAGCAAAAGGTCAAAAATGTTGGTACACAAAGAAAGGTCTTGTCACAAGAAAAAAAAAACGCATGTGAAATAAAAAAGCTTTAGAACCAAGCATTCAAAAGTTATGGCCAAGGTTATAGTTTGGTAAAATTTTGCAAAATAAAAAAGACACACGGACGGTAGACCAAATACTATTTGCCCCAAAATCTTCAATTACGGGAGCATAGTTTCTCCACAAATGCCCCAATAGTACACTGCACAAAGTTTAATGTTCGGTACAAATAAGTATGACTGACATTGGTCCTACTTTCGTCAAATAGAAAACTTTCAGATAATTTGTCTTTTAATATATTCTTCTGTAAAACTATAAAAAAGGGTCACAAGTTACACTAGATGTATTGAATTTTGCTTTTGCTGACACATTGGTTTGTTTGAAAATAAAAATACTTCAATTTAAGGTGCCCAATTATTTTTAAACTACTAATTAATAGCGATTCTCTGTAATCTCTTAAACTTCTTTGCCACGCATGGTCACCGATTTTGATGAAACTTTGTCCATTATTACAACTTGACACCAGAAACATATATCGCATAAAATTTTAGAATTTATCTCTAAGTAAGTGGTAACCATGGGTACATTTGGAATACATTTTAGATGCTGAAAAATGCTGAAAAATGCTCGATATTTACTAATGATAGGTGTTACATAATCAAACTCAATCAACAACCTAAGAAAAACAGTAAAAATATTTGACCTTAAGTAATTAGGTATTGGCAATATTATTCTAAAAAAAAACTTTCATGGTTGCCATGGTAACACAGTGTAACCATGCAAAATCTGTTGCTAAGATTGGGTTAATTCTACTATCTTGAAGAAAAACAATGAAATTCATGAATGTCATATATACATCCTTTGGACTTTGCAACACCCACAACATAAAAAAATGGGATTAATTGTTACTTTGCAGTGTAACCATGGAAACAACGTACCAGTTGTTTAATGTGATACTTTTATGCTGCCTTAGGAATTAACTTACCCTTTAATCAAGAAACTTATTATTTGATTCTCCTTGAATATCTGGCAGAACTAAAGTTGAATATCATATATTGATAAGTTTGTTGAAAAATACAATACTGTTGCTATGGTTACCAAGAAGCGAAAATGTTCCATTTTGTTAATTTTATATCAATATTAAACCCTATGTGCCAGCTTTTTGCATCCAGTTACAGACTGGGTGATAGTCAAAATTGAAAGTCGGGTTAGTTGTTCATAAATATCAATCATAAAAGTTTTGGGAATCTACATACAAGGGTACGTATCCAAGGAAACAGAATATTTTTCAGATTTTTATGCATATTTTTCTGGCTAATTTCCATAGCAACACTTTATTTAAAGAATTGAATTTGAATTTTTTGAAATGTGAAAATTATTGTCACACCAATTAACGGCTTTAAAAATTGATCATCAGATATATAGAAATACGCTTTCTAAAAAGATAGGATAAGACTGAAACACGAAGAGAGTAAATTTAAAATCCCTTCGTGGTATTAAACCCATGGCATCCATTGCCAACCTATAAGAAATATCATATTTTGTCCTTGGTATATATTACAAATATTACAATTTGCTTGCATTTCAACCTATAATTGTTTTTATTCTTAAGTGTAAGACCTTTTAAAATTAAATTTCAAAATTATTACTTTTGTATACTTTGTTTCCATAGTAACGTATGTAACAGTTGATTTATCAAACATGTCTATCATGCATTTAAGACATCAGGCCTTCAACTTTCAAAAACATTGCCACTTGTTTGTTTTGCTGCAAACGTTAACTGTGGGACTCTGAAAATGTTGAAAAATGCCATTTTTCAAAATTTAGGACATGTTGCTATGGTAACCATGACACATAGCTACCAATTTTTGCCTGATTTGAGTTTATGGTATCAAAGACTCTTATCATAGAGAGTTTGGAGAATTCTGAGACTATGCGTGCCACAGCTCATATACAAAAGTTCAAGTCATTACAGAGAATGACTCTTAATTATGTTTCCTTGGAAAGCGGCCTACATATACTTCCTTTGAAAAAATCCTTTTCCTAAACATGCTTATTGGCAGGTGTAGTTGGCTCAGTGATAAACAAGCAGTGGGGAAAAAACCGTCAACACTAAAACAGGTTATGTTCTTACAAATGGACTATAAAGTTAAGGATGGTGCGATCTTTTCTATTTCAGAAAATTATGATCTATCACCATCATTCATTAGCTGTGTAAAAGTTTCTCACTTTTCAAAAATTACACGCTCAAGTTCGCCCTTGTTCCAAAGAAAAGGAAATTTGAACAAATTTTGATAGGAATTAAATTCCACTTGAACCTTTTGCAAAGATGAACTTACAAGACTTCTCATTGTCAATGTAATAATGCGATTGAATTTGTTCAAACAGTGGTCCCTGAGAGAACATGAATCAAAGTACTCAGAAGTACAGAGAGCCGGGCTTATTTAAAGAGCAGTGACCAGTACCGTTTTACATGAAACATACATGAAATAACTGCTGTATAAGAAGTTCAGAAATATTATTGTGCGATAAACTATCAAATGCATTTAAAAAGTTTTTCAAAACACAAGAAAAGCAGAATTTAATCATCTCTTTATAACACTGACAGGTATAACCTCAGTGTCAGGATATCGCATTACGTTACCCACATTTGATTTAATTAACTGGTACAACATTCTCCGGATTATTTGTCCGATATTTTTGATTTGCAATTCGCAATACTATTGTCATCTGTGATTATTTTTTCTTTTCTTTTTTTTTAATTTTAATTTTATATGATATATTTGATTGTGTGTCGCACGTGGCCTGTGTGTACATATATGGCAACAGAGGCTACGTTCACTCTCACACATGTATTAGCTTCATTAAAAGCTTGTCTGACCTGAGAAAACTATGTTTCTGTTATTTGAAAAGTTTAACCCAGCGTCATCATCATGAATTATTTGAGAACGGGAACTGATCGTATTTTAAAAGCGTTATGTTTATATTGGGTCGTTGGGTTACCATCCGGTGATTAATCCGCGCAGATAGCGATCCCGTAAGCCGAACCGTAGCTTACGCTATGGAGCCCGGCTAAAAAAGCTTCAAAGTTTGGCACATATATGGAACACCTTTCCAAGTCTTTTTCTAATGAACATAAAGTCTGAAAATTTCTGAATAAGTACTATCTAATTCTGTCTGCAATAGCACTTATTATCTAGCTCTGTTTGCCATAACAATTACTGTCTAGCTGTGTGTGCCATAATAATAACAGTCTAGTTCTGTGTACCATTACAATTAGTGTCTAGCTCTGTGTGCCATTCTTATAAGTACTGTATAGCTCTGTGTGGCATAATTTTCGAGCAACTCCTAGTTTCTCTTTCTTAGTGTATGTTTTGTCAAACTTTGAAAAAAAAAAGCTTAAAGCTGCATATAGTGCGTAGAAAATAATCACCGCAGATCATTTACATGGGCTCTGCTTTCACCTTTTTTACCTTAAAAAATTCGATCCAATCCCCCTTCCAGTATCCACTCTGGCCTTAGTTACAGAAATTCAGCTGATCAGTGTGAAAATTTACAATGAACGTCAAGTTAAAATTACGCTTTGTTATGTGTGAATTTTTTCTTATGATATTAGTAATTACAAAACGTTGATTGTTTGTTTTATTTACAGGTGCTTTGTACCTGGATGACTGCCCTATAGAGAAGTACATTCCCATCTATCTGGTCGTTGCCGGTGTTTTCGGGTTGTGCCAAAATCTCTTTGGAATGATCCAGTCAATTTGTTGCAAAAGGAGCCCAGAGGAAGAACAGGAAGAGCAAGGGGCGGGGGCCAAATTAGGGTCCTGTATCAACTCCCTTTTCGGATGCTTCATGTTTGCCTGGTTTATTGCTGGTAAGCAATATTTTGCTTGAAACATCACAAGATTTTTACACATTTTAATCATCATGTCTAAGTCTTTTTTATTTCATTGAGTGACAAGATTGTTTTATTTTTTACAGGAAATGTTTGGGTCTACAGTAACTACGATGAAGTACAAACTACAAACTCTGCCTTAGCCAATTATTGTCACGCAACTCCCTACTACTTCGCGTTTTGGACAATCACGGTGGCCTACATCATGGTCGGGCTCGCTATTCTGGTCTCCTGTTGCTGTTGTATAGCTTGTTGCGTTTGTGCCAAAAAGTCAGACTCATAAGCATATAAATTTATAAATCTTTTATATATGTTTAGGTTAAAAGGCTCTAAACTATAGACGGTTGGCGGGACTATTTCTTCAGTACACGGGATAGGTTTAACACATTTTGGATAAAAGATCATTGCCAAAACCCAAATCTGATTATGATGATTTAAATTATGAAATTTTATCAATAAAGCATTAATTAAATGTATGAATTTCTTTGTATGGATAATAAAACTATGACAAGCGGAGATTCTTAAGGACATAGGATACTTCACCAAATATATCACTTATAGTAATTTATTAACAATTTGTACAGTCTTCGTTACATGTATTGCTTAATGAATCATCATGTAGCTTTCCTTTCAAGCCATCTTTTTTGTATTCTTCCCAAACATATATTCTTTTGGTTGTATTGAAATTCAATCCAAGAAAAATTTTAAAAAAATAAAATTCCCAAAATTTTCTTCTAGATTTTCTGGATAGTTGTATTTTATGTATTAGTAGTTTATTAAAATTTTTGTTTGACCACATAATAGAAAATCCAGTGTATTTCCTGCGATTAATTTCTATAGAGGAATAAACGAGGATGAAAGAATAATGATGGCTTAAAAAGGAAAATATGTGTTATAGCTATAATAAATCCCTTACAAACTATTTACATTTTTAAAACATTTTTTAGCAATACTGACTAATTATATATGTATACAGAGAGTGAGAGAGAGTGGAGTTTTAGGCATTTTACATCCTAATACAAGTTGCGAACGAATTGTGCGAATCTATTCGGAATATCTGTAAAGGTTTTTACAAAATTGTATTTATAAACTTTATTGACATACACTTTTAATTTGTTTTTATTTTATGAAATTATTATTTTACCTATCTTTATCTATATTAATGTGAATTAAAATTGCTAAGAAATATTTTTAATTGACACATGTACATTCTTCACCTTTGAAAACAATATTTTAATTTGTGGATTTCAGGGTATGATGTCTAGAGACATCTCTACATGTATATTACATATACGTTTTGTGTTGTACTATGTATTTTGGTTGTTGTATAAAATTTACTTTTGTATTGTAGTTGTAGATATTTTATCAAATTCATCTTAATGTTTATCTTCAATTTTTCTACAATAACAATTTTCAAACAAAATAAGCTTTAGGAATATGCTGTAGGAAATTTATCAACAGAAGTGTAAATAAAAGATAAAATTACAAAATTATTTATTAACAATAGTCTGACTGTTACACAATCTGTTGTACTGGAGCAGCGCCTGTTGTGGCTATACAGTCCGATATGGGGACGGCAAGTCCTCTGTCATTTACTGCAGGTGTAGCTAGTGGAGGGTGCGACAGGACTTGACTGGTTACACTGTCACCTGTGGATCCTTTTGTTTTCCTTCTAATCCTCCCTCCTTTTTCTCTGCTTGTTGTTGGGCGCCTGCTGTAAAGATGGAGCGCCACGTTTTACAATCCAGTGTTTTATATAAAAATTCACATAAATATCTATATAAATATGAAAAATCATTCAAATATGGTAACTTTTGAAAATTGACTTGAAGGTAGGCGGCAGAACAATACTATCGTTCGCAGTTTTTTGCGTTGTTAGAATTAAGCATTTTGCTACTAAGTTACTGGTACTGATAAAGGAATCCATGCTTTTTTTTTATTTAATTAATTTGAACTGTGGATTCCTCTTACCTGTATGGTACTAGTACCACTGATCAAGGTGCTAGTGACTTTGTTATCAAAAAATGACAGTCTAAAATCCACGCTAGGAAACAAAGATAACGGTACGATAAACTCTGAAATTAAATTGTGCTTGACAAATTACGATGAAAATAGGAAATATTGCAGGGTTTTATTTTTTCCAAGTACTCAAAGATTTTTATAATCGATACTTGTGTAACGTGTCTGCCTCACACGTATATAATTTTCTTCTGGGTCTAGGGCCCCCTCAGATAACTTGCTGAGGTATTTGATTGTTTGATAGGAACTTATTTACATTTACAATATATATATATATCGGGTGCTTCCCTAGCAAGCAAATAAACAAACTCAATTGAGTCTCGGAGGCCTTACATATATATATATATATATATATATATATATATATATATATATATATATATATATATATATATATATATATATATGCGCGTGGCGCAGTGGTTAGAGCGTTCGCTCTAGAGTCGCGGAGTAAGGAGTTGATCCTTACGTCGCGGGTTCGAATCCCACTGCGAGACGTGGAGACCGGTCCTTCGAATGAGACCGTATAAACCGAGGTCCCGTGTCGCAGTAGGTGCTGGCACGAAAAAGATCCCTCACTGCTCAATGGCCCTAAGTGCCGAAATTTGCAGTTCTCCACCAGCAAGTATTGGCGTCTCCATATGAGTAAAAAATTCTCGAGAGGGACGTTAAACAATAAAAAAAAAAAACAACAAACAGACCTATGAGACATTTGACCATTCCATAGATATCACAGACCTCAGGATGAATATCTACTGGTTTAATGCCAAGGAAGGACCTACCTTTTATATAGGCCCTAATTTCAAGTGCATTGTTTGCTCTTTTTTTCCAGTCATTTTAGTATAATGTAATGAATACGCTATTATATTATACTTTCATGTAAATTAGTTGAATCTGATTCGTCGAGAAACATTTGTTAAAAAACACTATTACCCGCTGAATAATGAAGCCACGCCCTCCAGCGTAGTAACAGTCAACATTTCTTGACGACGGGTGATATTCCAAAAAAATATTGACTGCGCAGAAATTATGCGCGCAAGGTTCACTGTAATTTGTATTTGTATAAAACATTCAGTATAATATAATAAATATATTGCATGTAGTTGAGTGTAACATTGAAAATTTTCAACCCTTGAAAACCATTGTCAAAATCGGCTGCGCCTCGGTTGACAATGGTTTTCTTGGGGTGAAATTTTTCAATTACACTCAACTACATGCAATCTTTATATAATAAAAGCAATGTACACTGTAGCTAAATCAGTGAAATTGTGAACATGAAATTTTCTTCCGTTAAGGTTCAGCGATCAGTCTAACGTGTCAATGTTTTTTATGCAAGTTATTTACACGATTTTCACGCGGCGATGATGAAATGACATTATTTTTTAGAACACTTCTCGTATTAAGGATTAATTGCCCTTCTAATAAACTTCTAGATGTTGTAGCTCAATTAAGAAATTCGTCCATCAAAATATGTTCTAAAGTCGACTTAATACCCATTCATGCGCAGTTCACAAGTGGGGAAAAAAATCAAATTTTCTGTGCAAATGAATATAAAAATTCTTTTAACCTCAACTTTTTTTAATTCGATGTGATGTAGACAGGTCTGCGTTTTAAGATATTCTGTCTTGATAAATTATTGTTTTGTTTATAACTGGCGTGCAAAATTAGTAAATTTCATGCAGGAATTACCAAAAAGGGATTCCAAATATTTGCATATTTACCTGTTTGCACATATACCATACTATTTGTAGATCAAACATGGCAGAAAATTCGGAAGAAAACGCTACAGGTGAATTTATCAAGCTTTTATTTTTCAGTTCTGTTTAACTTTTAAACTTGAATGAAAACAAAATCCTGAAGTAATTATTATTATTTGTTTTTTGTAAACTTAGCAATTTTTTTTAATTTTTTAATTATGGACATAGGTACAAAGATTTTTCTTGAGTCAAACTACATAAAACACACTATAAGGTATTAAAATTCACAGCGAAAAGGCATAAAAAAAGCAAAATTATGCTAATTATAATATTGTTTATAACATAATATTTAACACCGCTTTTGTTTTAAATTCTTTGAAATATTTTAAATTCGACGTCTGTATCCTTTTCTCTGAATGAAAATTATTTCCTCTGTGAAAAGCCCTTCGTCTACGCTTTTTTAACAGTATTTTTACGTAGTCGCTGTGGCCCGAATGGAATGCACGCTTACTTGTTGACAAATCTTTCTTCCTGTCTTATTCCAAAATAAGTCAATTCTTGACAAGGGCAACTTCATTGTTGCTCAATCCAATGCATCAAGAACTAGATGTGTCGTTAACGCCACGAATGCCCCCGCAGGCAGCCAAAATTTCAAATGCAATATTTAGTTTTAAATTTGTATTCAAAGTGACCCGTATTTTCTGGTAAAATACCTGCATATGCAATTTCAAACTTTAACATACATCCCTACAAAAGTTAGAGAGCGGAAACTGAAAATTTCTTATTTTTTCTAAGTTCAAGAGGGATAACTCTGTCAAAAATCATTGGACCACGACCAAATTCGAACTTGACTTGTATTATTTTCTTTAAAAAATACCTGCACATACAATTTCAACCTTATGCATACATCCCTACAATAGTTAGTGGAAACTGAAAATTTCTTTTTTTTTCTAAGTTCAAGAGGGATAACTCGGTCAAAAATCATCAGACTATGACCAAATTCGAACTTGACTTGTATTTTCTTAAAAAATACCTGCACCTGCAATTTCAATCTTATACATACACCCCTACAAAAGTTAGAGAGTGGGAACTGAAAATTTCTTATTTTTTTCTAAGTTCAAGAGCCGTCATGGTAGCTCAGTCGGTAGAGCGCTCGATCCGTGATCGGAAGGCCGTGAGTTCGACTGTAGGCCGCGACTGACCTAAGTCGATAAAAGATAGGTAGCAACTGTTCCTTCGCCAGGCGCTCGGCACTTTGAAGTGAAAGTTGCGGGTCCTTCGGATGAGACCTTAGAAACCGAGGCCCCGTGTCATGGCAGGCGTTGGTACGATAAAGATCCCTCACTGCTCAATGGCCCTGAGTGCCGAGTAAAGGTCTAAATTTGAAGCCTTTCACCGGTATGTGTTGATGTCTCTATATGAGTGAAAAATTCTCGAATGGGACGTAAAACAACATACAAACAATCAATCAATCTAAGTTCAAGAGGGATAAATTTGTCAAAAATCATCGGACCACGACCAAATACAAACTTGACCTGTATTTTTTGGTAAAATACCTGCACATGCAATTTCAACCTTTTACATACATCCCTTCAAAAGTTTCAAATGATTTTCTAAGTTCAAGAGGGATAACTCTGTCAAAAATCATCCGACCATGACCAAATTCGAATTTGACCTGCATATTCCAATGACGTATCCATATGAATGTGTGCAACTGTTGCATAGATAATGAACGGAAAGTGAATGATGTCGGAATGACAGAATGACGGAACAGGGTAACACTATATGCCCCGGGCATTTCATGGCGGGGGCATAAAAATGCCATCAGTATTTGAAAGTCCTAAGCATTCTTAAATTTAGATTGCCTTAAAAATTCTCTCTCTCTCTCTCTCTCTCCTTCAAAATAGGACATCCTGATGGCACAGCTTTTACAAGAAATGAATATCAAAGCAAATGTGTCTCAAGTTTCATTCACTTAATTAGCTAGCATGAGATCATCCATCATCAAATTTTACTAGAACCTGGCACCGTTTATGACAATATTCATATTTTCAAAAATGGTATCCCAGGTAGCACAAAACGTTTTCATAACATTTTATTCCCGTTGTATTGGTGTTATCTGAAAACGTTTTTAATAAAACGTTTATAAAATGTTTTTAAAACGTTTTATTTTGGTTGTAAACACGTTATTAAAAAACGTTCTTAACAATCATTTTAAAAATGTTTTTTATAACATTTTTTTCCTGTTGCAAGGAGGTTTTGAGAAAACATTTAGCATTTAACATTAATTTCTATAATGATAAAATATCGCGCAGCTATAAATTGAATAGCATGATTAAAAAAAAATACTTCGTGTAATAATTATTATAAATTTCATGAAATACAAATGTTAGGAGACAACATGAATACAACATTGTCTTAAAATGTTTGCAAAACATTGTAAAAACGTTACAGAAATACCAACTCCAAGCATAAGAAGTTTTTAATTATTTAGTGCAAGACGATACATGTATATAAATATATAAAACTTTTGTTTTCTTATAAATAGCTCCGAAGTTTGAGTTATGATTGATTTTGAGTTGTGATAATTAAATTTAGACCCCCAAAAATTAAAAAACAAAACAAAACAACAACAACAACCCGGAAATGTGTTCATATTTTTCTTTTATACCATTGTAAATAATATTTATATATAACAAGGAGAGTAAAAAAAATTCCAAAAACTTATTTGTTCAACAAAGTTCCTGAATTAAAAAATTCAGTGGAGTCATTTATTTGTGCTATGGGAAATAAGTTCCCCCTTCGATAATGTGTTTATCGAGAGTTAATTGAGTGACACAGCGGGATGCCATGGCCAGTGCTGATGCAGTCGATCCTTGTTGCAAACTATGTCCATGTGATCTATATAGGTCAACAGAATCACAGTATTGAAAAACCCGGCGGCATTCTTGTAAGACAAAGAAAAGGAATAGGGGAATACCTTTCAAATATCAACGTTTGGTATGTTAAATTTTAAATAGTATTCATTGCCTATATATTTAGCAATCATATAGTGTAGCTTTAAATACATATGCATTTAGAATCTTAGATCTTTCATTCTTATAGACTTAGGTGTATATATATGTTTATAAAGTTCATTGGCATTTGAATTAGGCGGGCGATTTATTGTTTGAAAACTTGGGTTTATTTACATGTATTAAAATTGTGTGACGGGTTTCAAAACATAATTAAAACATAGTTGGGAATAGGAATGGGTGTGGGAGGGGGTCTTAACAAGACAGGGTTAAATAATTCTTAAGAGGGGATTAGTTAGACTTTTCCGAATTTGAGTTATGTATTACAGAATACAATGCCACGTTAAACCTATTTTCTTTTGGAAGGGAAAGGAGAGAAATTAATTAATCAATCTCAGGCTTGATTATATATTTGCTAGCCATCAAATTTTGAAATACACATTCTTCAAGATAAAATATAACACTCATTTTAGTGAATGCAGTGGTTTCAACGCAGGGCGGAGATATGCAGGACAATGATGCAAACAAATTCCATGGGTCAGTTCACTAAGACTGGACAAAGGGTTGCACCCCTTTAAAGAATTATTAAGAGTAAGTTTTATCACCATTAATGCTAAGAAAATGCATTAAGATTCAGTTAACATATCAACTTATAAATCATTGGAAAATGTATACAGCAAAAGGAAACTGATCTAAGTACTAGTAATGCTGTGTTGTTTTCATTGAACTATTAAACATAGGCGTCGGAGCCGGGGGGTCTAAGCCCCCTCCCCCAACTTTTTTGCAAAGATAGACGTAATAGAGTTAGTGAAAATTCGGGTTAACCCCTCCCCCCAACGTTTTTGTTGGTTTAGCCCCCCCCCCCCCACTTTTAAATTGCTTCCGATGCCTTTGTTAAATATGTTTATACATTAACTTATTTACATTTCTTATAATGAATTTCACATTACATTTTAGTAGCTGCTGCTTACAAGCCTTACAAAGCATCAAAGACAATCTCTTACGATTTAATGAGAGGTGGGACGAAGAGGTTTGAGCCATACCTTCCTGGAGGAATTATTAAATATGATAAGGTACGTTTGAAGTTGGTTGTCAGAAATATATAGATATAATACCACCTGTATTTTTTTGTTTATTAATACAACTGTATAACAAAGCATACTTTCTTTGTGTTTATCAGATTTTTATATACTAGTATGTTTAGTTAGTTGTCAGATGCCTTATTACATGGATATGTTTAACTTAAAAGAAATGTACGAGTATAAATGGGTAATCATTTAGTCAAAGTTTTATGTCCAAATTAATCTTTGTTTTTCAGAAGAACACAGAGAAGTCCAAGTGTATAACAGATTGATTTCTAATGGAATAAGGATGCTGTGATCTTTTCGTATTTCAAACAGTACAAATTTCATTTGAAGGAAGACTGTAATTTTATTGTGCAGGTGTTAAAAAAAAAAACAGTGTTTAGACAACATTAATGAATGGATTTAAATTTATTAAATTATAAGACATATATTGTTTATTATGTTGTAAAATTGATTTTTTAAATGTTTTAAAAACGTTTTAAGAAATGTTCTCAAAACGTTTTTAAAAATGTTTTCCAAACGTTTTTAAAAATGTTTTTAAAACATTTCAGTACAACGTTTTTGCAAAACGTTATAATAACGTTTAAAAAACCACACAAAATAACGTTGTAATAACGTTTTAGAAAATGTTTTCATAACATTTTCATAACGTTTTTATAACGTTTTAATAACGTTGTTGTGCTAACTGGGATGTCAGTGCACAGAGGGTACGGGTATTAACAAAGAACCACCCACCTCTTTGATTGGAGACCCATGGGTTTTTACAGTCACCTGAATATCACGAGTTTGCTACCTATAACAGGCAATGAGTCCATTACCAATATCATGAAATGGCTCCTGTGTTGTCTCCATTCTCCAGGGTGGGGCTATTAAGTTGGTCATATATATTGAAAATGCATTAAACTGTAGAATCGTCATTGTTCATGAGGGACCAATGGAATAATCCTTACCCATAAATTTACATCCTAACGGACGATAAGCTTATCGGTTCATTGAATCTTCTTTGAATAACGAGTTACATGAACCCAAGACATCAAGTCCCCATGAGCCAGTAAAATTTTGGTTTTCCATAAACTAGCACGGATTAAAATGATTCTACAGTAATTTTTAAAAGACCCCCTTTTACTTGAAAGTGAAGGAGGAACAATCGTTTCCTAGGTTTGTCGCGGCCGGGACTCGAACTACTACATTCCTATCACAGAGCGAGCATTCTACCCGAAAAAGCTACCATGGTGGTCAGATGAGTACATGTACATGTATTAAAATGTAATATAATTAAAACGGAAAATGTATGGCTGTGCCCCCCCCCCCCCCCCCAACTGTAATTGCTTCCTTCGGACCTGCATTTTTAAGTGTTCTAAGATTTACCTAAGATAAAAAGGGGGAAGTCCACTGAGTTATCTTCTAGGACACGTATACCAGAGATACAATGTAAAGACTTACAGCCCTTACTCCCTCTAATACTCGTGAGTGGTCGTATTCATTTCTAATATTATTTGCAGTCATTTTGCTTCGGTTCAAACCATGTTTGCTTGCGCTTAAAAACGAATTTCATTTACAGTAGAAGGTTTTTGATCAAATGGTTACCTCAAAATATGACTAAAAGAATATAAAAGTTCACTGTGTTTCAATACTTTCCGTTTTGATGATTAAGTAAACATTTTGCACAAGATCAGCAAATCGTCACAAGCCAAATATTTAGTCCGTACCCTTTTCTGCAAAAAATTATTAGGGTCCTATTATGCCTTTCAATTTAATTTGATCCCACTAAGATTTAATTTATATGTATAGAAAAGGCTTAAAGCATGCTTTAATTAAAAGAAAATGAATAAATTATACATGTTGTTGCATTAATTCATTACTGAATCTGTGAATGTATTATGGAGATCGTCTCTCTTTTTTAGGAGCTTGGTCAATATGCAGCACTGTGGCTCTAGGAATATGTGGTGGTGTTTTCGGATTAAGTATGCCTTATTGTTTTAAAACTTATTGTTTGAATCCTTATTTTCTTTGGGGGATAAATATAAGATATCCTGTCTTTATTTGAATTCTTTACCTTAATGAGTTAGTGGGGAATTACAAAATTCTTTATCTTAAATGTTTTGGATTTTATCCTTTGTAGTATTTGTCCTTTTCTACATTGCTTATCTGATTGGTATCCCTATTGCCAGCATCGTCATAGGTAGGTAGCAATGTATTTTATTATTAATTTTTTTTTTTACTGAATCAGATGTTAAATAAATGATGAACTTGACTTGCATGGCTAAGTGTGTATAAAAAAAAACAAAACAAACAAAAACAAACAAAAAAAAAAAAAAAAAAAAAAAAAAAAAAAAAAAAAAAAAACAAAAAAAAAACGAGTATTTGCAGATGTATTCTAATCATAAATACGTATTTCTGAAGCACCCTCTTCTCTCAATTAAAATGATTTTATTTTTGGTTTAATTTTCTTATAAATGTTACTTTAATGAAAAGGGTGAAGATAACGAAAGTGATCAATGTCAAAAAAACTAGAAATAATACAAATCTGTGAACACGGCATAAAACATGGAAATTCCAGAGGTGGGGTCAGGTGCCTAGGAGAAGTAAACATCCCCTGTCAACCCGTCACACCCGCTGTGAGCCCTTTGTATTGATCAGGTAGACGGAATAATCCGTAATCAAATTTAGTATAATAACGATGGCCTGACAATTGGTATGAAATAAGGCAGTCAAAATACGACCTAATGCTATGTTGTATTTGCAAATAAAGTCAATACATGTATAACGACCATAGAATTCACGAAATGCTGACTTTAACGAGGTTGTTGAAATCCCTGTAACATCAGTTTGTCTGTCAGTAGCCTGTCGCGGTTAAAAAACACCATATACAGGTGATAGTTGAAAATATTACTACATAAGTAAGGACAGTTGCCGATGAAAAAGCTGAAGTAATCTCGTTTGTTAAAGAGTGTAGTTGTTAGTTGGCCCTTATTTGCATTTTTTATGTTTTCGGATTGCAAATAACAATAATTAACAATAACTGCTACCGTTTAATAATTTTTTTAATTAAAGAATAGCTTTTACTGAGACATCCTTCTGCTTACTTTAAAAAGTTGAACCTGTGTATAAATTCTTGGTTTTGAAAGATAATAGATGTATTTCAATTCTTCTTCCTAACATGATTTGCTTCCCTATGATCTTCAGTTAGCTATTGTATTAACAGCATTTTGCCACTTAGTGTAACTTTGTATTAAGATTCAAGGAGGCAAAACGTTACCGAAACATCGAAATTTAAAATGTGAAACTAAACAAATAGAGTTTAGTAGCTTAGTTGTAGTGCTAGATGTTTTTGTTTCATTTGTTTGTTTTTTTTTTTTTTAATGATTTTTAAAAAAAAATTTTTTTCTTTGTCCCGAGGAAGTGTCGTCGGTCATTTCTTGTGCTTCATATATATATATATATATATATATATATATATATATATATAAAAGGCAAAATTATTGAAGAGAACAACTTATCCCCCCCCCCCCCCCAAGTCAGTGCTCCCCTGATTACATAGGCGTCACAACTTACATGTAGTTTCAGATCTATTTTGCTAGAAATAATTTCAAGATGTTTGAAATTTCTACTTAATTACTTCATCTGTATATTTTATCAAATGTGATGACTGTTACTCAATATACTTGTTTTACAAGGGGCCCTGTACCTTGATGATTGTCCGTTACAGCGACTCATTCCCGTTTATCTGATTGTGTCCGGTGTACTGGGTCCAGTTTTTGGAATATTTGAAAGATGTCGGTCAGCTCTATGCACGGTGGAAACTGCTCCTGGACAAAGGGAGACCATACCAAATGCATACGGCTATTGTGGATATTTCACAGCCATCTTGCTTGGCTTGGTTTGGACCGGGTTGTTTATATTAGGTAAGTAAAAAGGACGGAGGCATTTATGGTAAACTTCGTATTTTTTAAAGTATTCTCTATATTAAAAAATTACACCTTACGCAATTAAAAACCCTAATATTGTCATTCTCCGACCATCCCTCAACTGAATACTAGAAGTTCCACAACTGTGTCCCTATCTATTAATGTGTACACACTGTCTTATTTTAGTATTTATTTTTAGGGAACGTGTTGGTGTACGGTACATATGATGTTGTCAGCAGTAACTCCACCTCCGTAGAATACTGTCACCCCACGGCATACTACTTCACATTCTGGTCCATTACATCATTTTACATATTGCTTGGGTTCAGTTTAGTCGTATTCTCTTGCTGTTTTGCTGTTGGGATTTGCTATGCTTTAATGGCAAAGGAATAAACTACTGGTATCAGTTCGGCGAGGTACTTTGAATCCATTTCATCTAATATAACACTGTATAGATCTCTGTGAAAATAGCCTAAACTTTGGACTGAGAAGTGTATATGAGTGAAAATTTTTCGCAATGGACGTTAAACAACTCAATCCATCAGTCCTCCTAATTTCATGAAGTAACATTTAATATTTACTCAGACTGAGTATGTGTACATGTACGTTTCTCCCATTATCAACATCACTCCAAACACATAAATACTATAATTTATTATGCTGCTTACACCTAGGATGATTCAGATTGGCTGATTTCTTCCGCGCGTTTATAAATGAACCTAAAATGTGCAAGTGGGAGAAACAGGCCCCATGAACATTGCTCGTTAGTTACCACTTTTTCTCAAACGAGAGACTCGAGGCTTACCGAGTGTCTCTTGAAAATTTAAAAAAAAAATTTAAAAGGAAAACAAGTTTGAGGGAAAAAAATGGTTACAGTACTACACCTGTATTTCGCGTATACCATCAGTCTATAGCTGGCTCAATCAAAACCAATTCGAACTATGTAAGGGGAATTAATCAATTATTAAATGTCATCTGTAAAAAAAAATTGTATAATGTTGCATATATCAATAATGTAAAATATGTAGGTGATATTTGTCATTTGCAAATAAAAGTGTGATATCCATTTTTTAATGGGTTTTGTTTTTGTTGAAAAACAGAAAAGATTGATACATTATATTCCTGGTACTGAAGAGACGGGATTGATTGATTAACACATACAAAAAACAGAAAAGATTGAGACATTATATTCCTGGTACTGAAGAGACGGGATTGACTGATTAACACATACAAAAACAGAAAAGGTTGAGACATTATATTCCTGGTACTGAAGAGACGGGATTGACTGATTAACACATACAAAAAACAGAAAAGATTGATACATTATATTCCTGATACTAAAGAGACGGGATTGACTGATTAACACATACAAAACAGAAAAGATTGATACATTATATTCCTGATACTAAACAGACGGGATTGAATGATTAACACATACAAAAACAGAAAAGATTGATACATTATATTCCTGATACTAAACAGACGGGATTGAATGATTAACACATACAAAAAAAAAACAGAAAAGATTGATACATTATATTCCTGATACTAAACAGACGGGATTGACTGATTAACACATACAAAAACAGAAAAGATTGATACATTATATTCCTGGTACTGAAGAGACGGGATTGACTGATTAACACATACAAAAAAACAGAAATGATTGATACATTATATTCCTGGTACTGAAGAGACGGGATTGACTGATTAACACATACAAAAACAGAAAAGATTGATACATTATATTCCTGGTACTGAAGAGACGGGATTGACTGATTAATACATACAAAAAACAGAAAAGATTGAGACATTATATTCCTGATACTAAAGAGACGGGATTGACTGATTAATACATACAAAAACAGAAAAGATTGATACACTATATTCCTGGTACTGAAGAGACGGGATTGACTGATTAACACATACAAAAACAGGCAAAAGTATGGGGAGGGAGAGGGGCTGGGGTCTGGATCACCATTTTTCCACGCAAGAAATGTTTTCTTTTTTCGCTGTTATAATTTAGTATTGAATTTTTCATTAAAGGCTGATACCCCCTTTTTTCGTCAAAATGAGAGGAAGCAAGCCCCCCCCCCTCCCTTTCCACAAATATACTATTTCAAACTAGAGATACTTGAGATAATCCCTGCATTTTCTCAATCGCTGCATCTTATGTTTCTCCATTACGAAGTTAAAGACCAGCAGCAATTATACACATTTTTTGTGAATAACCTTTGACTTGCCAAAATGATCTTGGGCGAGATTATGACACATACTTATGTAATAAGCAATCATTGTGTCAAGCATAGGCTTACGATATTTCTCCATTAGGAAGTTACGGACCGGACGAATTATACATTTTTCTGTAGAAAGCTATGCACCGGTCCCGGATTATATATATCAGGTTGTGTGTTGTAAAACTGAAGTAAGAGTAGTCAATATATACCTGGTTGTGTTATAAATGGTTGTTCTAAACTTGATATATGTATCTGCCATTTATATTTTTATGTCACTGTCAGAATGTTAGCTTGATTTTTCTTATAATTTTGAAATGTCATCGCTAAATATTGCATACTGGAACGTACATGGTCTAAGTGATGAAAAGTTAAATGATGATCTTTTAAGAAACTTTTGTACAAAATATGATATTGTTTGTTTAGCTGAAACAATGCTGAAGGATTCAACAAGAAATCTTCCAGGATTTTCTCCACCATTTGTATTGAACGCAAAAAAGACAAAGAAAAGGGGTAGACCATCAGGTGGATTACATGTATATATTAAACCTACAATATACAAACACTTCAAAAAAGTATTTCAAAGTGAAAATAGCATTTGGCTTGAAATTAACACTCGAAATACAAAATCAGAACAGAATATTGATTCATATTATTTTTGCTTCTGTTATATAAAACCATACGTAAGTAAGGCAAAATCGGAAGAAGTATTTTCTAATTTAGAAAATGAAATTGCAAACTATAGAAGCAAAGGAGAAATTTTTGTTTGTGGAGATTTTAATGCTCGTACAGGGGGGCTGCAAGATTTTATACAACATGACACACTGAATGATACATTTTTGGATTGCCCTCTACCAGAATACATATATGAACCTGACATTTCAGTGAACAGAAACCAACTTGATAAGACATCAAATTTACATGGACACCTAATTACAGATATTTGCAAAACATATAGATTATCCATCCTGAATGGAAGATTTCTTGGTGACTCACTTGGCTATTTTACATTTTTTAATTCTAATGGTTCAAGCACTGTTGACTATATGTTGGCATCAAGTCAGTTGTATCATAAAATTGAACATTTTAATGTATTACCTCCTACGGAAATATCAGATCATTGCCTTATAACTGCAAGTATTAATATGAACACAAATGTGTTTTGCAATGAAAAATATAAAATGCACTCTTTGAAGGGGAAATATCTCTGGTCAAGCACTTGTAAAAACCAATATGCAGAAGCTATTAATGAGGAAGAAACTAAAAATCAAATACTAATGTTGGATAATTTACTTGACCAAATATATGATGATAACACATATGATTCAAATGATCTTGTTTATAAACTATCAAGTATTATAATTAATGCAGCTAATAAAAGTGTTCCATTTAAACCTGCAAAATTTACAAAATCACAACGAAAAAATAAACAAAGACCAAAATGGATGACTACAGATTGCTTACTCCTACGAAAAGAAGTTAGAAATTTAGGGAAGAAAGTACACAAATATCCAAACAACTGTGAACTAAAACATGCCTTTGCAAAATGTAGAAAAGATTATAATAAACTAAGAAAAAGTCTTAAATCTAATTTTTACAATAGTATTGCAGAAGAAATTAACACGCTTTCGCCACAAAACTCCAGTAAATTTTGGAATAAGATAAAAGAAAATAAATCAAAGAAAACTAATGCAGAAACAATTGGAATTTCAGAATTCGTTGACCACTACAAATCCTTACTGAACATTCAATATACTGATGAAGAGAGCTTGAAATACAAGTACACTGAACTAAATACTGAACCAAATCCATTAGACTTTTTGTTTACTCAAGATGAAATAGAACAAAGCATTTTAAAGCTGAAAAATGGTAAAAGTGCTGGGCCTGACTTAATTTTAAATGAGTTTATTAAAACAAACAATACTACCCTTTTACCTGTCCTTACAAAACTGTTTAATATTCTACTTAAAAATGGAAAAATGCCCAAAGAATGGAACCTTTCACTTATAACATCATTATACAAAAATGGTGATCCTAATAATACAAACAATTATAGGGGTCTCAGTGTTACAAGTTGTTTAGGAAAACTTTTTACAGGCCTTCTACAGAAACGCTTAGATAATTATCTTGAGTCAAATAACCTACTAAGTCAATATCAATCTGGATTTAGAAAAGGTCATAGGACCACTGACAATATATTTGTACTAAAAACACTTGTAAACAAATATCTTTATACAAAGAAACAGAATTTATATGTGGGCTCTGTAGATTTTTCAAAAGCATTTGATACTGTGTGGAGATCTGCACTTTTATACAAATTGAATAAAAAGGGTATTGGTGGTAACTTTCTCAAACTTTTGACAGACATGTATACAAATACATACTATTCTTGTAAAAAGGACAATCAAATGAGTGAAAAATTTAAAGCTAACAGAGGAGTCAAACAAGGTGATAATTTAAGTCCAACACTTTTCAATATCTTTGTTGATGATTTTGTGAATTATCTTAAAAATGTAAGCACATATCCTGCATATCTAGATACTATGCCAATAAATCATATGTTTTTTGCTGATGATCTGGTCCTTGTATCAGAATCAGAAGTTGGTCTACAAAACTGTATAGATGTTTTAGGAAAATATTGTTCAGACTGGAAATTGTGTGTTAATATGGATAAAACAGATGTTATGATTTTTTCAAGAAAAACAGATGATGAAACATCATTTAGATTTTATTACAATCACCAAATGATTAACATAACGAATGAATATAAATATTTGGGTGTTGTGTTCAGATCTGATGGAAAAATGAAATTTGCAGCTGAACAACTATCAGAACGTGCTAGGAAAGCATATTATGCTATTAAATCAAATTTTCCTGCAAACATTAATTTTTCAGCTGAAATTATGTTAAAATTATACCAGTCAATGATAATACCAATTATTACATATGGATCTGAAGTATGGATAACTGACTTCAAATGTGATTTAATGTCTTCAGACCAATTTCCTTTTGAAAAAACACAACACTTAATATTTAAAGACATACTAGGGGTACATAGAAAGGCATCAAATCTTGCTGTTTTATGTGAATTGGGTCGTTTTCCTTTGTACTATTTATGTTATGAATATATGTTTAAATATTTTAAGAGACTTAAGGAAATGGAAAACAAACATGATTATAATAATTATTTAGTGATTTCTGCATTTAAAGAAGACAAAAAACTTGTATCTAGAATATCTTGGCAAAGAAAACTGTCTTCATTACTACAAAAATTAAATATCACTTCTTTGGATATTTCTCACACAACCTTGAAAAACAAATTACAAGAGCATTACCAAAACAAGATACATGAACAACTGAAAAATATAAGCAAATCAAACTCTGGAAAGTTAGCTTTTTATAGTTAAATTGTAATTCAAAATGAATACAAATTGCAAAGTTATTTAAAGCTGCCTTTAAAGAAAAGTTTTAGATCTGTATTAACAAAATTAAGGATCAGTGCCCATCCATTGTATATTGAAACGGGCAGATACTGTAAACCCCCTATTCCTAGAGAAAAACGTTTATGCTATTCATGTAAATTATTTATTGAAGATGAAAAACATTTTGTTCTATACTGTTCAAAGTATGACCAATTTAGATGCAATTATACTGATATATTTAATGTAAACACATATACTAGTGATAATCCCATTAGAAAAATTGTCAATCCTACAAATATTACAACTGCTAGAAGGATATGTTGTTTTTTGAAAAAGTGCTTTGACACCAGAAAAGAAAGTCAGCAATGAATACTTAGAAATATGTGAATATACTCTACATTATTTTGTTCAACTCACATTTGTCACTTTGTATATGTATGTATTATTCTTGTTAATTCGTTTTATGTCATGACTGTATGCCGACATGGTAATTGTCAATAAAGTGAATTGAATTGAATATTTTCCTACGTTACCTTGAGCTTGCCAGAATGACCTTGTATCAAGTTAATGACACAGCATCAGATCATAAACAATCTTCTCAAGTAAAAGCTTTCAATGTTTCTCTATTACAAACTTCTGTTTCCTACAGGAGTAATACTTGTTTCTGCCAGTGACCTTGAACTCGCCAAAATGACCTTATCTCAGGGTCTTAACATACTCTCATGTAATAAATAATCCTTGTTTCGAGTATGAACTTCCATTGTCTCTCCATTACAAGTAAAGCGATGGCCCGTACACGATTTTTATGCCCCTGGATCGAAAGATCCCGGGGGTATATTGTTTTTGTGCTGTCTGTCTGTTTGTCCGTTTGTCTGTCTGTTGTCAACTTTAACCTTGCCCATAACTTTTAATTGGTTGGAAATATGACTTTCATATTTCACATGTGTATTCCTTGTGACAAGACCTTTCTTTGGGTACCGTCATATTTGACCTTTTGACCTTGAAATTAAACTCACTTTTGCAAAATTTTATGAGACATTAACCTTGGCCATAACTTCTGAATAGTTGGTGCTTGGGGTTTCAAACTTCACTTGTGTATTCTTTGTGACAAGGCCTTCCTTTGATACCAACCACTTTGACCTTTTGACCTTGACGTTTGACCTACTATTGAAAAACTTTAACCTTGGCCGTAACTTTTGAAGAGTTGGTGCCTGGGGTTTCAAACTTCAATGTGTATTCCTTGTGACAAGACTTTCCTCTGAATATCAACCTCTTTGACACTTTGACCTTGACCTACTTTTGAAAAACTTTAACCTTGGCCAGAACTTTTGAATGGTTGGTGCTACCCTAAGGGTTTTCATACTTCACATATGTAATCCTTGTGACAAGACCTTCCTTTGGATACCAACAACTTTGACCTTGACCTTGACGTTTTACTTAATTTAAAAGAACTTTAACCTTCGCCATAACTTTTGAACAGTTGCAGCTAGGTCTTTCAAATTTCACAGGTATATTCCCCGAAACAAGACCTTTCTTTGGGTTATAACATTTTTATCTTTTGGCCTGGATTTGACTTGCATTTGAAAAACTTTGACCTTCGCCATAAGCTGCATACGGGGGTATCAGTGTTTCACAAACACATCTTGTTGTACCTGTAATTTTGCCTAAAACAAAGCGTCTAACTTAATATGTCAAAATATCGCATATTTCTAAAGATGGAAGTTGTTTCAGGTCGTCAGTTTCACCTTCGTTATGTCCGGTACGACAACTCCAAAAATCAGATTTAGTTGTCTATGACCTCAAGAACTTCTAAATATAGTAACTTCTGCCAACCTGATCATGACTTAGTTGTGCTGTTACAAATTTATATTGTACCTTTACATGTAAGTTCTGTAATTAATTGTCTTTAAGTTATTTTAGACTTATTTACTTATCAAAAATACATAACTTTCTATGCGAGTGCCATGGAGGAGTAAGCATCCCGGAAATGATATTCTACTCATCTCTTCTATTCATACTTGGTCAAAATGTTTTAATTGTCCTAAAATAACGATTATTTACTATTATTATACTCGATTCTTTTTTTTTTTTTACTTTCCAATGTCAGCAAATCAGGACATAAAATTACATGGACTATTTATGATATTTTTGCATCAATTTATTTTGAGCATTAATATATATTTTTCAGTTCAGGTAAGAAATGTAGAAGAAATAGAGGCTTATTAATAATCTGAATATTCATAAGACTGAGTCACTACTTGCTTCACAACGGAGATCTTCAGAAGTTTTAGCACTTTCCAATTAAAAATAAAAAAGGGAAGGATTGCATTATTGCAGGTACACTGCGGTATGTAAAGGAACCTCACCAGTTTAGGAATGACTCTAATTCTTGGCCAGATTATTCGAGTATAACCTAGCTGGTTTGGGTCAGTTTACGCTTTATAATCCGCGAAGCGGATTATAAAACAGCGTAAACTGACCCAAACCAGGTTATACTCGAATAATCTGGCCAAGAATTAGAGTCATTCCTTATAATTTAATTTTAAAATCATTAAATAGTTATGGGTGTAAAATTTCGTTGCTTTTTATTAGTTCAAATTTGCCGCTCAATAATACAACCGTAGTAACGGAAGTAACGGAAGCGATGGGAAGCAAGGGGAGGTAAAAACTGATACATAGGCCTAGCAGCCTTGTTGTTTGTTTACATGTGGTAAGATGGAATTATTGTTTGAAATTAAAGGTACATTTATTAAATCTGGATTTTTCCATGAATCCCGAGGACTGGAAATGAGAGGATTGTATTAATATAGATGATTCAGCTTGTTGTCAGGGGGGGGGGTGTCCCCATACCAAACCAAGTTATACAGAAATAATTTGTGTTCCTTTTTGGATATTAACCAATCAGAGGCTAAAATACAAACAAAATTAAAGTATTTCCGAATACAGAACTCAATATGCAGTCTTCATTTAAACAATATTTTATTATGCATAATCATAATAGGATTGGACAGCAGGCATTGCCTATATAAGTCTTCTCCAGTAATAGCAAAAAGTAAATATTAGTCACATTACATTGAAAGAATTAATATATACATGTGTATATTCAAAAGAAATTAAAAAAAAAAAAACAAATAGTAAATTAAAAAAAAATTATAAGTGAGCTGATGGTAAAATATATATTTGCAGTTTAACATATATAACTAACAAAAATAATACAGATATAAATGTGAAAGTTAATAAGAACACATAATAGATGCTGGTTCTGTGGTTTGACAATTTAAAAAAAAAGAGAGAGAGAAACAATATCATGCAAATCTCTTTGTAGATGTAATAAATTCATGAACAAAATTAAATATTGCAATATTTTGATTGAAGGTAAGGTTACTCTCTCCATTCAAAATAAGTTGTAAGGATAAAGGCATTGGTAATTCGTAATACATGGAAAGTTATACAATACAAATTGAAAAGATCGAATATTGCAACGTTTGACATGCCATACACGTACGTGGAGAGATTGGTTCATTTATTTTAAATTATCATTTACATCTCTTTTGCAATATTATACATTGAAGTTAATATATGATGTGTTTTTTAAGGAGAACTTACTAGAATACTAAGTCGTACGAAAATAATACTAACTCGTACTTACGAGATATTATCTCGTACGCAAGAGATACAAAGTGGTACATACAAGATACTAAGTCGTACGTACGAGATACTAAGTCGTACGTACGAGATAATATGTCGTACGTATGAGATAATAAGCTGTCAGAAAAAAAAAGTTGGTGTGGGACATGTTTGCACTTTATTGAACGAACAAGAGTCATTTGACGGTTTCATGGCGATGACACATGAAGATTTGCGGACTGGTCCTTGTACGACTAATTACCATCTCGTACGTACGACTGCTATCTCGTACGTACGACATAATATCTCGTACATACGACTTAGTATCTCGTACGTACGACTTAGTATCTCGTACGTACGACTTATTATGTCATACGTACGACTTAGTATCTTGTATGTACGGCATATTATCTCGTAAGTACGACTTAGTATCTCGTACATAGGACATATTATTATCTCGTACGTACGACATATTATGTCATACGTACGACTTACTATCTCGTACGTACGACTTAGAATAAAATATTTTCAATTGGCAGCAATACGCTTGTAAACGTATCTGAGTATTCTAATAAAAGTCAAATGTGTTCTTGTGTTTGGAATGGGCGGGGTGTTAATAAATTCCAAATATCCTGACTTTGATCGAAGTCCGTGTCATTGATTTGTACTTGGGAATTCCAAATTCCTCATTTTAAATGTTGCGGTTGTTTTTAAAGCCTCATTTTTTATTCTTTGTAGTATTTATTCTCTTCTACAATGCTTATTTGGTTGGTATACCACTTGCAAGCATCGTAATAGGTAGGTATCAAAATAATCATTTAGGATTTTATTTTTTAAAAGAAGGATTTTTGCGAGGTGCATGATTTATTGAGCTAAGAGACCTATTCTATGTTCAGAAAAAACAAAAAAGGTGCCATCAAACATTGTTTCATATCGGTGTCAACAGTGAAGTTCTCGAACGATTTTTAAGCCTGTAAACCTTGCACAGTATCTAACTGAAAGACTTTTGTATAATTCAAAAAAAGTTTATTCGAAATGCCACAGCGTTTCGTGGGGTTACATAGGGTTTTATTTTAATGTTATGATTTTTTTTTCTCAGATACATGAAATAAAAAATGTGCCAAATTCAATACACTTCATCTTGTATCTTCACACTTGATCTTCCCCGTGTTATTATAAAGTCGGCTGATATAGTTCAATTTACTTATAGCCAAGTGCAAATAATCTGATTCTGGTGGTATTTCAGACTTGATCCTCCCAATTGCGTGTTTGAACTCTGATATAGATTGTATTACTCTCATTTGGTTTGATCAATGATGTGGCTTGAAATAAGAGAGTTTAAGGATTTTTTGTTGTTGTAAATGTGAGATCAAACAGACAGACAGGCGGAAGTCTTGACGGACAGACATTAGACAAAGGGATTACTACGTGTGTGCAATGCTACACAGTCGACATAACTATAGGTTTTTTTAGAGCAATATTTCCAGAAATGATGTGAAAATGATTGAAATTCTATCTCCTACATATTGTATTGAACAGATAACTGTTACTTAATGTACTTATTTTACAAGGGGCCCTGTACCTTGATGATTGTCCGTTACAGCGACTCATCCCCGTTTATCTGATTGTGTCCGGTGTGCTGGGTCCTGTCATAGGAATATTTGAAAGATGTCGGTCAGTTCTCTGCACGGTAGAAAGTGAACCTGAACAAAGAGTGGAAGTGGTTAGTTCTAATATTGAAAGGAATTGGACAACTTACTGCAAGCTAGAGTGTAATTCTGGACAAAGAGTGACTCGACCCGATGTATTCGGCTATTGTGGCTATTTCACTGTCATCTTGCTTGGCTTGGTTTGGACGGGCGTATTTATATTAGGTAAGTAACAAATAAATTGAGTTCTTTTTAGATTGTGCAGCATACATGGTGCACATAGTATTTTTGAAGTATTAAATATTTTTAATAAATTGCAAATTCCTGTTACTTTAAAGTGATTTCCTGATACCAGCATTAATACAAAGTAAAATTTTCTGAAAAACTCTTTTTTAAAACTGACTTTTTATGTAAAGAATTTTTTTTGATTTGAGAAAATCATCCTCGCAACGTCAGGGGAATTATGTCAACTTGTTGCTGTGGGACCCCTGACAAATTTCATTCGATATCTTACGGACTAACTGCGACGACTTTCAAGAAAATTACAATTATGTTTCTTACCTCTCAACCAATCACATTTAGCCTTTCAGTGATAAACAATGTCTAGCACGTTTGGGTATCAGCTGATTCTTTTCTGTTTACATTATCTGTCTACTTCAATTTTATTGGTGCTTCTCAATGAGAAAAGCAAGCCCGTACGATATCGAATGAAATTTGTCAGGGGTCCCACGGCAGCGAGTTGACACGTACAGGACCCCTGACATTGTGAGGATGTGAGAAAATGAGTTCGGAGAACTGCACATTCCTTTTTGGTGCATTTAAATCTCATCGTCGTAGCCCTCAATAGATACTAGAATGTAAGAAAATAAAGGAATTCTGTAATTTTACCCCGGTTTGTACAAATGTCTTCACACATATAAATTGTCTTAGTATCAAGTATTTATTTTTAGGGAACGTGTTGGTGTACGGTACATATGACGTCGTCAGCAGTAACTCCACCTCCGTAGAATACTGTCATCCCACGGCGTACTACTTCACATTCTGGTCCATCGCTACGTTTTATATCACGATTGGGATCACCCTAATCTTGTTCTCTTGTTGCTTTGCTGTAGGGGTTTGCTGTGTCTTCGTGGCGAAGGAATAAAGAAAACAAATAAAATTATTTAAACTACTGGTATTATGTTAATGTACTTTGATGCCATTTCATCTATAATATTTTTTGTAGAAAAAATGGTATGGGTCTGCGTGTATATGTATATAGCATAAAAAATGTATTTTTTTGACTGCAAAAAGTGTTTCTCTTCGTCTCTTGAAGTTACAGGTAATTTTTTCGCCAACATGTACCACCATTCTTCATATAGCTGGCTCGATCGACGGCAGATAAATCTCACCTGTAAGAATCAAATGTACTACATTTGCAGATAGGAAATATGGAGATAACGAATAGTATTCAAGGTCAAAGTCCATTTAAACAATACAAATCGGGAGCAGAGCAAACACGGACCTCCAAAAACATCAGAGGTGGGATCAGGTGTCATGAGCATCCCCTGCCGATCGGACACACCCGCCGCGTGCTCCTTGTCATGAACAGGAAAAACGGAACAATCTGTAGACAATTCAGTGTGTAAATAATGGCCTAACAATTAGTATGAAAAACGTCAGTCAGCGTGCGACTTAATGATAGGCTGTATTTGCTGACAAGGTCATTGTATCGACCATAAAACTTGCAAAATGATGTCTTCAAACGAGACTGTTGATATCCTTGTTTCATCATCTTGTTTGTCAATAGCTTGCCTCGTTTTAGAAATTGTTCATATGTAGAGCATGCTCTTGCGTATCGAATCAACTGGGAGACAAAACCCCCATTTGAAGGTGATAAGGGTATATTCTTACATAAGTAAGGGAAGTTGACGATTGAAAAGTTGAAGTCATCACGTTTATTATAAATCTTTGTTGTTAGGTTACCATCAAAGTCTTTTTTTAATAAAAACAGATGTGTCAAACTCTATGGTGTCTTTTATTTCAAGCTCAATTGGGATATATCGAGTCGACATATGAATGGAAGTAACTATTGTTAATTGATAATACGTCGTCGATATATCTAAATGTCGCGTTGAAGGCCATAGCAAGTGTTTTCTTCTCCTCATATAGAAGTTTTTGAATGAATTCTGCTTTATATGAATACAAAAATAGGTTTGCTAATAAGGGACGCAATTGGTACCCAAGGGAATTCCAACAGATTGTTGGAAGACCTGATCTCCAAAACTACATACTAGATATTGTCAATCAGAAACTCAAGCATCTTTTTAATATCAAGTTCAGAGTACTGTGTGTACATTCAGAATGTTTTTAATAAAGTAATTTTGCAAATTACCAGTGACAATGTAAGTACATTTACGAGTTCTATCTTTATTGAAAAAGAAGCTGTCTATGGTGTCAAAAAGCCTGGACTTTAATTTATCGTGAGGAATGGTTGTATAAAGTGTGGAAAAGTTGTACGTGTTGATGTTATTGATTTTGCTAAAATTTTGTGATTTAAAATTTTCTAAAACTTCCTTGGAGTTTTTAATTGTCCACATCTGATCTACGCCACTTCTTGAATATACTGTTGTACAGTACTCCTGAAGTTTCTCCTTCTCTGTTGTAAATATTTTAGTGAGGAGTAAAGAAAGAGGCTTAGTAGAACATTTACTGGAATCCGTTATGTATCTTTGTTTTTAAGGATTTTTATGGAGTTTTGGAATCCAGTATAGGTATGGTAATTCAAATTCAGTTTGATTGTTGGGAATAATAAAAATATTTTAAAACTGACGGTTGATGGTTTTGAAGAATAACCTCTTTGGAAAGGGGGCCATGGATATAAGTTGGATTACTTTAAAGTACAATTCAAATAATGAGCCTTACAAACAAAGACAGTGTTGTTACCTGCTTCGTCAGCGGGACCAGTACATACTGTCAGGAATTACTGATGTGTAATCTATCTCATTCTTGTTTCACTTCTGCATTGTTGAAGACAGAAGGATAGATTGTTTTGATATTGCCCCTCAGTCGCTTAATGCGCGATTTCAACATCCATCTGATGCATTTCATCCATTCTGACAAAAGTCTTCTTTATCATATTTGACTCATCGAATATCAAAATATGTACCATAGGCCGCCATGTTTTCTATTGTTTTAACTATGGGTTATCTACACCATAACCCATGGGCGGAGCCTTCATAACCTATAGGCGGTGCATGTCTTAAATTGCATACAAAATCAATTAAATTTTATTCAAAATCTTTAATTTATTCTCGGTAGACTTAAGGTTTTTCCATATCGTCGTCATCGTTAAACTTTCCAAATCGATCGTCAGAATGGTCCAACTGCTGTATAACATTTTCAGGTAACCGGCTCCTGGGTCAAATTAAAATCCGTTTGAGTAAGAGATAAATCCCCAATACCATCAAACACGTTTACTTCGTCCTCTATCAACTGGCCTATCTGTGAGAGAGTTTGATCATTGATAGAAATGTCCCATTCAAAATTTTGCGGAAGTTCAAGAAAATCCAGATCCATGCTCGTTGCGCTGTGTTTGTCCATTTTCGCTTTTTGATTGCAAGTGCACAAAATGTGCAATAAAATGTAATATACATGTATATGCACAGTGTATAGCGCGTGACATTATAATTATGTCAGGTGACAAACCATATTAGGAAATTTATTTGCAACTTATACATCATCTCTCTGCCATATTAGGAAATCTGAGAGTGCTATGGTATATGTGACACCGTATAAGTTTTTTATTGGTTTTCTCTAGATACCCTATAGAGAGGTTAAAAGGTCACGAGAAGACGGTAACTACTACACATACGATATCAAAATATATAAAGATATATAAAGATATCAAAATTTCAATATATGTAAATGATACATGCCAATTCAAAATGAAAGTATTTGTGATATCAATTTTAAAGAAAAGGTTTGTACTTTTTTTTACTGGATTGACACATTGTTATATTCAGGATTGAATGAATTATCAGTTTGACAAAAACATACCACACCTGTATACATACACTCTACGTATATACATGTAGGTGTGGTACGTTTTTTTTAAATATGGTATTTCTTCTCTGAAAGAGTCAGAAACTTTATTGGAAACACTCGATAAAGTCTATTTAAAGCAGATTCGTTTTTTTTACATTTAGCAATCCGGATGACAAGCCCCTATGATACACATGTTAAATATGAAAGCCCGAGCATTAACCATTCAGAAATTGGCCAAGGTTAAAGTTTTTCAAAAGATTATCATATTTCAAGGTCAAAATGTACCCGTACAAAATCTTGGTACTCAAAGGAATGCCTTATCATATAGAATACATATGTGAAACACAAAAGTCTTAGCATCCTTTCAAAAGTTATAGCCAAGATTAGAATTTTTCAAAAGTAGATATAAATACATGTAATATGAAAAAAAATACATTGTACATTTTTAAAAAAAATGTAAATATACGTTTAAAAAAATACAACCCCAAAACAGGAGATAACTTTCATTCCTCGGAAAATGAAAGCCTGATCCAAAGTGTATGTTAGTGTGCATCTCTAGATGCACCATCCATGCAAGTTTAGTCACCATACAGATTATAAGTAGTACTTATGAATGTACATGCTACCAACACTTTAACCCGGTCACTTATCTGGAAATGTCTATTCCGAAGCAATTAAAGTCATAGGCCTATATGGCGTATTTTTTTTTATAAGTTCAGACTAACTAAAATTAAAAAAGAACTATTTGTTTTATTACTTTATAGAAAGATAGAAAGATAGGACTTTTCTGTAAATTACACAATTTAAATCAATCATGTTTCAAAGATATTAGAAATTTAAAACAATAACTGATTTATATACCGACTCTGCATTTAAATAACATGGTTTCAAGTCAATTTAACTATGGAAACATGAGGTTATTTAAGTTCAAAATCGGTGAAAATTTTAATTTGAAAATAAATAACATATATCATGTTTATTTACACTCAATCTCGTGATTTCATTTTCAGCTCAGATACGCCATATATAGCTTTAAGTAGCGTACATACCTAAGTATGGAGCTCCCCAACTGCCTTATCCATAATCCATATAACATTCTTTGACATTATGTGCTGATACTTTGACATTATGTGCTGATACTTTGACATTATATGCTGATGTCACAGAGGCCTTGGGATGCTCCCCCCCCCCCCCTCCGCGTTCCGTAGCCCAAGGGTTATTTGACTTTTTTAATTAAAATATTTTTCTATGACACATTTCCAAAGTACTACAATTGAAAAATCCAAAATGTAACTTAAAACTAACTTTTTATAAAGGAGAACAAGTTCTCTCTTAGTACATGTATCAGAGTGAAGTTTTTTTTTAACGTTAGTTTTTTTGTTGTTGTTTTTTTTTTTGGGGGGGGGGGTGTTAATTTTAATACTTTGTGAATGCGTCATATAAAAGATAAATCAAAAAAAAATTAAAAAGTCGAAAAACCAATTGGATATGGAATGCGGGGAAGGGGGGGGGGTTCCAGGCACCCGTGGTTGATATATATATATGCTGATACTTTATCCATAACACAGGTAAACACGAAACAATTACCAAAAAAAAAAAAATAACTTCTATGACAAATCTTTTCAATTTTTTATTGCCATATGATAATATTAGTTTTAAACCTGTTTATCAAAGTAACAATAACTTTTTGTTGAACATTTTTACAAATACTTGATGCAATGAACAAAAATAAAGTTTTCACTTTAAAAGTTATCCACTTCTTATCAACAATGTTTCTAGAACACATTTAACAGATGTTAAAACATCATTTAAACATATACTACAAATCCCTGATGATAAAAATATCCAAACAGGAATATTATCTTCAACCAGGTTGTTAGACATTTTAACAGGACTATTTAAAAATAATTATTGCAGGATTACCTAAAAATGAATATAACAGGTAAATACAAAAAAATACAAAAAAAAAGTGACAGATTATAAGCACTGTCTCTGGAAGCAACTGATTACACATGTAAATACAGGTATACTTTGAAATTAAACTGCAGAAATTAAAGGGTAAGGGGGAGAAAATACTGCTAAAATTTGCAATTTCAGAACTTTCTTGTTAAATTTGATTTGCATTATTCCATATCCAGGTTTAATAAATTCATGGAATATGGTGTTTATATGTACATGTACATACTTTTTCATGGAGGGGGAAATCAAAAACATCCTAAAAATATATTGAATATATCAAATTCAAATACAAGAGACTGGAAGAGGTTCCTATTCTACTGATTGGAGACAGTCTTTCTCATGAATTCCACATTCTTTGGGGCTGTAGGAGAATCAATCATTGCTTTATCAACTCCAGTGAATCTTAAAATTGGCAACATGGCATCCACAGGTAGGAGACTGGAATAAACAGGAAGTAGGTTAACTAAGTCAATAAATAAAAACTTGACATCCACATGTAGGGGACTGGGAAAAAACATGGTAGTTGATTAATGAAATAGGTGAAGATCACGAACAGTGATCAATCTCAAAAAAAAAAACCTACACACAATTTTAAAAATCTGAGAATGGCATAAACACGGACTCCTGGAAATCCCAGAGGTGGGATCAGGTGCCTAAGAGGAATAAGAGTCCCTTTTGGACCAGTCACAACCACCAAGAGCCCTACGTACTGATCAGATAGATGGTCAAATTAAGTATAAAAACTAAGGCCTAACAATTGGTATGAAATATGTCAAGTCAAAATACTACCCAGTGATAGGTTTTGTTTGCTAACAAGGTCATTATAATGACTAGAATTTACAAAATCCTGACTTTAAACAAGATTGTTGAAATCCATGTAACATAAAGTTATTTGCTAGTAGCCTGTCTTGATTTAAAAATTGATTGTACTCAGAGCACGATCTTAAGTATTGAATAAGTTGTGACATAAACACCATATGCAGGTGATTGTATTCATTCTACATAAATAAGGAAATTTGACGATGGAAGACTGAAGTCATCTCATTTGTCATACATGCGGCTCTCATGTCCACACTCTAAGGCGGGACTTACAAGATTATTAACATTTTCATAAATCCACGTGCATTCAGCCTTAAGCAGTGCATTCAGTCATTAAAAAAGAACATGTTATTGCTAGGGCATTGTAATCATTTTACCAAACTTCTTAAAAAGAAGAAGAGGTTGAACAGAAGCATTTGTGGATATATTCATTATCTTATTCAATAACACTTTGTGTTCATTTCAATCTACCCTCATTACATGTATGTATGGTTTGATAAAAAATTGATTGACACTTAGGTGAATAGTTCTCACTGGCTAAGAAGAAAAGGTCAGCCAAATCTTGTATTAAAAAACAGAGCAGAGCTCTATTCATAAGTCATACTTGTAAGGGTCGATAAAACATGTATTAAGGGAGTACATACAGTAAGGTTAGAACTTAAGTTTCATGACTTACAAGGCAAGCATTACCATGTGTAGTGGCTCTTAATGTTTAATTACAAAAAGAGTCTGCTAAAAGACACTGAAAATAAAGGTAGCGTAAAAAGTACTAATTTTTACTCAGTAAGCTAACTTCACTAGACAATATATTCAGATGCCTTCGTACAAGATGCAGTCTTACCTCTTTATCCAAAGAACAATTAGCATTATTTTTGGCATTACAACACTTTTTTGATTGTGTAAAACAGCAGAGACAGTTTGACTAGCGACATAACTTTCATTCAAAGGAGGAACTAGCCATGGAAATCTGAAAGAAAAAGATTGATAAATCAAATAATTTGGATATACAGTATATGTTTAATGGTCTAGAGTCTAAATGCAAAATTGTGCATTTCTGTTCAATGTAATTACTATGGTGATGTTTACATCAAAAAATATTTCAGAATGTAGAATACTGTAGATTCCTAAAAATAAGCGAGGAATTAATTATTCCATTATTTCGGAAGATGCACCACTCGCAAAATAATATTAATCACTTTTATTTTTATGGTACTAAAATCCCCATAAAACCTCTAGATCAACAGTACACTCGTGAATGATTGTTCTCGCAATTTGACGTCTAAGGGCCGTAAAATAAGGAATCTATGGTACATTGTACTTTGAATGTTATTCAATTAGAGCTAGACATGAACAATTTTAGTTTATTGACTCTATTATATATCAAATAAATAATTTATGAAATACTGTACAGCCATTTCCTATGCATAGGCTAGTCTTGATTTTACCTTAGTTTTAATCTTTGATTTTACTGTAGATTTAATCTTTGATTTAATTACCTCAGTTTTAATCTTTGATTTGACCTCAGATCTAATCTTTGATTTTACCTCAGTTTTAATCTTTGATTTTACCTCAGATCTAATCTTTGATTTTACCTTGTTTTAATCTTTGATTTTACTTTAGTTTTAATCTTTGATTTTACCTTAGTTTTAATCTTTGATTTTAACTCAGTTTTAATCTTCGATTTTACCTTAGTTTTAATCTTTGAATTTACCCTTAGTTTTAATCTTTGATTTTACCCTAGTTTTAATCTTTGATTTTACCTTAGTTTTAATCTTTGATTTTACCTTATTTTAATCTTTGATTTTACTTTAGTTTTAATCTTTGATTTTACCTTAGTTTTAATCGTTGATTTTAACTCAGGTTTATTTTTCGATTTTACCTTAGTTTTAATCTTTGATTTTTCTTTAGTTTTAATCTTTGATTTAACTTTAGTTTTAATCTTTGATTTTACCTTAGTTTTAATCGTTGATTTTAACTCAGGTTAAATCTTCGATTTTACCCTTAGTTTAATCTTCGATTTTACCTCAGTTTTAATCTTTGATTTTACTTTAGTTTTAATCTTTGATTTTACCTTAGTTTTAATCTTTGATTTTACCTTAGTTTTAATCTTTGATTTTTCCTCAGTTTTAATCTTTGATTTTACCTTAGTTTTAATCTTTGATTTTACTTTAGTTTTAATCTTTGATTTTACCTTAGTTTTAATCTTTGATTTTACCTTAGTTTTAATCGTTGATTTTAACTCAGGTTAAATCTTCAATTTTACCCTTAGTTTAATCTTCGATTTTACCTCAGTTTTAATCTTTGATTTTACTTTAGTTTTAATCTTTGATTTTACCTTAGTTTTAATCTTTGATTTTACCTTAGTTTTAATCTTTGATTTTTCCTCAGTTTTAATCTTTGATTTTACCTTAGTTTTAATCTTTGATTTTACTTTAGTTTTAATCTTTGATTTTACCTTAGTTTTAATCTTTGATTTTACCTTAGTTTTAATCTTTGATTTTTCCTCAGTTTTAATCTTTGATTTTACCTTAGTTTTAATCTTTGATTTTACTTTAGTTTTAATCTTTGATTTTACCTCAGTTTTAATTTTTGATGTTACCTCAGTTTTAATCTTTGATTTTACTTTAGTTTTAATCTTTGATTTTACCTCAGTTTTAATCTTTGATTTTACCCTAGTTTTAATCTTTGATTTTTCCTCAGTTTTAATCTTTGATTTTACCTTAGTTTTAGTCTTTGATGTTACCTCAGTTTTAATCTTTGATTTTACCTTAGTTTTAATCTTTGATTTTACCTTAGTTTTAATCTTTAATCTTACCTGAGTTTTAATCTTTAATGTTACCTCAGTTTTAATACTTGATTTTACCTTAGTTTTAATCCAGCAAACATCTGGTTATCCACCAGGTAGGGGTGAACACAGGTAATGTAGATATTGTCATATTCCTGTATCTCCCACTGCAGGGCCTCCATGAACCCGGTGTTGGCGAACTTTGAACTACAGTATTCACCCACACCTCTCATCCCAAGTAGACCCAGGACTGAACTAATACTGACTAGGTGCCCTTGATTTGATTCTATCATGTCTGGAAGCACTGCTTTTATTGTCTGTAAAATTTACTTAGTGGATTTTGATTTGTAAATAAGAATTATATATCTACTGCATACTAGTTCACACTAATTAAAATATGGCACTCAACAATTATTAGAAACAATATAATTCATCAAAGAGTTTTCAGTTTTAAATGTTTCATCAACTGAAAAAATATACTTTTACACATATAGAGTACAAATATTCTAGTACATGCATACTTCTGACCCCCTTAAGGCTTGTGTGAAACTCCTAATCATTGATATATATAAGTTTCTTCTCAAATAATAATAATGATGTGCCACAAAAGGGTAAGCAACTCAATTCTGCTTCGGTAGTACATGCACTATAAATTAAGCTTTAAAAATAAGCATTAAAATTAATAAAACTAGATTAGAAATACAAGCATTGATAGTATAGAAGTTTTTAAACATAAAAATTACCCAAAAGTGAGCCAGAGTATTGACACCAAATGTCTCCATTACTTCCTCATCTGAGTTGTCAATGATCTGTTTGGCATGCACTATCCCAGCATTGTTCACTAGAATTGTTACTGGTCCGATATTTTTCTTTATATCAGCATACTGTTATATAAATAAAGAAAAAGATAATATTATACATATGCATAAGTTATAGAGAAAACTTGAAAATTACAATCATTTTACATGTGACAAGATAACGAGATATAAACATTTTCCTTCTGACTCAGCTGATCCTTTCATTGAGTAGGATGTTATAAATTCTGGGATTGACTTTCAAGATTTTTGAATAAGGGATATCTTTGAAATTCTTACGTTCACACTCCTATATAATAATGTTAAGTTTGCATCAATAGTGACTAATTGAGACATTATACTTTCGTCGTGCTATGTACATGAGCATGATGTCAGATGATGTACCTTAGAAATTTCTGTGCTATCTTACAAAATTAATGAACTCATTCTTACATTTTTATAAATTTCGTGTGACTGACTGACATCACAAACCATGTAGGAACATTTCACACCAAGATTTCTCACTTCCAGAGCTGTGCTCTTCAGAGTCTCCTCTGTTCTTCCCCATAATGTAATCTATAGTATGAAAGTTCTATTTATTCTCACAATATTTCATTGAATTACATAATAAACTTAGATTGTACATCAATACCGCATGAAAAGGATTGTCATTCTATTGAAACTCGACTTACGTGCTTTGGTGTATATTTGGCAAACTCCAGAGCGAGAGCCCTCCCTATACCCCGCCCGCCTCCGGTGATTAACACTATGTCATTGCTGATGTCCTTTTTTCCACTGTAGAACAAGCCAGTAAAAAATGATCTGATGGTCAAAAATGTTACCCTGATGATAAGTTTAATGAATTCTACGAAAGCGATAAAACTTTCCATTCTACCATGTTGTACTTTCAATTTAATTTTCCTGCTTTCATTTTGAAAAGCCACTTAAATCATAGAAGATCTATTAAGTTTATAATATGTATTGTGAATTTGTTAATCAGTATTTGCCCTTTGTATATCATCATCATAAATATTTATAATTTATACAGAAAAAAATGATTGGCGAGGAAGTAACTAATATTTTATTTTTTTAAATGATTTAAGTGACATGTAGGTTTTTGATGTAAACAAACAGCGCCACGGTTGAAAGCGAAAGTAGATCTAAGCGGCATGGCAAAAAGGTAAGATGATTTTTTGAAAAAATGCTAGCAATTGAATTTTACCGATATCGTAGATTAGCTAAACTTTGTTTAGTCTGAAAGTTAACATTGACTGCGATATAGTAAAAGATGACACTTATTTGATTATCATAATTCATGCTAGATTTTAAAAATTTTATATAATTATGTTACATTTATTTGATCGTTCCTTTAGCCTATATTTAGATAACAATGCCACAACTCCTCTGGAACCTGAAGTTGTAAATGCTATAACATCAGCTCTGACCAAGGCCTGGGGAAATCCCAGTAGCTCTCATACTCAAGGTAATTGAAATTGTCAAGATCAAGAACATTGAAAATAAAAATATTAAATAAATAATGAATGTGAAATGATTTGTGCATTTAAATGAGTGTTTTAGTTAATTTATATAAATAAACCTTAAGGTATAGAGGCCAAGACTATAATTGAAGAATCTCGCCAGTATGTTGCTGAAATGTTGGGAGCTAAATCATCAGGTATTTAAAACCATCTTACTTTCATCATCATGTCAGCTAGTATACATTATGTAGATGTAAATTCTAAGTATGAAGCTGTATGAGTTTAATTAAATGAATAATAATTCATTAGATTTTAGTTTGATTGTGTAAAGTTTTTTTTTCCTATTGCATTCAATATTATATCATATTTATGCTATGATCATTTACAATATGTCTTTTATGTACTTAATTTCAGATATAATTTTTACCTCAGGAGGGACAGAAGTAATTGTTTATACCAGGGTCATTCAAAACATTCCTAGACTTTTGACCTAACTTTTTTATTTAACATCACATTATAACCAAATTTGATACACATATAATGATACTTTAACAATAGATTTAAATAATTTGAGTAAAAACAGTTGGAATATTTTTTGATATTTATCAAAATTATCAATGAATTAAGACAGCAAAAATTGGGTCACAGCAGGGCCCACTTAATAAAAACGTCTGATGACCTTTTTTTTTTTTTTGCTTGTCAGGGAATTTTTTGGTCGATAGTGCCCACTGAAAATGTACAACCGTGCCCCCCCCCAAACTGAAATTGCTTCCTACGGGCCTGATACACTTCAAAATTATAATGCCTATAGTCATACCTCTGATAAATGGTGCTGAAAGAAAATAAAATTTAAATGTTTAAATTTAGTATTGTTCTACTTCAGATGCCAAAATGTTATGTAACGCATTGCTTCATTTAAATGATTAAAAAAAGCAAAAAAGGTGGAGGACGTCACTGAGCAGCGAGTAGCGATAAAATTTTGTTTTGCACTCAGGAAACCTCTAAAACAAACTCTGAAAATGCTGGATGAACCAGGAACCAGGAAATATATAAAAAATGAGCCGTGCATTTATATATAATGGAACAGACATTTTTTGAGTGATAGAGACTTTGAATCGGACAATGGATGGTCTGCGAAGAAACAGATTATAGTTAAAAATCTTTTCAAAAGAGTTAGTAACGTTCACTTTTGCGGAACTTGTAAAAGCAGAGTTACGTGGTAAAGAATTTGAAAATATTGACAATCTAACTTAAGCTACTCAAACAATTTTGTTAGCAAACTAGGTGTCAAGTGTTATGGATACTTTTTATGAATGGGGAAGATGCTACAAACCATTTATGAAATGAAGTAATTTTGAGAAACTTTCTTAACATTTTTTTTTTTGACATTACAATGCTGTTAACCATTCTCCATGGCGACAAAACATATTGCTTTTAAAATTGGCTAACATGAGCTCCATTTAATCAAATAGAAAGAAACTTCACAAATTGACAAAATAAATGTTTTCACAAATGAAAATGTGTTGATCTTTAATCTTGTAAAAATAATATGATGATGAGGGACATTGTCTACATATTTTTTGAATGACCCTCGTAAATAGTATTTTATGTTGGTGTGGTTTATCAATAGTAGTGACTGCTTTGCAAACATCTCTAGATCTACATGCTGTGCATCTTTACTGATCTATATACTATCTAATTTTCTTCTTTTAATGCCATTTAGAACATTTTCAGTTTTGTGCAAATGTAATCACAATCAATTGTTGTGGGCATTCTGTTGGATCATTTCCATTACATTCTTAACTTTTTAATAACTTATCACTTGTATATGGTATTTACTTGTATACATGATCCCCAAGTTTCATTGGCACATATGTACATTATTATTGTAAACAAATTATAAGTATAGGACAAAGTATTTTTACATGTAAGTGTATCAGTATTTGTTCATACATGTATTATAATTCTAAAATACTTCAAGCTGAAGACCTATTAGATTTTTATTTTATTGAAAGGAGTATTTAAAATTATATAAAAATATTGTATTTTAATTGTTTTTGATATGTTTGTCAAATGTTCAAATGTTGTTACAAAATGTATACCAAATATTATTTGATTTTTAGGGAAACAACATGATTCTGCAGACTGGGGTGAAATATTTTCACTCTGTTGGGGGGTGGGGGAGTAATGGATTATGTGCAGACAAAGATCACCTACCACACTTTATTACATCAAATCTGGAACATGACGCTGTTAAGCTGGTGTTGGAACACTTTGCTGAAGAGGGCATTGCAAGTAAGATACATGTACATGTTGCCACTGAATTTCATTGATTTGTAGAACTGGGCCAGTGGGGTAAGCTGTCAGAAAAAAAGAGAAATAATTCTGAAGATCAACACTTGTATGATACTGTACATGTACATAAATTGGTGTATTCAAAATTTAGCACAATTAAGGGGTATGGAGTTGTTGGCATAATCATGAATTAGCGCTAAACATGTCCGTGCCGTGTATTGTATTAGTAAATGATTTCTTAGCACTATTCATGAATTAGTGCATCGTTGTCTTCGCCAAAGCCGTTAAAATATGAAGCCCAATTTTTTAAGTACACATACAGTATTTAGAAAATCTTAACATTTAGAATTTGAGAAAATTTTTGATCTGCATTTAGCAATTCCATTTCAATTATCAGCTTTTAAACCTGGGTATTTCAATACTGTATGTTTCAAGGTGTGACTTTTGTACCTGCCTCACCACGAACTGGTCATGTAATGGTTGATGATGTCATTGCTGCCATTCGACCTTCAACCTGCATGATTTCCATAATGCTTGCCAATAATGAAACTGGAATTATACAGGTTGGGATTAAGATAAATTTTCTCTTATATGTACTTTACGTGCAAAAACAGTCCCTCTTAACAGATTGCAATAGTTCAGACTAGTCACTTATTTTGACAGCCAGTAAAGGAGATTTTTGAGAGAGTGAGGCAGATCAATGTCTCCAGGAAATCCATTCCAAAAATTCTGCTCCACTCGGACACAGCTCAGGCAATCGGGAAAATCCGGGTCAACGTACAGGACTTAGGAGTAGACTACCTTACAGTGGTGGGACACAAGGTGCGAAGCTATGATTAAACAAAGAAGTGTAGGAAATATGGAATACAAAAAATCGCTCCCTTTTTTATTCAACGTTAAATAACATACCAGTATTTTAATCAGAGTATCATTTGCAGTTTTGTTTGTACACCATAGATGTGTAAGTGTATAAATATGGAAGTTTTTATGTCTTGGATATTACACAAAGCTATAGAATTTACTATTCCTGTTGGGTTTTAATTTTTGGATGCCAACATGCATATTTTACTAAGGTGAACAATATGGTTATAGCATACAATTATTGTGGTTTGGAGGTGAATACCATAGTTTATAGCTATAGAAAGAGTATGATATTTTCTGTCCCTCTCATTGAGAGTCTTAATTTCTGTAAAATATGTTGTAATTATATTCAATTCAATTCAATTGTTTATTTACCAATTAAGGGCCCTCATGGGGCAAAAAGAAAGTACATTGTAAATTATCATTTATATATATATATTGACCAACAAAACAGCAATAGTTTTATGATGATTCCCTGATTATATAAAGGAGACAAACTCATCAAGCAAACCTTGCTGTCTTCCTTGGTATGCAGTGAAAAATGTTGGATTCCATTGAAAGACAAAAAATAAAGCAATTGTATCAATTAGGAAGTTCTGATATGTTTTTAGTTCTATGCAGGGAAAATCAGAATGATGTATCCTTCACCTGGAAGGTCAGGTGCAGGTGATTATAACTTATGATTTCTAGAATATGTTAGATTTCAGTTAATCACAGAGCTAGGAATCCATCAGTCATATACATGTTATACTTCATATAACTGCTATACAGTGAAATATTTATTTTGACAGAAGTACTGCCTTGTATAGTTAGCTTTTAGATGTATTACACCTCCTTTTATCAGTATTGCTTTAAATGACTGACCTAGAATTTTGTCTATGCCAGGTCATTTTTTTTTTATCAGATCCCATCAAATTTGTGAAACACTGTATTTATTTATACACATTTAAAACTACATGTATAATCTAATAATGTATTGTATTATCATTTTCTTTTTTTTGACAGTTTTATGGACCAAGAAATGGAGCAATCTATGTGAAAGATTTGGGGTGCAGCAAGGAGGTCCCTCTGTACCCCATGTTTTATGGGGGAGGCCAGGAAAGGAACTACAGACCAGGGTAAGTGTAGCTGTGGCACAATATTATTGGTAGGTCTCCTTTTATAGTGAACTTAATAAAGGTATTTAAGTCATCAGAAGCCATTTTGAGAGCACTGTTGATTCAATGAAAATAATATGCCTGTGAAGATTATTTATTAAAATCATAATTACTTTTTCAATCCTTATATCTGTAATGGAATATTGATGTAGCAGAGAATTTAGAATTCACTCTCTTAACAATTATGAAGTTTGAAATATTGTATCACAGTATTATATATCTTCAACATCAACAGCACAGAAAATACAGCAATGATAGCAGGGCTTGGAATGGCAGCAAAACTAGTGACAGAAAACATTGACAAATATAATGATCATATGAAAAAGATCAGGGATTATCTAGAGGAAAGGTTAAAGGTAAAGGATCTACTTCTCTTTGAAATCAATGAATATGATGTCTGTTATTTCCCCAGCTTTGCAAAAGTGAGGAGACATTAAATCTCATTTGCCTGTCCATCTGTCAGTCCTTCCATCTGTCAGTTTATCTGTCCCAAAAACTTCTACCTTGGTCATAACTTTTGAATGAGAATAGATGGGGCTCTCATATTTCATCTATACAATGCCTGTGATAAGACTTTTGAAATGTACTACATGTATTATTTTTTACCTCATTAACTTGACCTTGAAGTTTAATTGGCCTACTTTTCAAAAATTTTAACATTGGTGATAACTTTTGAATGCGAGAAGATATTGTATTGATATTTGACATGTGCATTACCTGTGATAGGACCTGTCAAAATATACTTTGGTTTTTTACCGTGACCTTGAAGGTTGACCCACTTTTCAATAATTTTAACATTGGTGATAACTTTTGAATGAAAATGAAAAAGTTGAATGAAAATAGGGTATTCATATTTGACAAGTGCATCACTTGTTACAAAACCTATCCAAATGTACTATATGTTCTTGACCTTGTGACCTTAACTTTAAAGTTTAACCTACAGTAGTTTTCGAAATTTTTAACATTGGTAATAACTTTTTAATGAGAGGAGATGGGGCTTTCATATTTTGCATGTTCATTACCTGTGACAGCACCTTTCAGAAAGAACTATCATTTTTTACTTCATGACCTTGACTTAGAAGTTTGACCTATATAAAAAAAATAACTTTGGTCACAATTAAGTTTTGCTTTAAAAGAGACAGGACTTTCATATTTTTTTTTACACATGTGCATTACCTGTGCCAGGATCTTTTGGATTGTATTTTGTATGATGGACAGACAAGATAGGACACACAGACAAGACAGGTACAATATGCCATAAATAATTGCATCCCAACCACTAGCGGGGGATCACAATTCTTTGAATTTGCTTGTTTAGCTTGAAAGCTTAGTGTGGAATTTTTCATGCAGGTAGAGTTTGGTAAAAATGTCTGCTTCAATGGAAAGTTCTCTCACAGTTGTCGGATTCCAAACACTTGTAATGTTTCATTCCTAGGCATTGATGGCAGTGGTAAGTCATGCATGCACAATCACAGGATTTCATTAAATTACAGTTTGGGCAGAAAAAGAATGCAGCAAAATCAGTCCTAGGTTTACAATATATTGTTTACAGTTATTATTGGATTTTTACAGTTAGGGGTCTGGGGTAAGTGAGAGGGGTTAGAGAGTAATGGAGTGATGAAAAGGAAATGGGGGTAAAATGAGAATTCAAAAAAAGAGAAAAATAAGTTTTTTGTACAAATTCTATAGGTACCTGTTCCCAAGAAATATTCTCAAATAATCAAACAATTCAAGTATTTGTGATACAAGAAAGTGGGAAGGTGTAAACTTTAACATTTGTCTATTGTCAATATTTTTTTATTAGATTAAAAATTTGTGGACATCAGATTGCATTTTTAATTACTTTTTCAGTGTAAAACTGTTATTTATCAAATAAATAAAATTGTATACATTAGAATGCAATGTATTAGATAATGGCATCTGTAGCGTAATTGGTAGTGCGTTGGACTGACAATCTCAGGGCCAAGAGTTTGATCCCTGGTGTGAATGCTGTCGGATTTTCTTTAGAAAAAGAAGCGTGCACTTTTTAGCCCACCTGAGCTGAAGGTTCAAGTGAACTTTTCTGATCAAAGAGTGTCCGGCGTCCGTCTGTCATCTGTAGTCTGTAAACTTTTCACATTTTCGACTTCTTCTAAAGAACCACTTGGCCAACTTCAACCAAACTTGCCACTAAGCATCCTTGGGTGAAGGGGATTTTAGTTTGTTCACAGAAAGTGCTGCGCCCTCTTTCAAGGGGAGATAATTAAGAATTCGTGAAAATTTGGTGGAATCTTTTAAAAATCTTCTTCTCAAGAACCACTATGCAAGAAAAGATGAAACTTATGTGAAAGCTCATTACATACTCTAGATTCAAGTTTGTTCATATCATGACCCCCAGGGGTAGGGCAGGGCCTCAAGTGGGGGTCGAAGTTTTACATATGAATATATATGAAATGTCTTTAAAAATCTTCTTCTCAAGAAGGGGCTACAATGAGAGATCAGAGTTTTACGTAGGATTGATTGATTGTATGTTGTTTTACATCGTTTGAGAATTTTTCACTCATATAGAGGCTTCAGCATATACTGGTGAAGGGCTTCAAATTTAGACCTTTACTCGGCACTCAGGGCCATTGAGCAGTGAGGGATCTTTATTGTGCTTATGCCTGCCTTGACATAGGGCCTTGGTTATTAAGGTGTCATCAGAAGGACCCGCAACTTTCACTTCAAAGTGTCGAGCGCTTGGGGAAGGAACAGTTGCTACCTATTTTTTATCAACTTAGGTTAGTCGCGGCCTGGACTCGAACCCATGACCTTCCGATCACGGAGTGAGAGCTCCAGAATGAGCTACCGTGACGGTAGAAAACATAGGAAAAAATCTTTAAAATTCTTTTGTTTAAAAACAGCGGAGCCATGATTAGTAATATTGATATGGAAGCATCCTGAGGTAGTGTAAATTAAAGTTTGTCCCCCCCTCCCCTGTTCAATACTGAAGTGATTTCTGCTTCTTCCTAGCCAATTAGCTGAGGTGAGCGATGTGGCCCATGGTCCTCTTGCATTGTTTGGCATAGTATGCTTACGCTATTAAAATCCTTAGAACACTATGTGAAAATAAGTTGGGTATTGATTATATAGAGACAAACTGATAGAAAGCATAATAATAAGTGATAGGAATAAAAATAAAAGCAAAGATTATGTAATAAATAGAAATTCAGTGTTTTGTATTTGGAAACATATTTGTATGCCATTTGTTTCATTTTTTTTTTTTTAATTTCGTCATGGTTCACAATCATGAAAATATAGGGAAAAAACCCAATGTTCCTCTCTTAAAATAAACCCAACATCCAACTAAAAATCATAGACTATCCTTTGTGTATCTGTCAATGGTTATTTTGTTTCCTTTCAGGTACCCATGTTCTATCAAACTGTAAGCAGGTGCAGGCTAGCATTGGAGCTGCTTGTCATTCCCAAAACAGGTGATAACTCATATCTATATAGAAAACTTAAAGATGGTATTTAAATTAATTTCATTTAAGGTTAAAGCCAGACTAAATATTATATAAGCTCAAAGAAAAGCAGACATGATTTTTTGTTGCTTTCAAATACAATGTACATTGTGCACAATGTGCAAATCAAATAAAATTTAAAAAATTTGCATCCGATTTTTTCATATAAAACATAGCAGTTGGGTACTCTCTGGTTTCATTTATGTGAAGAAACACATAGTGACTTGATATTTTTTTGTAGACCGTCTCCTATTTTGCTGGCATTAGATATTGAAGAGTCTGTGGCCAGGAGGGCTATTCGATTATCAGTGGGAAGGGAGACAACTTGGAGTGACATAGACTGTGCCATAAATGATCTCAAACAAGCTCTTGAAGGAATACAAAATGTGAATACATAAAATTTCTGTATCTTTATTATTGATGTCATATATTGTTAGCATTTGTCTACAAACTAATGGTCAATGGAATTTTCTTTACAATAAATATTGTGTGTTGTCTATACAGTGTTTCAGTTTTACTACTTATTTACAGCAAATTACAAAATACCAGTAAACTTTTCAATAGCTTGCTGGATAGCTCAATATGGTATACAATTTGGTCTAACAAGTATCACAATAGGTTTGAATCTACTATAGGTCACGAAGTTACTCAGATGTATCATTAGATTTTACAGGTAAATGTGAGTTGATTTCAATGTTTATGAATCCACATGTATGTGTCAATGTGTTCTTCTGTATATTAATGCATTTAATTTAATTTTTTTTAATTGCAAATTTCAGTTAATTTGCAGCATTAATGAATGACACCCCCCCCCCCCCTTTCCTTCCTTGCAAAAGGTATTGTTTAACAAGTAAGGAAGTAAGCTTTCCACTTCATTTTTCTCTCATCTTATGGATTTTAAATAAACACATAAATATAATAATACCGGTATATTAAATAATTTAATAATTATATAAATAACAAATATAACTGGTACTGAATTAACTTATGATCAACGTCTCTACACCCAGCAATTTTCTATATTCTGTAACTCGATCTCTGAAAATCTGAAATTTTAATTTAGGGCTTGTTTTACAAAAGAACTAAGCACTTTTGCAATTTATTTTAATCTTTACATTGTATAAATTGTCATAGTTTTATACTTTATATGAAAAAATTAGTTAGGCAATTTTATATAAGCAAAATCTCACAAAATTATTCAGTGATGAGAGTTAAGAACTATCATGTTAAAATTTTCAAGACTTATATTTGTAAGTTCCTTTATAAAGTTCAAATTTGCAACTGCTGGCATAGGCATAGTTTAATCCCTCCACCCTCAACCTCCCCCTTACTTTCTCCTTTTTTTTTTTTTATTAGTTTTCAAATATTAAGTGCTGTCGCTATTGTTTATTGATAAGAATGAAACTTTTGTCCTAAAAAAAATTTACCCTCCAATTTGAAATTGCTTGTAGTTCATAAAAAAAGATTATAATAGGTTTTAATTTCGGAAGTGGCAAGACTTTAGAGCAATTAGAAAGAATTATAGTATGTGGAAGATTTATGCATTACTGAAAGAACTAGCATACAATTTTACGGAAAAAATTGCAATTAAAGAAAAATAATGCATTTGTTTACAGCAGAACACCTTGGCACATACATGTGGCTTCATTAAACATTGAAATCAACTCACATTTACCTGTAAAATCTAATGCTACACCTGAGTAACTTTGTGACCTAGATTCAAACCTAATGTGATACTTGTTAGACCAAATTGTAAACCCTATTGAGCTATGCAGCAAGCTATTGAAAACTTTACAGGTATTTTGTAATTCGCTGTAGTTGTCCAAAAAATGAGGAAATTAAGGATATTGCTCCTCAGCCAGGAATGATCTTATTATTTAATTAAAAAAGTTTCAAAATGAAGCTTGAAATCAAAATATTTTTTGTGCAACAATTTTCATTTCATGCATCTCAATATGATTCAACGTTCTTTGAAGTCTCAGAAACAGTTTTATAAAAAGCTGACATTTGTACCCCATAAAAGTACAAAAATAAATATGTTTTTAGAGAAATCGAATTTCCTTTAATCTATAGCCTTAGGTACATGTACCAATGTTTATAAGCATGATAAAATTAGAAGTGATCAGTGATGTCTTGCAATGATAACAAGTTTTTTTTACACTATGGATTGTATAACAATTGAAGTAAATAGGAGAACAGTTTAAATTATGTCATTTTCAATGAAAAATGAAGAAAGGTATAAATTTCACCTTTTTCTATCTCAGAAAAAGAAAATGTATCAATATTGCCCTAGGTCTCTGTGAAAATGGTTTTTCATATCTTTCTGACCTCTATTTTAAAATGATACTAACTTGAATTTAGGTATACGGGTTACTTTTAACATGATTTCAAATTGAATTCCATGAAAATGCTTCATTTTCTACATAATTCTATTATAGCCATAAATTACATGAAAAATTAAAGTCATATATGGTGTATATTTTGATAAGTTCAGGTAACCAAAATTAAAAAGATTTTTCAATTTATTACTTTATATAAAGGTAGGACTTTCCTGTAATTTGCACAATTTAGATCAATTGCTTTTCAAAGATGTTAAAAATTTAAAACAATAACCTATTTATTTATCGATTCCACATTTAAATAACAGACAAATTTATAGCCAATTTAAGTATGGAAACATGAGGTTATTCAAGATCAAAATTGGAGAAAATTTTAATTTGAACATAAAATACATATATCATGTTTTAATATTTACACTCAGTCTCGTATTATTATTTTTCCAGCTCAGATACACCATATACATGTACATGTATACAATACAGTCTAAACCCATTTACTAGATCTTGACCTCAATGGTGTTTTGCAGATACAGTTGTTCGATCTGCCACCAACAAATATCATTTGGAAAACGATTAGATCTGCCGTTATTCATTTCATATCATTATGACATATGATACATTTTGTTTTTATTCTGTGGGCAAAATGCTCATATTTTATAAATTTTATTGAGAATTTGAAAGAAGTCTCAGTAAATTGTATAAGAAAAAAAAAATTCACACATAAAATATAACATACTTTTATTGCAACAATTGAGAAGCATTATTTAAACAATCTGTGGAATGTATTATTAATATTGTTATAGGAATGTGACAAAAAGATTGATGCATGCAAGTTTTAGATGTAGTCTTAATTAACAACTAAATCAATTAAAGCTAAAAATAGGAGACAAATGTCTATCCAGCAAAAGTGAGCATTAATAAAACTTCATGAAATATAACAAAATGACTACACTGGTCACAGAAACAATAAATAAAAAACAGATTTTAAAAAAAGGAATGTGCCACATCATGATTTTATAAACTTGTCAATACTATACCTATTACAAGTGTAAGAGTTTGGTGAATCAAGTTCTGATCTCGAAGTGAAATCTGCATCAAAATAAAAACATCAATATAAACAGCACCAGGAATACTCATCATGGAATACATTACATAATATTATACATGTATCAAAATGTAAGCATTTCATTCTGAAATTTGAAACTCTCATCAATACACTGAACAGGCATTACATAAAAAAAAACCCAAATACATGACTACATTTTATTATTTACATTGCATGTGTACAATTCTTAATGTCATATAGTATGTATATATCATATATTGAAATCTTTGGCAAGAAGAAAATACTTTTAAGATTCTAAAGAACAAAATTTGAGAGAACTAAGAACAGATATACATGAAATTTAGGTTGACTGCAAGATTGCCCATGAGAATACAAGAATTTAAATTATCTGAGAAAAAAAAGAAAGAGATCGAACCAAAAATAGTTAAAAACAATTGAATCTGAATCAAAGACGGTAAATAACAGTATTAAAATACATTGTATCTCAACTTTGTGTGTAATTGTTAAAATACTGCATATTAACGTGTCTTGTGTAGAACATGAAATAAATAAAATGATATTTGATCATAACAATGGTAGAATAAATAATAATTTTAAAAAAATGACTACGAAAATAAAAAAAAATATTGCATTGTACAAAATATTTTTAAACAGTATTATACTTTACACTGTATAAAATACAAATGACTTCATCATTTAAATTAAGAAATCTTAGATAGGCTGCGATTGGATTTCTTTACATCCAAAAGGTTTGTAGAGATGTCCATCAAGGGTTTTCATGAAATAGAAACCAAGAAATCTTTAATTTCATGGTAAACAGGAGTGTAAAGGTTTGGGTATATTGGTGGTTAAAAGTAAAGTTCATTTTAAATATATGGTTATGGCACTGACACAGAAATGGATAAATTGTAACTGTACAATATGTTAAGGAAATGAAATCATGAAATAAATACTGGCACAATCGTGGCTGTTTAAAATCTGCTAATGGTCTCTTAAAAAGGAAAAGTTTCAAGGCAAACTACCGGTATTTGCAAAAAAAAAACCAAACAAACAAAAACCAAAACTAAAAAAAAAAAAATTATTATACATGTAACTATACATGATGTAATTCAGCCATTAATCAAAAGGCCTTAAAATTAAAATCAAAAGATTAAAAAAAAAAATAAAATCAAACTCTTGGGTCATCAAACTCACTCGAATAAAATATGTATTCTGATGTATGATTACCCTAGATGCTTATCAGACTATAAATACTGAGCTACAAAGAATAGGATACCAAAATTTAAAGGTGGCTAAGTTAATACTTTGTTTTTATGTTGCTCTTTTTATGGCTCAATAAATTAGCATGATATATGTAGCAAGTTACATTGTGAGGAAAAGACCTTTATTTTTTTTCTTTATGCACGTTGTACATGTATATGTGTATCAATTATGTGAAAAAAAGCAAGATTGCCTCATCTCTAAAAATATGATCAAATCGACAATGTATTATGCAAAGTAATCAATGGAAATATTTTTCAATGGTGCACCATATCTTAGTAATATAAAAATAAGAAATATCATGTGGTACATGAACATGTAGCTATTTTCCTAACATCCCCTTATGAAACATGACTCTGCTATAGTTTTTCATGAACAATGTGTAAGGCACTGCTGTAGACATATTACATTTCACACCTGAGTTCTGAGTGTACTGATCATATACTGGCACCTTTCTTTACTGAATCTGATCTCTTTGTTTTTATTTATGTGCCATGTTGTGGATAGCCCAATTGACACTGGTAGACCAGCTCTTATTTTTGGCTTCTTTAAATTTGTCAATGAATTTCTTCCTAGCTTCGTCCTCTGACAGATCTAAGGCCAGTGTGTCCTTGAGGTAATCTACATCGCTGACACTGGTCAGCTGGGGAATCCCCGCAGACAGCATCATCATGAAGAGGCGGATCAACAAAGCTCCTTGAGATCTGATTATCATGTACGCTCGCTCACATACCTGTTGAAACCTGATTACGGAAAAATTGAAAGAAAAATCAATTGTTTATAATCTATAAAATGTGAAAAATATCTTGAATCTGTGACTGCAACCAAAGATAAATGGTTTCAATCAAAACATATGAAAAACCAATAATTATGATCATTGATAAAACATGTACCTGTATCTTGATAAATCACCCTTTAAATTTTATAATACATTGTACTTCCATGTAGTGCAATAATTAGAAAAAAAAAAAGAATTTGTGTATATTCTGTTTACCTGCTGTAGTTCTCTTACAAACTACATACATTGTACAGCCTACTCCACATATATTGAAATCACTTATTTTGAAATATTGTTTATTTTGAAGTAAAACTAAATCCCCAGTCTCAATTTCTCATTATCTTTGCAATAAAATATCAGTTAAATTGAAATCACTCATATTGAATTATTACTTATTTTGAAGTAAATTATCCATCCACTGAGATGATAATGAGTTGTTTTTATGACAGTTATATATATGGCTGGTTGTCATCAAGGTTGGTGACATAGTAATTATATACATTGATGTAAAGGTGTCAGTAGATATATTTTCACCTAATATGTTTTTATTATGTGTTTTTATAATTAATAAATTACTGAGGGGTATCTCCATTCTCAGATCACATAATGACAGTGCTTTTGAACAGCTGTTTGAAAACATGCTTGTAAATCACAAGAAAGAAAAAACATGTTCTTTAGATAACTGAAAAAAATTAATGTCTGTCTAAGAAAACATCTTCATTGGCCAAATTCTCATAGTTTGAATTGTGGTTATATTGAAAAAAATGTGTTGGTCCCTTGAATTTCAATATTTTTGAAGTAGACTGTATATGTATTGCTGTGGAAACCTTGTAGTTTCCAAAAATGCAGACTGATACCACTTGTGAAGGACCCATGGGAGATTACTTGTTGCTGTACATGTACTTCTAAATGTTACCACTTACCTGTCAAAATTCTCCTTGTCTTTTTCTCCTCTTTTGATGACATACTCAAAATGTGATGTCAGAATGAATGGTACTCGCTCTCTTTTGATGTTTAGCTTGGATTTAAAATTGCCAAGGAAATGACCAAAGTCTATGTGGAAAAGCTGTCAAAAGAGAAATATGCAAGAGCTTAAAAAATTGACTTGAAAGATGGAACATCCCTCCCATGTATTTTTTAAAATAACTTTTCCAGTTCAGCATCCTTAAAAGTCTTTACCTGCCCAGACTCCTTCATCATGATGTTGTCATTGTGTCTGTCACCAATACCCAAGATGTATGTGGCCACTGCATACCCAGCACAGGAATAAGTGAACTCATCAATTGCCTGAGACAGACTACAATGTAAAAATCATATAGGGTACAACAATGTAAAAAAAATTCTACTGAATAAAAAATGGTCACACATACTTTTAATGCCTGATTTTATAAATTAATACCTAGATTCGTTTGGGTTTTTGAATTTGAGCCATTCATACAGAGCTTCTTTGGCAAATGCTCCTTTGTTGTACCACTTTTGGATTTTGGAGATGGTCATAGAGTTTGTCACAATCTCAATCATTCCCTCCTCCCTCCCTGTGGCAATACAGCCATAAGGGTTCACCCTGTCAACAGAGTAAGAAAAAATAAAAAATAAAAATAAAATAACCTCAGTGAAAACATGTAATATACCTATGTGGGCATTATATATTATACAAATAATTTCATCTTTCTTGCAAAATTTATAAAAGTTGTTTCAAGTCCTGATGACAAATAAAAGCAAACAAATGCATGTTACCTGAGATCAAGCCCTTCATTTTTCCAGATGTTATCCATGATCTGTAAAATCTGCAGGGTCAGCATATCTTGTCGAAGATCTGAAGTGAGAATATCATTCTCATTTACTGGTCGTAAATATGTTTAATTAACAATGAGTGAATTTCTAGTGATTTGGAGACACAGGAATTTGATCAACATCCAGCTTAGACTTCTGTGACAATGTCCATACATCAAGTGTATCATCTCAAGTACGTTACAAATTAAATTGTTATTGCTTTAACTTTACATGTACATGTATATATCAGTAAAGCATGTGTAATTCAAGAGATACACATCATGTATCCCAGGTTGACAGGTCTGTTATAGACTTATAAGGTAAAGAATATGTGCTCTACATTGGATACCTACCATCTCCATTTTTGTACATGATGAGAATATTAGGACCTTTAGGGTCAGCATTTGTCCACTCTAACCAAAGGGGTCGCTTTTTGGAGTCCATGATCTTGCACTTGTCAACTCTTGAATGACAAACATGTATATAAATATTTGATTTTATAAAATGTAATGTATTGAAAGACAGTTTACAAATGTTCATGTCTTCCTCTGAAGTGCAAGCAGAATTTACATGCAAGTGATCCTGATAAAAAATGCATTTTTGTCAGAATTTAAAACTGAATTAAGAGACCATAGTTTTACTAGCTGAAACTTATAAAAATGCAAGCTAGAAGCTGCTTTTGACATGTAACACATCTTCTTTAAGTTTTACATTTACAAAAGATTCTTTGTTAGTGTGGTCTTGTGTTTGAAGTTTTATTATCAGCCCAAAAAAGTAGGAGGAGTAGTTTTCAATTTAAGGTATTTTGGCAAAACCTTTATTGAAATCAAATACATGAATCAATACTCAGAAACTTCATAAAGTCTACCCATTCCTTTAGGACAATTTTTAGAGATTCTTTAACAACTTACCGTAGATCTTCGAGGGAGATCTCATGGGTGACAATTATGACAGAACTTAAAGAGAGATTTCAGGGGTGACAACTTATGGCAGAACTTAAGGAGACACCTCAAGGGTGATAAGTAGATCTTTAAGGGGGATCTCAGGGGTGACAACTTTTCTGAGTGATATCTAAGAACTGATAACTTTCCCGAGGGTTGAACACTTACAATAGATCTTTAAGGGAGATCTGAGGGGTGAGAGGGCTGTGGAGTCCAGACAAGATGTCAATTTTTTGTTTCATCAGTCTCTTCACATCATCTTTGTTCTTCTGCATTTTTTTCTGTAAAAATTAAATAAACTCAAGTATGGATTTCGATACAACATGAATAAGATGTAGTCTTTTAACACTAAAATATTTTCATCTTTATTTATTTTGTGTGCATGATATAGAGCAGAAATTGATTTTTCAAGTTAGCATAGATTTGAATTAGCACTTTCTGAATGTGCTTTATATCAATATATTTACACAAGACATTTAGCAATGTACTCAATTTAGCAGAAGCTGCTTTCTGCAAAAGGGCTTAATAGAATGCACAGCCAAATGTAATACATTTACAGTATAAGCAGATGCCTCAGGTGTAGCTTTGTTTAGTTTGTACTTGTATGCATAATTGAGGGGGAAAAGTACCAATAAGACTTGTAAAACTTTATGTTAGTTTTACATACATGTATGTAGAATTATGTATCTTGATTAATTTAAAACATGTGCCAAGTGTTACTGAAATCAATCCAAAACTGTAGGAGCATCAGTATTTAGAAAGAATGTTACATATTATAATGTGCTATTATGAGAAACCAAGATAATATTGTTCATCAGAATCTTGAAACTGATACTTAGAATTATGAGGCTTATTATAGTGTACATGTGTATCAGTTTTATTAAATAAGACAAAACTGTAGAATGAGTAACAATTTTATAAAAACTATCACTGATTATAAATTTGCCATCTCTAAGTAAATTCTTACATTGGGATTTTTGGCAATGTCACTAAAGGCAGATAGTTTGATAAGAATATCCTGTTGTTTGCTGAGAATCATAAGGTGATCTTGAGATGACTTGAGGTAGGCTTCCAACATCAGACCATAACGAACTGTCACCGTGGATTCATGCATTTCAGATCTTAAAAATAACCCGAAGGTTAAAGATTAACACAACATACTAACATGAGTACCCTTCTTATGTAAATTTTGTGTAAATATGTATCTTTCTTACTTCAGTAGCCAGTAAAGATGATGTCCCAAATGTTGGTTTTCTAGAGCTCGAGAGAGGAGGAATTTACTGAGAGGACACATGAGATGTGACTCGAATCTCAGGGCTTGGACTAGCTGTAGCATGTACTGAGACAGGTCGTCATCACTGGAGATAAAGACAACAAATTCACTGGATGTAAAGATAGGTTTTGATTTAAAATATGCATGCTTTAGATTCCTTCATGAATTAAAATGCATGCATCATTACAGACAATTCAAACATTTATAATCAGTGCGAGTTAGAAAACATAGCAATTCCATTGCAAAATGACAAGGAATTTAGTAAGAACTGTCTATACAGAAAAACATGTTTGAGTAAAAACACTTATTGTTAATACTTGTTTTAAGGTAACATGATATTTGTCAATTAATCATCAAGTAACACAAAATGTTGAATTAATGTAAGGTTCATAAAACTACTGCATTATATAGTACATCTAAGCAGGTTCTGTCAAGAGACTTCTAATGTCACAAAAAAATAAATACTGTAGATTCCTTATTTTATGAGAGTACTTAATATCGCTATTAAATGGCTCTTAGATGTAAAATCGTGAGAACAATAATTCACAAGTGGACAGTTGATCAAAAGACTTTATATGGATTTAAGCTCCATAAAGATAAAAACGAGTATAAATTTTATTTCATGAGAGCTGCTTCTTGGGGAATTATGCAATAATTAATACCTCGCATATATTTAGGAATCTACAGTATTCAGACTGGACCATAACACAAAACATTTATGCATTCACTATTTAAACAAGAGTCCGTAATTCAATTTTTGATCATTAGAATTGAGTAAAAACCTGAGTTCCTCAAGGCATTTACAGGCAAACTCTCGGACATTTGTGTCTGTGTAGTGGAAGTCAAGCAGAGCCAGGGCATGTTGGAGTTCTATTGGTCGCCATGACTGGAGGAGGGCCATCATCTGAAATAAGTGGGTCAAATTCAGAACATTAGTTAATCCATTTGTACATGAAATAAATGAAATATATAAATATAATATGTACAGTACAAAAACATAAAATCTTTTATTACTTTCAAATGATTTATGTGCATTATAGGAAATGTGGAATATTTGATTAAATAGGAATGAACTTTTAAATAATTATGTCTCTGAATGACTTTATTTAGCATATTGGACTATCTGATAGCAGGAATGATATGGACCTTGGCAACATCTATGTGGTTGTCCCACTTGACAGCATTCAGGAGAAGTGGCAGTGCGTGGTCGTAGTTGTCTCGGATCTCGTATCGCATCATCCAGATAAGGCTCTTTTCCTGCTCTGCCAGCTGACGATTACCTCCCTTGTCATCATTCATCACCTCCTCAAACTGAATAATGTGTGTTTTACTGGGATGCCAGTTCTGTGATAAAAACAAAAACCTTTAAAGAAATCATTCTTTAACACGTACACCATGTAATGAATACTCATTTAAAATTAGAAAAGAAATCAAAATTCTATAGTAATTTATATCTAGTTATTGGCTTTTGATACATATATGTCATCTAACTGCAATATTTCCAGCTATTATAAAGCACCTTTGTTCTCAGAAAATGGCTACTGTGAATAAAGATAGATTTTGCTAACAGAAGATGACCCAGTATGATGACCCAGAATAAAACTCACAGGAGACCCTGGTTTTCCTTTCTCCTCCATGTTTTCACTTGCACATTGTAAAACCTACAATGGAAACAACATATTAAGAATTATTTTACAGCATTACTTATATTGCATATGCCATTTTCTATCTTTTATAAAACTCATGTGCTACCTCTAAGGTTTATTTTGGCTATTGAGTTTTACCTTTTCATGTTGAGGATACATGATGTGTGACTGGATTTTGAAGTCAGGGACAGTAAACTCCAGGGTGGTAGAGTGATCCACCTGAGGGTTCATAGCCACAGTACCTAAAAAAAAACAATATAACAAATATAAGGTTCATCTGCTTACACGTCTTTTTTATTATTTTTAATAATGCAGCATTCCAATTAGATGTACAAGTATTTATAGTTAGATAAGAGCTTCTTCTAATGAGTTAAAATACTCATGAAAGGTATGCTCATAGAGTTTTGGGGGTTATTTATAAGGCACAACTTTCTTTAATTTTTCAAAAATGTTAATTAAAGACAAATTCATACATGAAATGATAGTAACATAACTAAGTACTGTAAACCAACTATTGTTCGCGTTATCTTTTATTCCAGCTAGAATCGTAAGTTTGAAATCAATCCGCAACAATTAATTTGCATGACTGAGGAAACATTCTTTACAAATACAAAGCAAAATAATTGATTCACGGAATTAATATTCGCGAATTAAATTAGCTTGCAAAACATGCAATATTTCTAGCATGTGAATAAAAGTTGGTTTACAGTACCATACGATGAATGGCTCACCTATGGGATTACAAGAATCATACAATTCCATATGCTCCTGACGTGGCCACATGTGTAACTTATAATTTCCTTTCAGAAGTCGGGATTTGTAGTCAAACAATGGGATATTGGCCCATGTCAGCAGCGAGTATTCCTACAATGAGAAATGAAAAATATAAAATCTCCTTACACCTCTATAAGTTTTTTTATAATTTTTTTCAACTAATTCCTCATTATCTTTTAAGATTTACATGTATATGAAACTTGTTTCAACAAAATGATCCCTTTATCTCTCTTTTTAAAGTCAATTTTAACATATTTCATTCAAGAAATTCTCTTTCTTAAAAACCCAGATATCATTGCTTTAAGCCCTATAAAGTACCTTGTTTTTCCTTATATGGAGAGCAAAGCAGAGTCTGCAGTCTCGGGGAATATCCTCTACTTTAATATCATATTCTATCTCACTCTTCCAGCACACCGTCTCAGAATACACCAAGGCGTCCTTTGTATGGTCTATTCGGAGTGTCTCAGGGCCGTGAAATAATCCCACATAGAGTCTGACCTACATGTACAACATGGTGTTAGTTTACAACATGTAGTACTAGTCCACACGTCCTCAAAGTGTGCCACACTTACTACATGATCTAACCATGTGTATCTGTAGTACTGTCATTCTTTCAGTTGTTGCAAATGATTTGCTTAACCTTTATACACATCTCAAAATTTGTATTTTTCTCACATGAATAATCAACATACATATAGGAGAACCCTAAAATTTTTAATGAGTTCTTCATGGGCCACGTTATGAGTCTGATAGACTAAGTTTTTACTGAAATATGTACAAAGCTGAATTCACACCACATTTGGATATTTCCTTTTGAGAACATTAGCTTTGGATTTTTCCTTCATATTTTTCTAAAATTTTGAACTCAAAGTGAAACTCAATGAAACTAGTAAGTGAGAGCTGTCAAATACCTTATAAAACAATATATGACTACCTTGTAAGCTAGGTAATCATGCTTATGTCCCTCTCAAGTTCTAAAGTAAAATACGCAAAATACATTGTACAAAAAATCTATTATAAAGCACCTTGCTGTTATCATCCACAATGATTTTAGAGACAGTGTTGATAGTCAGTTTAAAGTTAACATGGATGTCCCACGATGTGATGCTGTTCCTGCCTCGTAGACTGGGCTTACATGGCCGCTCAGGGTGAGGACGGGAGGGGTTGTGGTCAAGGTCATTAGCTTTTTCTGTACGAAAATAACACATGCATAAATCTGTTATATTTCAAAAAAGTTAATAAATGTATCTTAAATTTCATAAAGTTGCATATTAAAATCTGCACAAAGTTGACATATTTATGGTTGTTTATTAGCACTTTAAACACTAAATAAGAAACTTTTTTGCTCTAGAAATGACTTACCCATGACTTTACTTTTGGGCCTCAGCCACAGGGCAGGAGCAATGTTCCTCAGTAGACATCGGAATATGTACTGAATTAGAGTTTAACATTATAGTGATGAATAGAACACAAGTATTACAGTATTATATACATGTATATCCTATCAACTCCTGAAACATAATAATTTTTTGCTTGCTGCTTGGCAAAAAGCAGGCCTGTGATAATCAATTTGGGTAAATCAATCCATAAAACATTGGATACTGGATGACACCTCAGCATGGAATAGTTTTAACTTGTTAACTTCATCATTAATCAACATTTTGACCATACTTTTTTTTTTTTTAGCATATTTTAAACAACCAATGTTTATCTTATGTAAAATAAGAAATGCTCAATACAAATTACATAGTTAAATATACTATATGTACAAACCTTACATGTGACAAAGTAGTACAAATTACATATAACCTAACCTTGAAGGATCTTAGTGGATACTCCCCATACAAGTAATCCTCCATTCCAATAACCTTCAGGATGTAGTCGGAAGCCTTCAAATTCTGCATACCTGTGTTGGTCCTCCATTTCTCCAGTGCCATGGCAATCAGATCATTAGGAATTTTATCTGCCTCAATCTTCATTGTGTAAATCACCTGTAAAAAAAGTAACCATTTTATCTACATATTCATGAAGATATTAAAATTACTCAATAACATAATCTATACATTATTGTGCATTTACATGTAATATATATGTACATGATGTCTTTGTGGAATTACATGCATTAATTCACTGGACTTTTTTTGTTCTCTTTATGCTCTTTTTTTTTAATTTTAAAAGAAAACCAATCCAATATTTGGTAACTGTTACATGCCTAATCGGTGAGGAGAGAAATGCTACAGACAACACCAGGATTCTAACCCGTGCCTCTGAATTAATAGTCAGGTGCTCTATCTGACTACAGGCAAACAAATCTGCCTGAATGCCACATTCCTCCCTCCTTCAAGGTTTTGCCCCCCCCCCCCCAAAAACACCAACCAAGCTCTTCCCTGGCTGGTCTTTCACCTGTTTTGCAGGGTACCATATGTAATTGAAGAGGAAAGAAATGGGACAGACCAAACCAGGTTCAAACCTGGCCCCCCTGAATCAATAGTCAGATGCTCTATCAACTGAGCTCTGGCGAGAGAATCTGTTGTTCCCCACACATTTCCAGCATTCAACTTTTTATGTTATACATAAATGTATGTCAGACTTTCTATTGCTATAATTACCTACTTCATACACATAAAACCCTACAGATATAGCATTTAAATTTACCCCTGTTTCCTCTATATGGATAGTCAGCACCATGCCCTCTTTTAACTTGTTCTGAATGTAATCAGGTAACACTGAATGGTTCAGGATTCCTACTGGATGTTTGTACTGAAACCTCAAAAATCCCTGTTAAAAAAGGGAAAAAAATTTAATGAATTATAGTTATTTTCTCTAGCTTTACAGCTATCCCATTTCTAATTTTGCAGAAATCTCATTTCTTTGGTTTTACATACAGTCAAACCTCGTTATCTCAAACTTGACGGGACCAAGAGTAAACTTTGAAATATCGAAAGACTCAAGATAACAGGTTAAAAATCATAAAGAAAAAGTGGGACTTCTAGATCACTCTGACACATCCCTGGTATTTGAGATATCAGTGTTTGAGATAACAAAGTTAACTGTACATCCTTATTTTAGACTTTAACTCCAAAATTTAAAGATCATTAATTCACAGATACATCTAAATTGTTTATGGAAGACTTTGGCTTTTAGGTTTTTCAGGGAAAAAACCATAGATTTGTCATATTTTTTAACATTTTCTTTTTGTATTTTATGGATATATTGTAATCCAGTATATCTTAAGGCTACAGTATTCTTAATCTTTGAGAGAGGGAGGAATGATTCCAAAATTCTGAGTTGGAAAGCCAAAATTCAAAGAAGTTCAAATGTTTTCTATGATGTTAATGCTAATGTTCAATTTATAAATAAATATTTGTTCTAATCATTGAAATTTTGTAAAGTTGGTTGGACTAGAGGGTACCTTTTCAAAGAAAACAAAGCTATTTTTTTTTATCATGGCCTCATTAATAAATACAACAACTTTAGGTCCATTTCTATATTTGGTAATGACCAATATCTGCCCCCAAAATCAAACTTTTGAGAAATCTATAGTTATGCTCTAAACCAGGGAGGGGGGATCTGCAGACTTGAGAGCATTACCTGTTTTCAACAGCCATGATGCCATATACTAGATACAGTGTATGACGTCAAGAAGAAGAGGTAAATTAAAATTTTTAATTAATGATTTTGAGAGAAAAAATTGTATTTTATGTCAATATTTTGAAATAAAATTAAAAGTCATCAAGTGCAGTCTGCCCCAGCTTTATCTTTTAATAATCACATATGTAAAGAATTATAATATCAATCAAATATGTGAATATTGTTCTGGAGCAAGCTTGTGCTCAATAAATTCTAAACTCAAAATTGAAAAAATTTCGTCCATTTAATCCTTTATCTTGAAAATAATGGAAAATTCAAATAGTTTGTGACGTTACTAAAACAAGTAATGACGATAATCTATTCTTCCAAACTATAATAATTTTTGTCAATATAGAATTTTCATACAATATGAACAACTGTGTACATTTCTACAGATTTTAAAAATTTGCCTTTTATGGGGGGGGGGGGGATATGTTTTTACCACATATAGTTCTTTCCTATTTCATGACTTTCAATCATGGATTTATGAAAACTGGTGACTTACAGATAAATCCTGGTTCCTTCGATTGACAATATCCTTGCAATAAGCAGACATGGTCCTGCGAAAGTCTGTGATGTCATGAGACACTTCTGCTTGATGATCGATGCATTGTTGACCTAAGACAGGATTGTAAAGAAAAACTTGTATGCAATCATTTTGTACATTAATAAAATATGTGGTAATCAAATAAGAGAAAAACAGGATGTACTTTATGTGAAATTACACCATAGTAAAAAATTTGACAATTTGAAAATCTTATCCACAGTGGGTTTAATTTCACAGAAAAATTACAAATTATGAACCAAAGCGAAAATAAAACTATCACATAAATTTCCCAATCTAGTATCCAATATGAAGTTTGCAAATTCTGTGAAATGATCAGAGATTATGAAGTGCAGCATCATATCTCACCTTTCATTCCAATTAGATTATTTGTGCTTTTACTCAATGATCGAGTTTTATCATCAGCTTTCTTTTTAACTAATTTTAGAAAACGAGCAGCTATCTTGAATTCATTCAGCATCATGTCTTCATCAACTATTTCATCCTGTAAAAAGAAATCCAAAATTTGTCTTGAATTCCTTTCTTTAATGTGTTAACATTCTTGTTATTACTTATATACAACTAGTGAAAGGTTTGTAAAAATACTAATCATGCCAAAAAATATATATCACTGACTAAAAATAGCTAGCTGTTAACTTTTAAATTAAATTAATTACATGTATATTAAATCAATGTGTGAATCCCTACTATAGGCTTTCATGGAATCATGTTAGATCTAAAATGAAACACTTATTATTTTTATGAAAAATGTCAAAAACAGAAATTACTAAGATTAGTGAAGTTGGAAACTGACCTTTTGGCCTTGTTGGTTGATGTAAGTGAAGCAATAATTCTCCATTCTTTTGAGAGATTTAAATAATGGATAGTTTTCTGCTTCCTTCCATAGTTTCTTACAACAGATTTACAACAAATACATGTAAATTCACTAACATACAAAAAATGTACATGCAATCACAGTAATATCTCTGTCGAATACTATATACAGGGAAATTTTTGCCTCCGTTTTATTTCCCCCCTTTCACCCTATAGACACAAGTGGGTGAATTTAAGATGGGGCGAATTCAAAGAAGACAGTATGATTTCTTAAACAGAACTGTGACTGGGCAATATTAAAACAGGGCAAAATTTTTTATAAGTGTGAAAGGGCAACATAACAGGGGGCAAAAAAACCCCTGTATACAGTAAATGTTTTTCATGCCAATCTAAGATGTTCTGAATCCCCCACCACTTCTCAAACTCCTAATAACATCCCATGTGGGTTCATGTCATAGCAACCTTTAGCCAATGAGCAACCTTTAGCCAATGAAATTTTTACTGCCCAAAACTTTGCCGGTAGCTAGTTCTGTTACTTTTTCACAGATACATGTATACCTAAATGCCCAAAGAGTACATGCATTCATGAAAGTGTCTCATAGGATTTCTGTATTTGGCTGTTTGTGCATCTTTGTTTGTATTATTCAGGAATGGTGGATAAGTATACCCGGTAAATTTATTTTATGCCAAAATAAACTTAAATCTATGTAAGACAGACTACAGAGCATCAGAAATGTAAACATAAAACTAATTCTTTGAGTTAAATGTATATGGAAGCTGGAATTTAATTGGCCATAGTTTTCATGTTTATATCGATAATTGAAAGGTCACTCTGATGTGACCTGGTATGGGACATTGTTACGAGGGGCATTTCAAAAGTTCTGGCAACTGGTATATAAAATTTTAATTACGTTACGGATCAAAATGACTCTGATACCACTGTAAAGCTTAGGCAAATATGCATTAGTAGTGACGTCATTTTACATTCAAAATGACGTATAGGTCTGCTAAATTGACGTCATAATTAGGTATACTCTGTATACTGGGCGTAAAAATGACTGATTAGCAGAACAATTTTTTTGTTGAGCAAAGAGCATATTGCAAAAATTCGCTCATTGCTTGGCTTTACAGCAACAGAAATAAAAGCCAATTTAGATGTAGTATATAGAGAGCATGCTCTTTGATATCGAGCAATAGCAAGATGGGTAGTTCAATTTAAAGAGGGTAGAAAATCAATTGAAGATGGCCCCCGTTCGGGGCGTCCAGTTTGTGCATATGGCGAAAAGAAATCGTCGCTGTTCAAAATACGATAGCTGATGATGCTAGATATACAGCTAAGGAAATAGCAGACTTAACTAACATTAATTCGTCAGCAGTTTTTTTGTATTTTAAAGGAAAACTTAAAGCATAGGAAAGTCTGTGCTAAATGGGTGCCGCATCTTCTCTCGGAAGAGCAAAAGCGCATCCGGGTAGAAATGGCTTCACAGTTACTAACAATTTATGAAGATTGTGACCAAAGGCGAATAAATGAGATTGTAACTGGTGATGAAACATGGATATATTTTTTTGAACCGGAAACTAAGCTCAATAATAAAGTTTGGATCGGTGAAAATGATACAAGGCCTCAAATTGCACACAGAAAGCGGTCTGTCCGGACAGTAATGTACGCCTTATTTTTTGATTCTAAAGGCCCTGTTGCTCAAGTTCCGGTTCCAGAACACAGCAGTGTTACTGGTCAATTTTATGCAGAGAATGTCTTGTCTCAGGTTATAGAGCACTATAAAACGACCCAACCAACAACCAGTACTAGAAGAATAAAGCTCCTCCATGACAACGCACCTGCCCATAGATCAGAGGTAGTAACCAAATATTTAAAGGAAAATGGTATTGCCGTTTTACCACATCCACCCTACAGTCCTGACCTAGCTCCATGCCATTTTTGGTTGAATGCTGTTATCAAAGAAGCCCTCCGAGGACGGCGATTTGAAAGTTGTCATGCAGTCGGAAGTGCCGTATTCCAGAGTATGAAGCGTATACCGAAAGAGGACTATAGGGCAGCATTTTCCACGTGGATTTCAAGACTGAAAAAGTGTGTCCAGGTCAACGGAGACTATTTTGAGGGATTGATATAATTTAATTTATGATATTGACGCTCATTAATTTACCGCACACCCAGTTGCCAGAACTTTTGAAATGCCCCTCGTAGATGTTTGAAAAGTGGAAGTGGATTAGAAACATCTAAATTAATTTTAATTAGGTTATTTTCATGCCTGAAGCTCATTAAATTAACATACTAAGATACAACATAAACTAAAATCAAATTACTGGTATAAATTCTGAAATACAAAGAAATTGTTTAATTATAAATAAATCTACAGGCGCATTACATTTGCACAAGATGAAAAGGTTTAACAACAGTCCTTATACACTGTACATATCAACAACATTTAAGGTAGGTCTCGGGTTTACTGCATAAAAATTCTTACGAGAAAACATATCCTGAAAATTTGATATAATCTTCCTTAGAATTTGCGGCATATTATCTGAAATTTTTATTAAATTTGCCTACGTGGTTTTAATGCTATATTACTGTAAACGCGGTATAGTTTTCAGTACTATTTTTACGCTTTACTATAGAAATATATAGGAAAATGACGTTTTTTAAACAATTTTACCAAAAGAGTTTCTTCAGAAAAGGTCAGATAACTTTTTAAAGACGTTGACGAATTACTCAAAAATTTTAAAATATCAAGATGAGGTAAAATTAAAACTATTGAGGTAAAAAAATCAATATGTCTTCTCGCTAGTTTTTTTGCTTAATAATTTTAAAGTTATAGCTTTTATATTGCCAAAATGTTGCATTTATGGCGTTATTTATGACTAAAACGTCATATATTGAACGTAATCGCGTTTACATATAAGTATCTTTATATTTGGAATATACAAGATCTAAAAGGCGACATAGATGCACATTGTAATTTTATTTAGCATTTCACTTCTTGCATTAATGTGATAGGAAGAACAGCAACTTATCTACTCTAGTATTATTAAATTCATATTCTGTCCACGAAGTCAGAATGGACGGTATATTGATATAAACATTCTTCAAGCATTAGAATTAATATGCAGCGACTACACTGGGATTAATTCAAGTCATGTTAAGATGTTCAAGTTCATTATTAAGATTTCAAGTATAATACGTGAATTTTATCACTTCATTCGAAATCGGTAAAGAAAAAAAAAAACCCACCCCAATACTGAAGGGGGGGGGGGTTACCGGCAATGTTTTTTTTTTTTATATCAATCGCAATTCAGTATATAGTCCGAACTCTCAAACATTTGTTCTTTCTTGTTTTTTTTTTTCTTTATCAATTTTTCATCAGCAAAATGTAAAATACTTGCATTCAGCTTATACACAGACAGCTTAATTTTGTTATAGAAAAAATTGTACTTGATACTTGTATTTCGTAATACATGTAGTATATTAATATCTGATTAGAGTGTCATAAAGGTCCGATATGCCGGGTGTTTGTATAAATTTATTTTAACATGTTTAATGCATTTCACTATGATAAAGCAATTCCTTGCTAGCCTGCATATATAGAACGACTTTATCAGATTCAAATACATAATAATTAAAAAAAAAAAGGAAGAAGACAAAGCATGTAATTAAATTTCATCCGTTTTTAGTGTCGAGGATTGATTTTATCCTAAAAATAACAAGTTTGTTTTTTTTTCCGTGGCTGTGAAGAGCAAACATAGTGCATTACGCACCTTCCCGTCTTTGCAAATTATGCGTGCATACATGCAGCCTTTCAATTTTTCGGCTTAGCAATTTACGGTTACTTTCATTTGCATGCCATATCTTTAATTTAACACTAACTCATTTTGATTGACCTTTAGCAGTTTAGTATCATTTACAATATAGATTATTCCTTGCATTTTGCATCGCATTTATTATGTTTTATTAGATTGTTCTTATACATTACACATATAATCAGAGCTGAATTCAAACTTATAATACTCTTGGTTCATACATTTACGACAATACAATTACGGACAATAACATGTACTTTCTACGCTTCCTACGGACTAGATTCTATTGCTAAAGTAATTTTCAAAGAAATAAACGGGAAACAATGCAACGTCGCCTTTGTGACGTAACTGACGTCATAATCAAATGTGCACAAAACAACCGCTCGAATCGTCGAAATTGTGTACCAAAATTGATGACAAAAGTAAACCCGCGACCTACCTTAACTAGGAATTTATATACATTGTACTCTTGGACACTGTACTCACCAATTTGATATTCTCTATGGAGTCATAGAAGTCCACTCGGATGGGTATGAAGATGCCATTTGGCATCAAGAAGTCCATTTCTACATGGCCATCATTTTCGTTGACCTCTTTGGCCACATCTAAGTCTGGTAACACTACTATTGGAGGCATGACTCTGCAATGACCAGGATGACGCTCTGGTCACTCCACTCAATCTAGTGGGGGAGAAATCGAATATCACAACGGCATGATCAGGAATTACATAAGACAGATGTGTAAAAAACAAAAACAGATATGGTAACTCTCAAACAACGAAAAAGATATCAATGATCAAGGAAGTTTTCTGTGTCCCATTTTCAGCTGATTTTGTCGTTTTCCTTAACGTTGTTAGCAGTGTAAACAAACTTTAATATGGGACAACTCAAAAACTTTAAACAGTTTTGCTCACTATAACTTTTACATAAATCACAGATATTTCGTTTATATTGGTATCCTCCCAAGTAATACTGTACCGTTACTTATTTCCTCATAGTCGTCTACTTCCTCAATGATACACGGAAGGTAATCCCCCTTTACATCTAGAATCTCGAGTCCGACCAAATAAAACTTTTACAGAATCAAAGAACTGAGAGTATTGTTTACTTGGACCATTTAACAATATTACGTTGATCCATGGATGTTCACATTTGAATTAGAACACCTTCTTCAAATTAGATGCATGGAAAGTCAAAAAACTCTACAGGACATTTTTCAATTAAAATTCTATGCATGATTATTAAGCGAAATTTATCATAAATTTGTGTCACATACTTTCTTCCATATGATCAATGTTTCACGGATCAATGATTTTAATGTAAATAAAAACCTTTATCAGGTACATTACACCTGCTGAAACGTTAATGGGCCGAATCGAGAACATAAATACCAAGCAGATAAAATGCCGGGACCCTATTCTGGTCATTCTGATGAAGCATACCCAGAGGTTTTCAACCTGCCGGCTATGCCACCCCAACCAAAGAAAAAGAAACCTGGACAACTGTCTGAAGAAGCAATAAAACAATTCTTTGAAGAGGTAGGTATTAACAAATACCCATGATGTATATATCTTTCATATTTCTATAACCACCCATTTTGTCGGACTTGTACTTTTGTAACTATCACATCATCCAGTACTTAACTCTGATTTTTGACATGTGGATGTAGGCGAAAGCCTGTCCACTTTTCTTAAGAGAATGACCTTTGACAATGAACTCGTCAAGATCTTAACACATCTTTAGGTAATGGTTAACAAAATACTAATCATTGAATGAAATCCAATAACAGGTTCATGTCGACACTATTTTAACAGACAGACAGGCAACCATGCCAAAACCAATATTTCCGAATTAAAAGGGACAATGCACATGACTTGAAAGATATTCAAATAATAAACTTTCATGCATGAGTTTGTATACTAGTATATTCCTTTTAATGAATACTTTCATGCTTTTATAAATTATATTTCTTAAAATAGGAAAACAGTGATGTACAAGTGTTAGCTGTGAATGTGTGTCAGACACGTAATATTATCGTATTTGCCCCCCCCCCCTCCCCCTCCAAATACAACTTACATTGTACCTGAAAAATCTTTGAAAAGCCAAAAAAGGAAAAATTGTCCAAACTTTAAAATCCTATTTCGAGGGGTGGGGGTGGGGGGTGGGGGTAGGGGTAGGTTCCAGCTTTTTTTCCACAACCAAATACTCTGTTTCCATGAAAACTATACAGCAACAAAAAGTGGGGGGGGGGCAACCTTCAGTGAACATCTTCAACAGTAAAAAGTTACGTTTAGAAAGGGGGGCAGCCCCAATACTACGTGTCTGTAAAATTCTAATTTTTTTTTAAGTCTGTCATCTGCAATGAAAGACACCGTTGCTGTTTTTTTTATTGTTTCTTAATTATCAGTTCTAGAGTACCACTAATTAGACCTTCATTGTACATGTACATAACTACACTTGTATTTCTAGGGATATGTCGTAGTGAAGGATTTTTTCTCCCCCAGTGAACTCGAACCCTGTAGAAAGGCTCTAGAAAAGCTTGTAGATGATGTGGCGCAGCGACTGTACAAAGCTGGCAAAATTTCCAGTAAGATATCAGAAAGAAAATTTTTGATAAAACGATCAGGAATTAATTTAGATGATATAATTTAGCATTACTCACACCGGTACATTTATATGACAGAGTTCTATATATATATATATATATATATATATATATATATATATATATATATATATATATATATATATATATATATATATATATATCTTTAGGTTTGTACGATGACTGTGATCTTTTCCATGAACGATTGCAGAAAATGGACAAGGAATGGCCAGGTGCAGCCATCTTAGTGATCAAAACACAGGTCTTGCCACAAGTGAGTATATAAGGCTTAACTAAGTTAAATCTGTAGATGAGCGAGCGATGAAAGACAGGCTAGGTGTTGAAACTGTTATGGCGGCACATATTGTTGGTCCTGCACATATTGTCGCCGGCGACATGTGTGCAAATTTACACAGCACATATTGTTCGCCCATCGGTACAAACCGGGTATTGTCCATGTGTACAGGCCATGTCTATGTGTATATGCCTGCACAAATTGTCGCCGACGACGAAGTGTACAGGCCCTAGCGGCACACGCTTTCGCCTTGATTTTCAGAGTTTAAAGATAATTTAAAATTTTTCACAGTATAAATCAAAGCATAAATCCCTGTTGCCAAAGCACTGACCAAATGAACTTTTAAGCAAATTAATATTGATAATTTGTTTTCCCCTCAGAATGTCTGGTTATATTGAGTCTTTTGGTCTGTTTACTCTTTCAAATGATAGCATGAAAACTAAAAATCTGTGATGGCATATTTTGCCCCCTACACACAAGATAAGTTATGACATCACGAGAAAAGTATGTCAACATGAAAGATAATTATGTCTACATGCAAAATAATTATGTTGACAGGATAAGTTTTATTACTAATTCAGAGCATGAAGAGAACAAACATAAGAAGGAAAAGTCTAAAATATAGGTGAAAAAGAGCATTTATATACGTATCTATATAATCATGTACATGTACAAGTAGATATCTGACATTTATATATGCATGTATTGTGGTAAGGGGTATCAACACGATAATGGCAATACCTGCATCCGTAGATTATGAAAAATTGCAATGTAGTAGAAACTAAGTAGTAGAAACTAAAGCGAAATGTAAGTTATCAATCTTTAGAGAATCTGGTTTTAATATGGGTAAGGTTACTTACTTTGTAAAATCAGATTCTCTAAAAGGATTCGTAACTTGTATATGTAAACTCAGTTACCTTGTTGACATTATTTATCAGCTGAAATTGTCAACTCGGTATAAAATAACAACAATCAATCAATCAATCTTGCATGAAGGGGACAGAAATATGCCACCATACAAATTAGAATGTTCCTTAATTTCAAGATTTCGTTCAAATGTAACTATAATTACAGTTATATGGCCTATATTACTTTGATTCCCCATAATTTCGTTTGATTATCTTAAGAATAAGTGCCCACAAATTACAGATAGAGGTTGGCAGATATTGTAATCCAATTATACCAAGAGATGTAAGATATTGTATTAATTGTCAAACTGTTGTTGAAGATGAACATCATTTTTTATTAGGGTCTTCCGTCTCCAACGGAAGACCCTTCTATTATTCTATTGTTTCTTTTTCACTTTTATTATTATTAAGATCTTCCGTCTTCACGGAAGACCTTATAGTGATTCTACTGTTTCTTATTATTATTATTTTTCCGCCCAATCTAATTTTGTGCACGCGATTTCTCGAAGACTACTGGATGGATTTTAATGAAATTTGCAGAAGCCATGTGTTTCAATCTGAAGTTATTTTATCCGAGAGAATTTGTAGAAATTCACTTCCGGTGCCAAGTTACGGACCATTTTTTGAATTTAAAAAGACATTTTGTCCGCGGATAATCTCAAGAATGGTAAAAGATATCAATGTGAAACTTTCAAGGATTATAGATCGTGATAAATCCTAGCCGGGACGTGACTTTTCGTTCGTCGTCGGTACTTCCGGTCGTTACCGGATGCGAATTTAAAAAGTCTAATTTTCTAACTTTTTTGATTTTCAATATTTTTCTTTCAAATTAGTAGGGTTTATAGAAGCATTTCCAAAAAGGCTTAATATATAATTTGTTTAAAAAACGATAAATCCAAACTCTAGATATTCGCATTTTAAAATTTGAAGCGGGTCCAAAATGGCGACTGTCTCCTTAAACTCCGACGAGCAGGTCAGCACTCGGAGCTCCTCGGTTGCTGGAAGTTTACAAACTAACCTCGAACGTCAACGGTGTTCTACCATTTCGGGTTTAATCCCGATTATGTCTGAATTTTCTTTCTCATTTTTAGCTTTAATTTACGTTTTCATCTTTATAATATAAATGATGTTTTTTTCCTGTGTTAATCTTGTGCTATTTTCATTTGTTTTAAAGAAATCTTTAAAAATCCTTGCATTTTTGAAGGACCCATGTTATATTTTAAGGACATTGGCAAGTCAAAGTTTTCCTGAGAAAAAAGGTTAAATACATGAGTTTTTTCACTTACTTCACTTACTTAGTGATTGAGAGTGATCTCCCGTGTAGAATTCTCTAAGCGGTGAAAACCAATAAAGCGTATGTTTACAGAGGTAAACAAAAAGCAAGTGTACTTCCTTCAACGGGTATAATCATCTATACAGCAAGAAAGAAAGGTAGTAATGGCTTTGTTGTACATTGTATTCAGGAGACAAAGAGCCAACAGATCGTCATTTAATATAGTTAGCTCAGTATGCTGGGGAAGGCAAAGATGTGACATATGCTGAAAGGTAGACCGACTGAGATCAGTTTCTAGGTTGTATGAAGGAAGCAGCATTTAGTAACTACGAATAAAAATTGAAATAAATCCATGCCAATATTTTCATGACAATGTGTTTCAATCAATTCAGTCAATTACATGACAGAATCAATCAGCCAGTCTGACTCTCTTCACCCTTATAAATAATATGTAATTATAGCTGTTAAGGGAAGTAACTCAAAAATAGAGATCGGTGCCGGTATGTCCTTGTCTTGTTTCTATACATGTATTTACATTTTCAGCTAAAATATCTAGAAGTCATAGGAAATGAAAATACAATAATGTATATACATGTAATACAAAAACCATATGAAATAAGTGGGTTTTGGAGAAATATGGTGAAAAATTATGTTGGTCCCTTTTAACAACATTTTACATAGGAAATGCATTGAGAATTGCAAAAACACTGATTTGACAAAATCTAAAAACGAAGGTTGGCTTGGTAGGTTAAACAATCCAGAATATAGCCTGTTTATTACAATTAAAGCTACTCAAGAGTTCTTGAAAAATTCTATACGAGAAGTTGTCTGAGCAAGAACTCGACAAGGGTAAGATTAAGACACCAAACTTAAATGAGCAGCAGTCCTTAAGGTGTAGGCAAAACCATTTGGATTCAGAGCGTCAGCCGTCACTTCCAGTCGTCACAGGAAGTGATAAAAGAAATCAAAAATTTCACCTTTTCTTTTTTTAATTGAAAATTGCATCACTTTATTACATCTTTTTTGCAGATTCAAAAGATGTTGGTCCCACCGGAAACAAATACAACTTCCGGTTATAAGAGAAAAACTAAATAATTTGAGTATTTTACTTTCCCATAAATATTCTTTATAGATAAAGTATTTGAAATGAATTTTAAATATGTTATTCAAAGTGCAAATGTCTAGAGTTACCTTGAAAACGTCAACTACCGGTTTAAGGAGATAGCACGTTGGATTTTCACGCTGATGACCCGGGTTAAATGTCCAGAGTGTCTGAATTTCTTTTATCACTTTTTCAGCTTAAATTTTCGTTTTTATTTTCAGAATCGGACGGAAGACCTCTCATTGCTCGCAATGAGTTTCTAGTTATTATTATTTTTTTCTGTCCAAATTTTGTGCAGACGATTTCTCAGAGATGGTTGGATGGATTCACTTGAAATTTTCACAGATGATGTATCATGATCTAAACCTTATTCATTTTTTTTATTTTGTGGAAATTCACTTCCGGTCGGAAGTTATCGCCCTTTAATCGAATTTTAAGTGACCATTTTGTCTACACAAAAACTCAAAAACGACAAAAGCTAGAGTGCTGAAATTTTCAGTGATAATAGAGGACATGTTCTAGTTTTGCACCTCCGTTTTCAAATTTTCTGGAAGTGCCTAGTATGGAAGCTCGGTAGGGGTCGAAATTTAGGACATGAATCAGGAGTGAATTTTCGAGACATTTTTTATCATATCTTCAAAACTATAAATATTTTTTTTAAAACATATTGAACAGAAATTGTGTAGAATTACTAGATCTTTTATATGATATAAAAGAAAAAGGGCTGACTCATCATATTAGGGATCAAGAGGGGCCAAAAGTCTTAAATCCATAACTCTTTAACGATCAATATTTTGTTATACATTACTAAAGCAAAAATGTTTATCTGAGCAATCTACAACTATATATTATGATAAAAATCTCATCTGTTACATAATTAGGGGCCATAAGGGGCCAGAATGCTAAATCTTTGACGCTTTATATCTCGAAAGTGGGAAATATTTTTATAAGCAATGTTGAACAAAAGATGTTAAAAATAATGTGCTAAGCAATATGCAACCTTTAAATATTTGCTAAACATCTCCATTAAGGAGTTGAAGGGCCGGCCCCTACATATTTCTTTTGCATATATCTCGGAAACGAAAAAGAATTTCTTTATAGTTGTTGAACAAAATGTGTTCAAAATCATAAGAGCTTTAATGTGATATCAAGAAAAAGGGGCTGGCCCCTCAAAATCGGGGCTGATAGGGGCCGAAAGTCTTTCATCAAAACTCTTAAACGATCAATATTTTGTAAAATATTACTGCAGCAAAAATGTTTATCTGAGCAAACTACAACTATATATTATGTTATTCACATCATATGTTACATAATTAGGGGCCATGAGGGGCCGAAATACTAAATCTTTGACGCTTTATATCTCGAAAGTGGGAAATATTTTGATAAGCAATATTGAATAAAAGATGTTCACAATAATGTTCTGAACAATATGCAACCTTTCAACTTTTGCTAAACGTCTTCATTAAGGAGTTGAAGGGCCGGCCCCTAAATATTTCTTTTGCATATATCTCGGAAACGAAAAAAGAATTTCTGAATAGTTGTTGAACAAAAAGTGTTCAAAATCATAAGAGCTTTAAGGTGATAAGAAAAAGGGACTGGCCCCTCAAAATAAGGGCTGATAGGGGCCGAAAGTCTTTCATCAATAACTCTTAAATGATCAATATTTTGTAATACATTACTAAGGCAAAATAGATCATCTTCACACTCCTTAACTATATAACATGTTGTTGGCATATGTTACGTTATAAGGGGACATTAGGGGCCGGAATGCTAAATCTTTGACGCTTTATATCTCGAAAGTGGGAAATATTTTGATAAGCAATATTGAATAAAAGATGTTCACAATAATGTTCTGAACAATATGCAACCTTTCAACTTTTGCTAAACGTCTTCATTAAGGAGTTGAAGGGCCGGCCCCTAAATATTTCTTTTGCATATATCTCGGAAACGAAAAAAGAATTTCTGAATAGTTGTTGAACAAAAAGTGTTCAAAATCATAAGAGCTTTAAGGTGATAAGAAAAAGGGACTGGCCCCTCAAAATAAGGGCTGATAGGGGCCGAAAGTCTTTCATCAATAACTCTTAAATGATCAATATTTTGTAATACATTACTAAGGCAAAATAGATCATCTTCACACTCCTTAACTATATAACATGTTGTTGGCATATGTTACGTTATAAGGGGACATTAGGGGCCGGAATGCTAAATCTTTGATGCTTTATATCTCGAAAGTGGGAAATATTTTGATAAGCAATATTGAATAAAAGATGTTCACAATAATGTTCTGAACAATATGTTACCTTTCAATTTTTGCCAAATATTCCCATTAAGGAGTTGAAGGGCCGGTCCCTATTATTTCTTTTGCATATATCTCGGAAACGAAAAAGAATTTCTGAATAGTTATTGAACAAAAAGTGTTCAAAATCATGAAAGCTTTAAATTGATATGAATAAAAAGGGACTGGCCCTCAAAATAGGGGCTGAGAGGGGCCGATAGTCTTTGATCAATAACCCTTTAACGCTCAATATTTTGTAATTCATTACTGAAGCAAACATGTTTATCTCAACAATTTACAACTATATATTATAATATTCACATCATTATTAGGGGCCACAAGGGGCCAGAATGACAAATCTTTGGCACTCTATATCCCGAAAGTGGGAAATATTTTGATAGGCAGTGTTGAATAAAAGATGTCCAACAGTTCAAAATAAGGTTTTAAACAATATGTAACCTTTCCATTTTTGCTAAACGCCCCCATTAAGGAGTTGAAGGGCCAGCCCCTAAATATTTTTTTGCATATTTCGGAAACGAAAAAGAATTTCAGAATAGTTGTTGAACAAAAATGTTCAAAATCATGAGAGCTACAAGAAGATACTAAGAAAAAAGGACTGGCGCCTCAAAATAGGGGGCCAGGACGGGCCGAAAGTCTTTAATCTATAACTCTTTAATGATCAATATTTTAATACACTTTACTGAAGCAAATTTGTTCGTCTTAACAATTTATTTTTATTATTATATTTGAACAAAAATCTCAGTCAAATTCTGATCTCATCTTATCAAAAATCGGACGGAAGACCCACTCGTTGCTCGCAACGAGATCGCATCTAGTTTTATTTTATTTTCATTTGTCCACTTTATGAACAACTAAGAAGTGAATTTTGTACACTTTTTAACAATACATGTATATCTTATGAAATTCTTAATCCAGCAGATGTTAAATCAACAAGAAACATTTGTAACTTCATACGTGATGCATTTAATATAAGAAAATCTGTGTGACTATATATTTGTTTACTGTATGTACGACTTGCGCCACATATGGTTTTTGTCAAATTAAATAAATTAGAAAAAAAAATATCTAAATTGCCCGATAAAGACAGAAATATCAATTTACATAAATGCTAGTTTAAATCTATTGGACATTTTTGTTTCGTTATGCAAAGACCCCTACATTTCCTTGATTCATAAACCAATTAATGCACTTTTGATATTTCGCATTAGACATTAGTGATTTTTTTCTATTTACAGAAGCATTAGCATTACATCTGTTTTTACCCAGTTAACGTTCCATGTCGTTTGGTGAAGAATGTACAAAGAAAATGCTTTTTTTTTCAGGCAATGAAAGATATTTGGACAAATAAGCGATTACTAAATGTAGTTGAACAGCTAATAGGACCAAATATAGCAGGAAACTGTGTGTTCAACATGCGTTCTAAACTGCCACAACATGAGCCTACAGTCGTTCCTTGGCACCAAGGTATCAGCAAAAAGCGCATCCTTATATAATAAAAAACCTTATTCTTATCCACAGGTATTAAACTGAAGTCCTGATCGATTAGCCCAGAAAGGTCCTGCCGAGGGATATATGTTTATGGTTGGGGTTGGAAGATGTGATTGTTATAACTCAATAAAAAAGAACTAAAAAAGATTTAAATCAAAAGCAGAAAAAATATTAAGATAGTGCATTTACATTAATCAACATCTAAGTAAATTTTTTTCCCGGATTTTAGTCTCCAAAAGCCTTTGAAAAATATCCATTTTTAGCGGATTTTAGTATCCAAAAGCTTACAAAAAATAAATATCCTTTAATTTACAAAGAATAGTAATTTAAAAAAAACCCTTTATATCTCGTTGTTTTATTTGCTTATATGTATTTCTTTCAATGTAATGTGAATTTCAAATACGTTTAAACGTGCAATACATTATATGATCGACCAGCATTCGGTGAATGCAACATCAGCTAGGTATGGGCTTAACTTCAAAGCAGACATTACTTGCAGGCGAGTTTTTAATTAATCGTAATGTGACAGATAATGTTAAGACTCTGGAGCAAGATATAATCAATCCAAAGGGACTAATCAGCCTTATTATCCTCATGTCTCTCTCAGTTTGATAGGAAAAAAAATCAGATCTGTCGTTATCTGACTTAGCCTAATAATTTTTAGAAATGAATGTAACCATCCGGGAGATCCCAGCCCCATGACTAGTCCGAAATGTCTGAAATTTTCCAGCCATTTTTTCACGATTTTGATATTTAACGTGCCAACAAAAGGTCAGAACCGGTCCCATTATGAAAAGTGGAAATTTCGCGGCCCCAAACTGAACTCGATTTTCGATACTTGCAAATCGAATTAAATATCAAACTCACAACTTATCAATAACACAGTGCTTCTAGTTCTCACCAATATGGCTTAACAGAAAATATCACTCCACACTTCGATTCAGGTCTCACGAGATTTCAAAATACACGAAATCAAAACAAACCTCGACAGTTTGAAAAATTGTTTTTACCATACACTTTATATAACAAAGGAACAATAAAAGCGATATTAGTAAGTGCTAGAAACATTAAACTGTTGATACATACTGTAAGATGTGAGTTAGACATTTTAAAATTCGGTGTGCATGTATCGAAAATCGACCCGAGAATGCCGCATCCGGTTGGAGGCGGCGAATTTCCACTTTTCATAGTGGCGCCGGTTCTGACGTTTTCCTGGCACGTCAAATATCATGTATCAAAATCCTGGAAAATGTCAGATATTTCAGACTAACCCGTTTCTTATATGTATTCCTGTAGATAATGCATATTTTGACCATGACGCATACAAACAACTGATACCAACAGCCTGGATACCATTTGTTGATGCCAACGAGAAGAATGGATGTCTCCAGGTATTGGTACATTTCTTTGTCACTTTCTCCGAACCCACACTTAGACATTGGATAGAATTAATAACAAATTTATGATGAAAAATTGAATGTTAAAAAACGAGTGGAAAATGCCACTTATTGCCACTTTTTTACGTAGTTTCTCTGCCGTGGACAAAAGAGCGGACGGACGGCTGATCACACGTGTTGCTGGCAGGGAACCTGGTACGTCATGTTAGAAGAAGAGGAGATGACGAAATCACTAGGTAATACTGTCGTATGGGAAAAAAACACTTATCTTCAATCGCAACTTTCGAGTCAGAGGAAAAAAACCCTCTGACCTTAAATTCCAGAAAGGATGGCATTTCGGTCTTTTCATAACCATTGCAAACATAGTACATAAAATATGGAACATATCCATCGTATCAGATACTATTATTTGACCTCTATCAATTCCCAACCATTGCAAAAGTTAAGAAATGAAAGGTGAGGTGAAGATAATGAACAGTGCTCGATCTGGCAAATCCTTTAAACAATACAAACTGTGAACAGGACAGAAACACAGATTCCTGAAACCATGAAGGTGGGATGAGGTGCCAAGAAGGAGTAAGCATCCCCTGTCGAGCGGTTACGCCCACTACGAGCCCTCTGTATTGATCAGGTAAACGGAGTAATCCGTCATTTAATTGATATGGAAATAATGACCTAGCAATTGGTATGAAACATGTCAGTCAAAATACAACCGAATGTTAAGGTTTAATTTGCAAATAAGGTCATCATAACGACCATAGAATTCGCGAAATGCTGACGATAAACAAGATTGTTGAAGACCCTGAAACATTAACTTATTGGTCAGTAACCTGCCTCGATTTAAAAATTGGTCGTACCCAGAGGATATACTCTTGCGTGTCGAATTTCTTTAGCACCTGCATACTTTATGTCATTGTGAATTTTTATTGCACAGGGGTGGACCTGGAGAAGGATCTCCGTTTGGTTGAGGTTCCTTATGGTGGAATGGTGTTATTTAGCAATGCAATACCTCATCAAAGGTATCTTTTTAGAACAACTGCAGAATTGCAATAATCGAGGGTCTGCACAGTGTTGTTCTCGAGGGTCTTCAAAAATATGTGCTTCTCAATATGTACGAATGTCTTTCAGTTTACCTAATGTATCCAACGAGATCCGATGGTCCATGGATCTTAGGTGGCAAGATGCCAATAAACCGTCAGCCTTCCATGGACTGAAAGAAGCAGTTGTGTTCCGAACGGAACAAGATCCTAATCACGTAATTGACTGGGAATCTTTTGACGCAGTGGATCGAACTGATGTCCAGCTGAAAGCTGTAGAAGATATTCGGGTAAGCACCGTAAATTCTATCTAGAATTAAGTATGATTGACCATAAATTGTTGCAAATTTCTACTTCTTGAAGTTTAGATACTCGTTTTTCTGTAGGGATGTGTTTCAAATTACGTTGTGTAGACAAAATCACATATGTACATGTATATTAGAATGGGAATGGCAAACTAAAGAAATTTTTACAATTTTTGTAGGAGGACAAACCAGAAGAGGGATTTGATACACTGATTTCTGGTCCGTGGATGAAAATGTGGGAGATTACCAACACAAACAGACATGTGGTTATCTGAAGCTTTCTATTATCTACATCAAATTTCATTGTTATCGGTGTAACGATTACAAACTCAAATATTTGTACACTTGCTAATAAATGTGTGAATATTTGTAACTTACTAGAATTGATTGTAGTGGTGTTTTTTTTTCAGAAATAAAATTTTTATTGTATTATTCCTAAATATTTGTTTAAAATGTTTTTGAAACGGTATGTACAGTACTACATTATGGTTGTAGTAAAGCACATTGATATATTATATTGGCATATATTTTTTTCTTACAGGGGCATAAACACAAAACACGTGTCACTGTGTAAGTAAACATGAGCTCCAGCTCCGTTATTGTTTATGTTTACTTTTACCGGTTGTTTTCGATTTGCTAATACCCTACACATCAGTGAGCTCGTTGTCTTGGTTTTGCTTTCTTACATTTCTTTTCTAACTTTTCTTGTTTTCATATCTTTTATTTATACACCATGGATTCCCCACTGTTCGTAGATATTATGGAAAAAATTTAGTACGCAGTGCAAGGATGTATGATAAACTAACCCGCCAGAAATAAGAAATAAGGAGTAGTTTAAAACGTTTCAGATAATATGTTTTTTAAGCATTCATTTAAAATATATGCTCTTGCAACATGTAAGTCATGAAATTCTATCGAAAATTTTTAGGATGTACATGTCATGAAATTCTATCGAAAAAATTTAGGATATACATTAAAAAAAATGAGCCTATGCTCATTTAAAAAATTCTATGATGCTGGTGTATCAGTAAAGTCTTGCTTTTACAGATTAAAAGTATCTGTGAATCCCCCCCCCCCCCCCGTTCCTCCGAACTGATGTTAAAAGAAATAAATCCATTCCTTAGCTACAGATTATATCGTCCTACTTTGAAAGCTGAGGAGATTATTGGTCTGTATTAGAATCTCTTCGGAGCTAAAGGCTCGTTTAATATTCTCTGATCGGAATTTCATTCTACAATTTAATTATGATTTGTAATGTATTACTTTTATGAGAAGAAATCGAACTGATTTAATATTTGTTCCACAGAAAAGATGAAAAATTCAAATTTTTATGGTGTTCCTATGGATCCACTTGCACCTTCGCACTTTTGCCCTTAGGGCGAAGATACGAGAGCGCGAAGTTGCGAAGGCAAAAGTGCGAAGGAGCGAAAAAAGCAAAGATGCGACGGCGAAGGTGCGAGGGCGAAAGTGCGAAGGCGAAGGAGCGATACTAGATACTAGTATCTCTCCTTCGCCTTTACATTCTCGCCTTCGCCTTTTTTTTTGTGGAGCTCTCTATCGTTTGAAGTTAATTTAAACCATTGCTTACCATCCATTTTGGCGCCATCACACTAATCTAGCGCAAGTGTACCAATAACATCCAAGAGAAAAAAAAAATACTAGCGCAAGAAAGGCGAAGGCGAGAGTGCGGTAAATTAAAGTATAATGCGAAGACGAAAGTGCGAAGGCGAAAGTGCGAAGTTGCAAAGGCGAAAGTGCGATATATGTATCGCTCCTGCGCCTTCGCACTCTCACCTTCGCCCTTCGCCGTCGCATCTTTGCACTTTCGCTCCTCGCACTTTTCGCCTGCTTAACTTCGCACTCTCACATCTTTGTCCTAAAGGCGAGAGTGCGAAGGTACAAGTGGCCCCACTAGAACACCATAAATTTTGAAAGTAACCAGACTCATATATACGAATGTTAAATATTACATAACATTTATCTGTAAGTAAATGTGATACAATGCAAAAAATGATAGCTGTTTTTATGCACCATTTTGATGTCAGAATAGAAATATTATTTAGAGAAACATCTAAACGTAGAAAAACACACATTTTTGATGTAATATCATGCCTTCCAAACGATTATATCCACTCACATCACACAGTAATAAAGAAACACACTTGGTATTATAATTGCATTTTATTGAAGAAAATAAATAGGTGTGAAGTAGAAATTTATGCTGCTAAAATTTGTTTTAAAAGATTTAGACAAAAATGTGGAGTTCAGAGATCTCAATATCTTGCAAGAGGATGAACAATAAATTAAAGTGGTTCAGGGATGACCCTGAGTTAAAATACCGAAGAACTTTGATACAATTTATTTTCTATGCTATTAATTCATTTGCAAAAATTCAAACAAATAAAATGCTTTTCTTGTTAGTGCGGGAATTAACGTTCAACTGTTGCAGAAAAGATACTGTAATTTTTTCTGCAATAGCTGCAACCTTTAATCGAAAGACATTTTATTGTTTATCTTTATGTCTGTATAAAAAAAATCCTATAAAGTAGGTTTAAGTACGTTATATATTGTATTATTAACGTGTTCATCGTTGTTTGTTTCATTGATGGAAAAGCACCCCGCATAAGAAATCTTTATAGGTGGTTTGAAAAACCGGTTCTAGAAACTGGCGTTTACAGATTGATGAAAGAAATGATTTCCATAAGAAATTAAGGAGAACATATTCAGCTATATGAAATCGGAGTTATTGTTCTAAATGCTTCATGTTCGTATTTTGCTTTTGAAACTTGTCATCCGATCCATTTGAATTCATAAACCATAGACTTATATATATTTCGAAGTAGTTAACTACGATGTGCATTAATAAATTTTAATGATTAACAAGCCATAATTTTTTAACTATGACATAAAATGCACAAATCTTTCGATTTATATAAAAAAATCTTTTACTGGTATTATTACAAACTACATTTATTCAAATCATGACGGGAACATTTTGGCTTTTTATTTACCTTATTTAGCTTACAATAAAGGGTCTACTTGAAAGGAAAAAACAATTTCGATAGGGTAAATAATCAACATGTCATTACAAATCACTGTGGCCTCTGTTTCTCTTGTCCAGAAGATTCTTGACGCTGAGAGTTTCTCCATTATTTGCGATCCATTCTCTATCTATGGTATCAAATCCACTAAAGTTGTCTGGAACGTTGAAAACAGTACTCCAGCTTTGGCCTTCGTTGCTGATGATATAATTTCCAGTTTCGTTCCATTCGTTTGGTTTGTGAACAAATGGAGGAAATCGGATGGGCATAGACACTTGACCAAAAAGAGCATTAGCAAGTGTGCAATAGCTAACTTCACACTCGTCTGAAATTGTCCCGAGGTGTTGGCTGTAGCCTCCGGGACATGACTTTGAGGTATATGTCGGAGAGAAGTACTGGTTAGAAAGAGGATTACCTTCTTGGCAACTAAAGAAACCAGCAAATGGAACAGAATACCTTTGTCCAAGCTCAAAGTCATCCGTCAAACATATATACATGTCGGATGTTACCAACATTGGCTGATAATTTGGCGGACAGCTCTGTGACTTTGTCACGGGGTTGGCGACAGTTTCAGTATATATTCCGCCGAAGAGGTAACCAGATTGTGGAGGCGCATCACCGACGTGTGCGTAACACCAGAATGTTGAGTATGATGCTTCGCCGTAATATACGACATCATGGCATTTCTTCCAAAAAACCATGTAACTTTCACACACCTGTCGGATTTCTGTTTTGGTAACATTTCCCTGATAAAGCAGAGCTGACTGATACCCTTCGCCACAATCAAATGTTCCAGTTTTCTTGTTTTTAAGAGTCAGGGGATCGCATAAATCATCGGTATCGCCTGAGAATTCACACGTTTGGTAAATACCACCAATAGTCAAGTTTTTGCCAGGAGGCAAACATGTTCCATCGTCAACATTGGCATTGAAATTAAAGTTTGGAGAGTTGATATCTGTACATCCTTTGTACGTGTTAAACTTGTAATAAGCCGAAATAGCAGCCTTTACTGAATCATAAGTTTTTGCTCGAATCGAGGCCGGTAATTCTGGAAATTGTTCTTTGGTAATAAGAAAATGCAGTGGATCTCCTGACTTGTCAACTGCAACCAAGTCATTTCCAATGCCGTCGACCCAGTCATTGATACTAAAATTCAGTGGTTTATATGGTTGACCTCCATATGTGTAAACAGTAGAATGAGTCTGTCCACTAGCATATGTCTGGATCATTTGATCAGTGACAGAGGACGCATGGTCAAAACCTGCCCCTCTTCCAAAGAAATAAACTCCAGCTGCTGCAGAAATTTCTGATTTTGTTAGTTCGGCATTTGTTGACATCGAGTTATTGAGCTGATCAACTTTGAAGATTGAAGCACCAGCATCAATACTGGTTATAATGTGAGTTCCAAAGTCTCGCACCAAAAGTTGGCTCTCGTACCGCGCGTATCTTTTCCTTCCGTTTAAATGATGGCTAGCAATGGATTGGATCTTGGAGCGGAAACTATTATCTAAAGAAACACTTGGCTGGAGTTTAGATATGTATCGTCTGTATTGGGCTCCTGTTCGCTGAGTAAATGAGTTATCATTGACCTGGTTTTTTTTCACATCATCATATTCGGAAGAAAATTTTCCACCAATGGAGAACAACCCAGCTATTTTGGCCTGTCCACCAACGTTTATGGATTTTGATGTAGAGGATGTGAAATTCATCCAATGATCAATTCGTTCAGAATAGATCTTGACCTGGCTAGCTTTACTTGGAACAACGAAGATGTTCTCCGGAATTAGGTATCGTCCATCTTCAGTGACTTTACAGTCTGTGTAGTTGTAGAAGACAATTCTCGCCCGATCTTCATTCTTCAAATTGTCCCAGCCGCCTCCAGGAAGAACTTCAAGTGTCAGAATATCTGAATTAGATATCCGACAATGGAATGCAGAAGGCAAACATCGTGAGGGAATTACAATGGAAACAGACACAATATAGCATGTCCAGAGAAGTCTCCCTGTCATGCTTGTTGATTGGCGTCTATATTGAAATTAACGTCCAATGTTTTGAGGTTATTTATCAATAATAATATGATATAAATATGATATACAGCATATTTGCTTTTGTCACTGATGAATGTTATCTGTAACTGATAGGGGTATATTGAACTATTGAAAGTGTTGATGATTGATAAGCTATTTTTTTTCTTTTACTGAATGATTTTCATGCCAAAATTAACAAAATAAGATAACTGTGACAAAAGAAATATTTGTATGGGTCCTATATTCAGTTATAACAATTTAGCTAAAACAATTCTCCCTCTCATATTATGCGTTGCAGAGAAATGCACATGTTTGCATTAGTTATCAATTTATAAACCTTATTTGTAAACACCTTTATCAGTCAGTAGCAATTGTGATTGTTTCTACCTGGGATTCAGTTAGATTTTGACCAGCATACATGAAGTATGATGGGGTCTGTGAAGTCTTATCGTACGTTCATTATAATTTTATTGTCATTTTTTCTGGTGGAAATCAAAGGAAATGTCTCTAATTGCAAGTATACAAATACATCGATTTTTGGTTATGAAGTTTTGCCCGGAAATGGATGGGATAATCTCCGAAATGAAGTAAGGGGTCGAGTTGTCCTTCGCAACTACAGTACGTGTCAAATCACCGATGATGGTCGATACCTGCTACCAGATGGAGTTTTTGCAATTCCCTTGAAGTCTAGTCAAGTTGAACTTTACTCCCAACTCATTGAAAATTGGAATAATTTTACATCAGATACGTCTGCAAGTATCAATTTAGATGGTTCAATCACTATTGATGACCTTCCAATCAACGGGAAATTCTCATTTGAATTTCAGGCAGTAAAGGGTCATCAAATAAACGACGATTCCGTAACAATGAAAGTAAAAGCAAGGTATGCTAGATACTCAGCAAGACTTCAACCAGTGACATCACTCGATCCCGCTTTTATGGATCGCGTTTCCAGTATTGCGCAACACATACAGTTTAACCGATCTGCCTCCGCCAAATATGAAAGTCAGCTTCTAGTGAGAGACTTTGGAACTCATGTTGTTACAAGTATAGATGCTGGTGCATCCATCGTAAAGATCGATCACATAAATAGAAGTTTACTCCAAGACGCTTCAGTTGATCGTTATCAGCTATCGCTAATCGCGAGTTCCGATCTTTTTCATGGCAGTGGATCAGCAACTGTGAACCCTGATGCACTTCAGAAGTACTACAGTTCTCTCACGCATTCATCAGTCAGCACATACGGCGGTCCCATTTACAAACCCGTAAATTTCAGTGTCAATGACTGGGTGGAGGGGATACAAGATGAGCTGGTAGCCGTAGATCGAGCTGGAGATCCACTGCATTTTCTCATTCAACCGAAACTTTTCCCAAATATTCCCGTTTCGACAGTATATGAACTAGCTTCCCACGTTGATCAAGCAATCAAGGCCTACTACAAATACAATACACATAAAGGTTGCACAGATCGTGATTCAGAAAATTTCAATTACTACGCCAACGTCGATGATGGATCCTGCTCACACAACATTTCAGGACTTGTTTTTGGTGGTATGTTCCAACAATGCAATGAATCAGGAGACATTCCAAATACCTGCCAAAGTTATGAAAGCAAAAACCCTTTGACTGGTGACTTCACATGTCCTGAAGGATTTGACTTAATACCACTTTTTACTGATAAGCAAGCATTTACTCAGGTGAAAAAAGTATGTTCCAAGTATATGGTCTTTTGGTCTAAATGTCACGAGGAATCTGTCAGCGGATTGGCAACATTTACGTCTTACTGGTGTGCAGCAAAAGGACAATTTGCAATTCCAACTGGTTTTCTGTTTGGAGGCGTGTTCTCTGACTCAATTGTCAATTCAGTAACTCAACAGAAAACTTGTCCACCATATTTCAATCCCATTAAAACAGCCAAAGAATTGAGTGTATGTGTGACAAATGATTTTGAAAACGGAGAAAAATATGCCATGCCATTTGCCGGATTCTTTAGCTGTCAGAATGGAAATCCACTCACAGGAGGGTTAGATACAACTGTCAATACTGTCAAATCCTGTCCTCCTGGGTACAGCCAGCATCTTGCCACAACACAAGACGATTGTGATTTAATGTACTGCACAAGACCAATCAAAATACCCGCCAGTCCATATGTTCCTGTTCACAGTCCTCCTTTCATGAAACAACCATTGGAGACGAATGCAACTTCAGACTTCTTAGTCAGCGATGATGGACAGCAATGGACACAGCTCTACGTTGTGGACCCTGACTTTAACGGATTCAATGGAACTGTTTCCGGTTGGATTGTAAACGATGGTACAAACTTAAATATGGAGTCCCTGCTAGCAATAAAACAATCATCACCAAACGCAGATACAAAAGTACCCCCTCCCAAAGACTTGCTTGGTAATGAGGACCCTACATCAACTAAGGACACAGTTAATTTTGGAGGTGTGTCTGAAAGGCATCTTTCCTTCATCGTCGGATGTTCTATTGCGGCTACTCTTTTCTGCGTTCTTTTTACGACGTTTATGATTGCCTTTGTCCTCAGAAGCAAACGCAAGAACAACTACCACAGAATGGTAGATGGTGAACTACATTCAGTAAAACACTAGAATGCACTCACTATATATTTCTTATAGTCTAGTTTTTGAATGTAATTTGAATAACATCATTTTAAAACGTATAAAATGAATTCAGTATTTGCTGGAAATTCTAAGTTTGTTGAAAATTAAGTTATATGCAGAATTTTCATTATTAAAACTAATCAATGATAAGAAACGAAATATAAAACGATTCAGTTTTATCATAAATGTACCTAATAGCTTACTATTGATTACAATAAAGTCTAAAACTTCTTGCAGTTTTTTTTATTTCATTGAAGCATTTTGTTGTGTACAATATTGTGGGGGAAAATTATCCCTCTGACACATATCGCTCTGTTCCCGCTAATTTGCCTCACTAAGTCAACGTCCTCCATCAGTAAGATGACCTTTTCTCAACTACTTAGGAAGATTATACACTGTCGGAATTCCAGCTCCAACGGAGAACTTCCAGTTCATGTTTCTCCATCTTCCAATATTTCTTTTTGTTTTGGAGTGTGCGAAAGGTCTAAGGTTATCTCCTTCGTTCTTCAAAACATTAAGCGCTATGAGGTAAGCTAAGATATGCGATAAATTTACCTCCTCCTCTTCAAATATTGGTAGACCTGGGGATTGCATCGAGCCCCAGGGTTCAATATCAAGTGAAACTTTGGTCCGAGGTCTGGAATAGGGGAGTAAAATTTGCCCTTGAGGTCGCAGTATGTCCAGAATTCGCTTACTGGTTAAAAATTCGTCAGCTTCATCCTGTTCTGTTAAACTTTTGTCCACCTCTTCCTGGCAAACCTTATCAACAAAAATGTGAAAAAATTATTTCATTAAGCTCTATTCTGTGTAGGCAGTGTGTTGCTGAATGTTTCTTTTGTTGTTTGGTTTCCATGCATTGAATAATAATATTTTTAAAAATCAAACTTTTAATTTTAAAGTTTACATATATAAATTAAAACTTGATGATTTTTGACTGCATAAAAATCAATTTGAATTCAAGAAAGTTTATCGTGACAAAGAAAATACACTGTACATTGTTTCTGCATGACTGCTGTTCGTTTTGATGTTAAAAGTTTCAAAATCAAACTGGGATTAGATGGTTATTGGTTTTGTATAAAATCTAGAATTCCTTTGTTTTATATTAGACAAATGAAAAATTCTTCATTTGTAAAATTCCATAGTTTTTCAAAGATGTCTGATTAGAACAGAACGTTAGTGACACATCCACAGGCTAGATTTTTAAAAAAAAAAAAAAATCCTGATAACCATTGTACGTACAAATTATACAATGATCAATGGCTTAACATTTTTTCAACAGAAATTCAAAATATGCAAGAGAATGAAGAAATTCTGATCAGGATTCTTTGAAATTGTACTTCTCGCAATGATGGGAAAATTACTTTGGGTTTCTGCTTTGTTCTTCATTAAAATTATTTACTATATCTCATTTCACTTAATTAAATATATATACGTTCAGAGAAAAAGAAATCTTTTGTTCTTTTCAATTCATCTTCTAGGATTTTGTTTGGTGCGAAATTTTTGATTAGGACACGTCTGTGACAGTTCGTCTAATTAACTGCGTTTTTTCTTACTTTCATTAATTAAGAATGGAAAAAGAATCCCTTTTTCCCAAATCCACAAATGAAAACTGACTTACGTTTAAACGTCAGCATTTTAAAACATGCGAGTTTTGGTAAATGAATGTTAAAATAATTTATATCAAGTAAATTTGTATTTTCTGGGTGTATATATGGCACAAAATGTATTTTCAATATGATTTCATGTTGAAAATGATATGTTGAACAACATTCAGTACATTCAAAATTTACAACCTGGGGCCCGTTTCACAAAACTATCTTAGGACTAAGATCTGTCTTAAAACCAAAATTGTCTTGCACCATATATAGCTGTTTCACAAAACTGACATATTTTATGATAATCTTAAGATCTATCTTAATCCTAAGACAATCAGATATATGTCTTACGTCAAATGTTAAGAACGTGTTAGTCTAACATATGACACTTCAGAAAAGCATGCTGGTTTTTAGAGAAAGGAACAATTCCTTGGACAATATGAATGATTTACAGCGGAAGATCCAGCTGGAAGGTCAGAGGGTTCCAACCCCTTCTCTTTGATTTTAAATATCATCAAATATATAATAAAGTAACCAAAAGTGAGCTTTGTCCCCACTTAATATACGTAAGTTGATAAGAAGAGTTTTGCTTGTCGATGAAGGAAAGCGACTTGTTCATTTGAAGTCTACAAGCCCCCCCCCCCTCCCTAAGAAATAGGCTTTACGTTTGTTTGTTAGTTAATTCTTATCATTTGTTTGCTTGTCAAAACTTAATTTGGAATGGTATAAAGCCAAGGCACCCCCCCCCCCTTTTAGTACCCGCCTCTGCATTTGTAAGACCTTAAAAGTTAATTTTATTATATTTTATTGATTTTCCTAGAAAATAACAGGCCCTTTTGCATTCATCAAATATCTTTTTTATATGAATAGTTGTTGCACACTTTCCCTCGTCCGCAGGGAGATATTTAAGTATGACACCTACTATTATGGTGTCCCCTGCTTGTAAGGATCTTCCCCTGTATTTTTTTTTTTTTTTTTTTTTTTTTTTGCAGTTCATGCACATTCGCATTTGACCTCCTTTCCCGTGAAGTAATCTTCATTTACCACAGTTACTTTTGATGCTACATGTTTCCTTCTTCAAAGCATAAGAATCTTTCGAAATCTAAATGGATTTTTTTTCTGCTTATTCAGTTAGCAGTATCAATTCAGTAGCAGTAAAAACTGGACAGTGTTTCATAGACATTCTGAACTCACGGACTTCGTACCTACGCCTTGTGGTCACCATTCATTGTTTGCACATTTAAGCAAATTAACTGCAGTGGCGGATTATATTAAATTTAAAGTGATATAGTTTGATTCATCTTTTCAACGAAATGTAATTTTTTTTCTTAGCAAAGACACTAATGCAAATATTAATCAATACCTTATTTTACACAGTTTCGGAATTCAAACTTATTAATATCCCCCCTTAAATAATAAAGAAAAGATACTCTGTAGTTGATGCACTTAGAATTTATTTTGAGCTTCTTAAACTGCAAACTCCTTCTGAAATTATTCCACGATTCACCATTAATTAATAATTATGATAAAAATAAATAAATAAATAAATCAAAACAAAATAAACAAATGTAAAAGGTAAAGATAACGAACAGTGATCGATCTCAAAAATCCATAAGCAATACAAATATGTGAAGAGGGCATACAACAAGGACCACTGGAAATTCCAGAGGTAGGATCAGGTGCCTAGGAGGAGTAAGCATCCTCTGTTGACCGGCCACACCCGTCGTAAGCCCTATGTATTGATCTGGTAAACGGAACTATCCGTAGTCAATTCAGTACAAAAAACAAAGGCCTAACAATTGGTATGAAACACGTCAGCCAAAATACGACCCAGTGATAGGTTATATTTGCTAACAAGGTCATTATAACGACCATAAAATTTACGAAATGTTGACTTAAAACGAGGCTTTTGAAATCCCTGTAACATCAACTTATCAGTGAGTAGCCTGTCATGCTTTAAAAATTGATCGTACTCAGAGCAAGCTCTTGAGAAGCGAATAAGTTGGAGATATAAACACCAGGTTATAGCGAAATACTACTATATAAATAAGGAAAGTTGACGATGGAAAAGCTAAAGTAATCTCGTTTGTCATACAATTTAGTTGTTAATTGGCCATTATCGTCCATAGTCAGTAAAACATCTAAATATGAAACAGATATGACAGACTGTATGGTGTCTTTTATTTAAAGTTCACTGGGATATATCGGGTCGACATACGAATGAAAATAACTATTGTCAATTGATAAAACATAAACAAAGAAATGCAGATAACTTCCAGCAAACTATTCTTTTTTTCAAAGTCCTTTAAAAATGTAGCATGAAATATGTCTTAGGACTTCTAATACTTAAGACAGTTTCGTGAAACAGTAGTGACAAAACTTATGATTGTCTTAAGTCAGCTCATAGGACGGATCTTACGATGGTTATAGTGAAACCCAGCCCAGATATTTATTTCTTTCTGATCTTCTGTACGAAATAAAGAATAAAAGTCTGGTGTTATTGATATTTAACGAATCTTAAACAAAACGATATTTTGTGAAAAAAAGCATTTTGAAGATGAGTTACATTGAAATACTTATCATTATTGGAATATCTTACTTACCACTGTGGCCTCTAAGAAGACGAAAAGAAAGAAAGCTTTAAGAACCCAAGATTCCATGTTCCACTAGTACCTTCCTGAATCTAATGAGACTTGTAGAAGATCGGATTAATGAAAATGATGGATAAGGGGGCGTGTCCAGGGGGTTTGACCAGTAAGGGGTCATAGTTTTATCCGTCACATCAGTAGAGTGATCACTGCGCTTTAGTTGTCATGAAGTTTCCTGGGTTTTGTATTTGTTTTGAGAATTGTCAGGGCAATGTGGAGAGTGAAGGTAAACAACCACTTGCAAATTTGGAATCATGACAAGATGAAAATTAAACTGGTAAGCATATACAGGTATATAGAAATGAGAACATCGTGAAAAAGACCATTAATACCTTTGCACATGTTTTGATATAGGTAACTCGCATGTATATGTATTCATGTCTGTAACAGGGTGGGGTGGCGTGCTACTGACAAGGTCAGTGTGCAAGGTCAAAGTGAAAACTAAGCCTAATTAGCATACTAGTATGCGTTTTTGAGGCACTCTGTGACGATATGAATAAATAATGATAATTTCTCAAGGTAAAAAGTACTTTGCAGGTTTGGTTTATAGATCCTCCTACTCATTTAAAGATACCTTTAGATTTTTTTTCTGCTCTGTATTTCCCATGTTTCCGCTATTTTTTAATTATTATTTTGAAGCGCAATATAGTGTCCTTAGGGATGGAAAATGGACTGAAAATTCACTTAATGCCTGTGTTGATGAGCTGGATGAGATCTAAAATTAAGATTATTTAGTTCCATCGAA